TGTTCTTATATCAGTTTTTTGCCGAGATGACGATGGTGCAATTCAAATTTGCGTAGGTAGCATGGTTGGTGAGAGATGGGAGATTTTTGAAAATAGGTCATTTTGAATAGATGCTGCTAGTAAAACATTTTAAATTACTATATGAATGTGAGATGTATGTGTAGTGAAAGTTGTAGAGGGTACATTTTTTGACTAGGACATGTTTGATGTGAGGTTATGGAAAGTGATGCCAATGAGTAATGACGGAAGATGTTCCAAATGACCGATTTTCAAAGGGCCATATCTCTGAATTTTACCAAGTGAACGAGAGCTTCAAACTTAATAGCTTCTGTTTCTTTTTCAAATCTCTATACGATGGTATGGTTATTATAGATGAATAAAATAAAAAATAAATATCCCCTGCTTGTAGCTCATAAAATATATGATTTTGAGCAAATTTATGAAGGGAACGTATATCTGGTACTTGAAACTATTATATTATAATGGATATAATGTAGAGCTATCAAATGGTCTTTGTTTTGTGCGAATCCAGTGAGTATTTGTCGAGATATGGTCAAAAAAGGATATCATGCAAAATCATTGTTTTTTCTTCAGAATCTACGTGTGATAGCAAGCAAAAAATCTGGTGACGATTTTTTGGTCAGGACATGATTGTCAATATTTCATGATAGAGCCATGCCAGAGCTTCAAGCGATAGCTCATTTGATAGGAAATTTTTTGGCCTACAATGTTTAGTAATGCTTAACAAAATGTTTTGATGACAGATACTAATTAATCTTTTGAAAACAGTCAAAAAATTGCAAAAACAATCGTACCAGATATCAGGTAAACAATGTACACCAGAGGCTTGAAACAAATACCATTGTATTTTCCTTTGAATTCTCTACAAGTTTCATATAAGTTTGAAGGGGTGTTTACTATCAAGAAACGCGTAATTTGAAGGTCGATAGATTTCGGAATCCTATGGATCAACATTCAGAACAATAGAAATTGAAGCTCCGTTGACCTTCTGCACGTGTACACTACATGAGTATGAATTTGACCGAGAATTTTAAAAATCGGAGCGTACGAAAAGGGCCATATTAACTTACTGGTTTCAAGTTATCAATAGATACGTAACATGTTGGAGAATTTTGCTTTTAAGACTAGACAGTTGTGGCTTGCTTTGTTCGATAATAATAAGATTTGCAATTTAAGGTATGCATATTCCCCCGCTTAAAAATAGCATCTCCAATGTGGATTATCTCATGAAACAGAGGTTTCCAATATAATGTTCCCACTAAGAAGTTGCTCTAATATCATTATTCTACAACATATTTAAGCTTGATGGGATTCTAATTTTTTTACCTATGAGGACCTGGATGTACAAAATGTTTTTTAATTTTGAGGTTTTCAACTTTTGGACGATCGAACATCGATTTTTGAAAAAGTGATGCTAGAGCTTTGAAAGTAGCATGTTCTTATATCAGTTTTTTGCCGAGATGACGATGGTGCAATTCAAATTTGCGTAGGTAGCATGGTTGGTGAGAGATGGGAGATTTTTGAAAATAGGTCATTTTGAATAGATGCTGCTAGTAAAACATTTTAAATTACTATATGAATGTGAGATGTATGTGTAGTGAAAGTTGTAGAGGGTACATTTTTTGACTAGGACATGTTTGATGTGAGGTTATGGAAAGTGATGCCAATGAGTAATGACGGAAGATGTTCCAAATGACCGATTTTCAAAGGGCCATATCTCTGAATTTTACCAAGTGAACGAGAGCTTCAAACTTAATAGCTTCTGTTTCTTTTTCAAATCTCTATACGATGGTATGGTTATTATAGATGAATAAAATAAAAAATAAATATCCCCTGCTTGTAGCTCATAAAATATATGATTTTGAGCAAATTTATGAAGGGAACGTATATCTGGTACTTGAAACTATTATATTATAATGGATATAATGTAGAGCTATCAAATGGTCTTTGTTTTGTGCGAATCCAGTGAGTATTTGTCGAGATATGGTCAAAAAAGGATATCATGCAAAATCATTGTTTTTTCTTCAGAATCTACGTGTGATAGCAAGCAAAAAATCTGGTGACGATTTTTTGGTCAGGACATGATTGTCAATATTTCATGATAGAGCCATGCCAGAGCTTCAAGCGATAGCTCATTTGATAGGAAATTTTTTGGCCTACAATGTTTAGTAATGCTTAACAAAATGTTTTGATGACAGATACTAATTAATCTTTTGAAAACAGTCAAAAAATTGCAAAAACAATCGTACCAGATATCAGGTAAACAATGTACACCAGAGGCTTGAAACAAATACCATTGTATTTTCCTTTGAATTCTCTACAAGTTTCATATAAGTTTGAAGGGGTGTTTACTATCAAGAAACGCGTAATTTGAAGGTCGATAGATTTCGGAATCCTATGGATCAACATTCAGAACAATAGAAATTGAAGCTCCGTTGACCTTCTGCACGTGTACACTACATGAGTATGAATTTGACCGAGAATTTTAAAAATCGGAGCGTACGAAAAGGGCCATATTAACTTACTGGTTTCAAGTTATCAATAGATACGTAACATGTTGGAGAATTTTGCTTTTAAGACTAGACAGTTGTGGCTTGCTTTGTTCGATAATAATAAGATTTGCAATTTAAGGTATGCATATTCCCCCGCTTAAAAATAGCATCTCCAATGTGGATTATCTCATGAAACAGAGGTTTCCAATATAATGTTCCCACTAAGAAGTTGCTCTAATATCATTATTCTACAACATATTTAAGCTTGATGGGATTCTAATTTTTTTACCTATGAGGACCTGGATGTACAAAATGTTTTTTAATTTTGAGGTTTTCAACTTTTGGACGATCGAACATCGATTTTTGAAAAAGTGATGCTAGAGCTTTGAAAGTAGCATGTTCTTATATCAGTTTTTTGCCGAGATGACGATGGTGCAATTCAAATTTGCGTAGGTAGCATGGTTGGTGAGAGATGGGAGATTTTTGAAAATAGGTCATTTTGAATAGATGCTGCTAGTAAAACATTTTAAATTACTATATGAATGTGAGATGTATGTGTAGTGAAAGTTGTAGAGGGTACATTTTTTGACTAGGACATGTTTGATGTGAGGTTATGGAAAGTGATGCCAATGAGTAATGACGGAAGATGTTCCAAATGACCGATTTTCAAAGGGCCATATCTCTGAATTTTACCAAGTGAACGAGAGCTTCAAACTTAATAGCTTCTGTTTCTTTTTCAAATCTCTATACGATGGTATGGTTATTATAGATGAATAAAATAAAAAATAAATATCCCCTGCTTGTAGCTCATAAAATATATGATTTTGAGCAAATTTATGAAGGGAACGTATATCTGGTACTTGAAACTATTATATTATAATGGATATAATGTAGAGCTATCAAATGGTCTTTGTTTTGTGCGAATCCAGTGAGTATTTGTCGAGATATGGTCAAAAAAGGATATCATGCAAAATCATTGTTTTTTCTTCAGAATCTACGTGTGATAGCAAGCAAAAAATCTGGTGACGATTTTTTGGTCAGGACATGATTGTCAATATTTCATGATAGAGCCATGCCAGAGCTTCAAGCGATAGCTCATTTGATAGGAAATTTTTTGGCCTACAATGTTTAGTAATGCTTAACAAAATGTTTTGATGACAGATACTAATTAATCTTTTGAAAACAGTCAAAAAATTGCAAAAACAATCGTACCAGATATCAGGTAAACAATGTACACCAGAGGCTTGAAACAAATACCATTGTATTTTCCTTTGAATTCTCTACAAGTTTCATATAAGTTTGAAGGGGTGTTTACTATCAAGAAACGCGTAATTTGAAGGTCGATAGATTTCGGAATCCTATGGATCAACATTCAGAACAATAGAAATTGAAGCTCCGTTGACCTTCTGCACGTGTACACTACATGAGTATGAATTTGACCGAGAATTTTAAAAATCGGAGCGTACGAAAAGGGCCATATTAACTTACTGGTTTCAAGCTATCAATAGATACATAACAGGCAGATCTATTCAATATGGTGGATCCATTATAACTAACGCTATAACTGCGAGCACGGCCTCCAACGATGTTGGTAAAAATTTAGTACTTGCTTTTCTTTGGAAACCATCAGAAAATATACAAAAAAACTAGCTGGCCAGTCTGAGTGCAAACTGTAGGATAGATATTGAAAGTGTTATCCTTCAATGCGCATTGTTTAGGATATAGATCATCTCTGAGAGGCAAATGTATTAGGCGTTGTATATCACATAAGAGTATCTGAGAATGAGCAGAGATGCGTAGTAAAAGTGGGAGGTCTTTATTCAAGTAGTACGAAGGAACATGAGTGGTGCCATCAAATGGCTAATCTATATCCTGGTTCCTAGAGAGTAGTAACCTATAGCCTTGCTTTCGTCCCTGGAAGTGGGTTTCAATTCCGACAAATGTTCTTCCGTCAAAGCTATTAGGAAGAACATTCTATCCTGGATCATCTTTGTTGTTTATCCTTGACTGGTGGTTCGTGAGTTCTTATGCAGTACATTCTCGTTAACTGGTTCAAGGCTTATACAATTATCCCGCATTCAAGATCAAGGTCCTATTGCTGCGGCACTGTCAAATAACTATAAATACCTTTGAAATCTACACTAGTTTTGATCCTTATTCAATCTTGGAATAGCATAATAAATATATTCAGTTCTAATTGTATTTACTCTGTCTATATTTCTTTATTCTCTACACGCATTTCAATTCTTTACAAACATATTATATATAAGTAGATATCGATGATTATTATGCAATGTAATAACTTTAAACGATGGTAAAATGCAAGTAGTACGGATTATTTAATTTGCTTAGCATTTTTTTATACTCTTAATCTATCAATAAGTCTTATTTTTGCAACAACATATAGAATACATAATTCCTACCCGCATTCCCTCGCAAATTTTTTTTGGCATAACATAGAAAATACAAGTTTTTTGATCGGCTAAAGCCAGCATAGCTCCAATTGGCTAGAGCGTCCCTCTCGTAAAGGGAAGGTTGCGTGTTCGAATCACGCTGGTGGCATCTTTTTTTTTTTTTTTTTTTTGCATCTGAAATTTCGTGTTTGCCTAAGTTTCAATAAATCATTGAGTTCAAGGCTTTGAGATACATTTTTGGTCTTCGAGAAAGGAAATTGATGATTTTATAACACAATATTTGATGATTTCTTTAATACAGAAAAAGATATATGATGATCCTGCAAAACGACTAAGCCGCCTTGGATACATACCAAGAAAACTCTTATTTGAGACAAATATATAATTTATGTATGCAACAATTTTAACGCTGCGTTGCTTGGTGGTCTGTAATAGAGCTGGTCTAATGATTTTTGTTGGGCCTTGTATAGAAAACCCCTCACAACAGTAGCAAGTCAAAGTGGTGGATTTGCAGTTCTTCAACAATTGTCGTTTTATGAAGATACATTTTTTGATGTCAAGGTATGCAGTATACAGTATTGTGAACAGACTAAAAGTTTTTACTTTCATCTTTAATCTTAGAAGGGTAATCAATGGTATTACAGATCAAAAGCTATTATTCTACTCTTCCATCAGAAAAAGGTAAGTTTGGTGTTAGGAATATTTCCTCTCAATTTGGGACTAAATTAAGCGTTGGCCTCTGTGCATTTATACAATGGCCTCAGTTTTGAAACAAAATTGTTTTAAGTGATGTAGTTTGGATGAAATTGTTAGACTTGACGCATTTGACTAGAAAAAAATAGGCCATCTGATGCCTGAACAAAGTGCCGTTCCACAAACTTGTGTAAACCCCACTTGATCCATACTACAAACTATCCTGTTGTTAATAATGATATGCATATTATCTATAAACTAAATATCGAAAAGATCATTGCATTAATATGTGTTTCGCGAAGTTGTTAAAAAAAAAAAAAAAAAGTGGAGAGATCACAGGGTAGTGTTGTGTGGTACATTTCATTATGTAATGCACAATTGAATGGAATTAATATTTCATCCATTCTGCTGATACTGTGCACAGATTGTACGCCAAATTGAACACACAACAGCATCATAGGGCCTAAACCATTTCAAGCCTCAAATACAATGCTAGGAATGTACACTGCATGTCCATTGTTTCTGTCTAAAAAAAAAAAAAAGCAAAGTCAAGCAGTTTTATTCATTTTCACATGCGGATATTCATGCTGCAAACTGCTACGGCATTTCAAGTTTCTACTGTATAAGATGAATAAAATAAAACCCTGTTTCCAATGGTTCCATTTGCGTCAGGTAGATGTATACTTCATTGGTCAAGTTGGAAGAAATTGCTTCTTTGGATGAATCTTGCGACCCTCGTACAAGACTATTCAGTACAAAGACATCAGGCAGCAGTTGTTTATAGTTGAAAGAGTGTGACAGAGTCAGAACGGAAACGGCCCAGGTGGTCAAGATGAACAGTTGAAATATGGATTTTCTTTGTTGTCATTTTTTGATCCAGTAGCACATCCACTTTAAGGTTTTTTTTATACAGGTATACCACAGCAAGTGGCGAGCTTTTTTCGAAAAAGAATTCTCATAGGGTTAAAATATCAAATCAAGAAAAGTGGGTCGATGTAAACAAGGGGCTCTTTAGATTTCAATAGCCTGCTTATATTTTTCTAGTTGTATTTCGTTTGCACTTCTTGATGAGGCCAGCCTGAGAGCACCAGAGACGCTTCAAGAGGTAACCAAGGTTGAAAGTAGGGGGGGGGGGAGGCGACGCAAGGAAGCTGCTCCATTTCGAGAGAAATGTTGTGTGTATGCGCGCGGAATGAGCCACGATTCCTCCGATCTTCTCTTTAAGGATATAGAGTTACTAAACACATAGAGTTCTATTCAAGTTTCTTCCATCTGATCCTTTGAAATCCAGTCAGCATTCCTTGTTCATCTCTATCCACTGTGCATTGAGTACTATTGCAATAAAAGATGCTGGTAAAGAATCGATTCTTTCTCCCATTTTTGATTATATAAAGGAGTTACCTAATGGAAATTCTTTTGGAAGAGACATAAAAAAAACGTGTGGTGTGAGATAATCGGCCCGGTCTTCCTAATTAAAAAAAAGTGAAGCTGCGGGATTCGATATATTCACAATGATGTATGTGGATCAATACATTAACCGTAAGTTTGGTTCATGTCCAACAGCTAGCCCGCCAAGTAGCCAAGCTCGCCCAGTTTTACCATCAAAATCAGAAGAACCTCGGGTACACAGAGCTGTAAAACCATTCCATCGTATTCATGCAAAACGGATGTTCATTTAAGCTGTTTTTATATAAAAACCAAGCCCAAATCCACAAATCAAACTTACTGTCTCTTTTCCTTTCTTGTTTCCTAACTATATTATCTTTCTCCTACAAAATTTAATGAAAGCCAAAGTCAATTTGTATAATCGCCCTCATGGTCGGATTGATACATACCAAGTGGCATCCCCTTACAGTAACAACAACAAACAGAAACATGCCATTATAGTCGATAGAGAACATAGACTCAATGCAGCCTATAGCCCAAGCTACAGCCAAGCATGCTTATTATTGCAGGCTATTCAAATGAATGGTAGACGTCGATTGAGCTCAGAATGTATTTGTAAATGTCAAGCGTTTAAATGATTTACCCTTTATGATGATTGCTAATATCTTTTTTTTTTTACATACAGTGCAACTCGCTAATTTCGTAGCAAAAGCTTGGGAATTTAGCCCTGAACAAGACAAAATCGAAGCCCTCGCAAAACTCATGACAAATCTGATGGATACGACTTTGCTCTGCCCTGAAAAACCGTTTGATGAAGCATTGAAGCAATTTTGCCGTAACAACATTCCAACTCATTCTGTATCACCAAGCATTACTTTGTTGATAGCTATCGGCTATATTGAGAGACTGAAGCAGGTAGCTATTATGATACATGGCATCCTTGATGAGCCCGACATACTCATCTCATTTTGTTATAGAAATACCACAACATCAAAGGCACCAAGGGCTGTGGACATCGCCTTATTCTAGTGGCTTACATGATGGCTGCCAAGTTTATGCACGTCAATCTTCGGTCGATCATTAATACATCTACCACTCTATCAGCCTCAGCAAGCACCTCAACATGCACATCCCCTTTGAGTTTACCTAAATCTTTGCCGTCCTTTAGCAACAATATAACTGTGTCTGCTGAAAGATCAACAATTCATAAATATACCCCAAATCTTCCACCTATTTCTGCTACACCCAAACATCAGGAACAGCAAGACCAGTTACCATCACCGCCTACATCACCAAAGTCATTTGCTTCTGATCCACTCCATTACCACTATTTTCAATCTACTAATACTACTTCATCCAGCACTAATAACAACACCCATACCTCCGGCGCTGCACCCAAGCACTCGAATGCCACTCCTGTAAATCATAATGAAAGACACTTCCAGATACTGCGCATGGAATTGGAATTTCTGCATTTCTTAAACTATGATTTGTCATTATCAGACACACTCAAACTTATCCATTGGGCACAGAGGTTTGATGACGATTTACTACCGCCTATTCAAAACAAACATGCTTCTGGTGATGAAGGTGGCAGTGAAGGCAGCAGCAATAGTAGTGATGACTAGTATTTAATAAAAAATATATCGGTCGATTTATCCGATACTTCATTCGCATTAGACTTATTATTTGAATACTAAAATGGAGGGAAAAAGAATCCCCCCCACATGTGTTTATTATGGCTTGTCAACCTCGTTTTGACGTAGAATCAAATGTTACACTTCCAAGCCAACGATCCATCAATTTCGGTAATATACACCGTCTGTTGTTGGTAATTTACAGGTGTCGGTAAAAAGTTTTATTTCTCTTCTTGGGGGGGAAAGATGGAGGGGGGAATATGATGGCAGTATAGTCTTCCATCATCGCTATGATAAGACCCGTCTCTGCCAACACCCCCTTGCAATTTGACATGGGAGAATTTAGCAACGGAAACGACCGCTGGATCGCAGCTGGTAACTGCTAAACCCAAATAAATAAGAGGGGCCATTTCGTTATCCAGGTCATAAAAAAGGCTCCCATATAGCAGTGTCTGATTTGGAGGAATAGGAAGCAATGGAAGCTATTATCGTCCCACCTTGCCTTTGAAGGCGCAATCGATAGGGAGGCAAAAGCTTCTTTGCTCGTACAACATGACCATTTCTTGATAAAAACACGCCATGTTGAGGTGAGAATCCTAGCATAACATGACAAGACGTGTGACCCAAATGCTCCCGTAGCATAATATCAGCATTTGCACAAGGAGCAAAAGTAGCGTGCGATTCTACCGCTGTTTCAATAGTGCCATTTTCATAGAGTTGCTGATAAACAAATCTAAAGGCACCACGGTGGTCAGATCCCCATAGCGTAAATACATGCGCAGAGTCAAATGAAACAGAACTCTTGAGTCCAACTGTGCTTTCTTGGCCGATATCCGTTGTTTACCAATCGTAAGGCAAGTTGGGATTTGGTTGTACAGGGAATGGTAAGCCGTTTAGTTTGGCTTTCAATAGAGGGGCCAGCTTGTGAGCGAATAATTCTTGACCTTTATCGTTCAAATGCAACTAAAAGACAACAATATAAATATCATCAAGGCGTATAAACTGACGACCTACATAAACAAAACACTTACAGGGTTTGTATAGTGAGTGGGTCCGTATCGTATCCATACAGTGGTATCAACAAAGGCGATATTCTCATCTGCAACGCTCATCTGCAACGCTGCCTTTTGTGATTCCTGAAACAAAACGCCCAAGGGTTCAGAGAGCACGATAATAAATGCATGTGGGAATCGATATCTGATGTTGGATAGAAACGTAAATAGCCTTCTAATGTACATTGGACCTGCTGCTGGATAGCGTCGATCATCGTATTCGCCCAACAAAATCGTGATGATGTGTGGTGGAGCATAAAAGCTCTCTCCCTTGAAGTATAAAGTCTCCATTCCCAAGGGCTCTTGATGGTCCATCAGCCATACTTTGGGTGAAGCTATCTGCGATCGTTCTGTGTCTAGTATGTCCGACACAATCAAAGGAAAGCTGGTCATCAGTAATTGCGATGTGCCCAATTCTAGTGTCAAGTCGTGTCTAACGTATTCAATCAGTGGCTGCGGTTGTTGCTATTTGTAGGTGTGGGTGGAGTTTGTCTGCTGAGGGCTAGCCATCTCAATTTCTTAAAGGCAAATTGTAGAGTTCAAATCAGACACAATAGTCAATGTTGTGTTCACATCGACATGCTCTATATGGATTTGAAAGAAGGAGCCTTGATCGCTTGTAGCCATTCTTACTAACTGGCTATTTTTGTTCATTTGAACGTATAAAATAGCAGGCTGACTCAGCCTTAACTTGACCTCGCCACCGTCGTTTGCTGAGGTTTTCAAGTAGGCTCCAGATGAGACACTCTGCATGTCGACTACAGTCTTTTGCCATCGACCGAAATATTGAAGTTCACCATCGTTGAAACGGATTGTTCTCGCTCCTGTGATCTCTATTAAAAACAGAAAAGGAAGCAAATAATAAGCAATCATCATGACACTATACAATAAGAGATGAAAAGAGCAAGCATACACAAAGGAGCTGCCATTATGTTTGATAACTTTGTTGCTGTTGCAGAGCAGCCATCATGGTACAAATGATGCCAGAGAGAGAGGGCCCTAATGACTCCGCTATAAAAAGGATTTCAAGAAGCATTTATTAGAGTTTTTACTAGATTGTGAGCAATTGAAGCGTATGATTTCTCTCTGTAGCGTGAAAAGGGGAAGTATATAGATGTTTACTTGATTTTTTGTTTAGAAAAAAAAAAAAAAACGCAAATTGAATGTAAAATGTGGGTGGAAAGTAATGAAAACGGGAGAGATACTATAATAAATATTTACAAGAGAAGAAGAGAAAGTATAGGAAGATAGAAAGGAATCACAGATTCAACTTATTGCCATTGATCAATCATCATAGCACCCCAATACTCATTAGCAGGCTTGCCAAACTGCTGTTGCTGCTGTTGCTGTTGCTGTTGCTGTTGCTGTTGAGCAAGCTGATAAGAGGGAGTCAATAATGCAGAATCATCTTCAGAGTCATCTTCAGTCATTGGAGAGTTTGCAGACATTGGTTGTAACCAGAGAGGCAATTCAGCAGGTGGAGGAGGTCTGTAATCAGGAGAAGCATAAGTGATGGCAGGCAATTCCTTCTGGGCAGGCTGATCGGGTGAGAATTGTGTATGCAGGTCAAAGTAACGCTTTGTCACAACAGGCTATAGTAGATTTGATTTAATACATCTAGTTGCAATTGACTGTTGAAAATGCATATATACCTCTTCATCTTCATCATCCATTCTACGCTTGTTGCTGCTGTTGCAAGTACGCATTGGCTGATTGAATTGAGATGCTACTGACATGTTAATTCAATTGACACACACTACAGAGGAAGGAGGAGGAGGATGACTTACTATTTCCGAATTGATATGATGCCATTGTGTATAAGAAATCTTTAATTGATGTTTAATTTTTTTTTTTTTTGCAAGTTGAAAAAAAAATTAACAAAGGGAAAGAGAGAGAGAGAGAGAGAGAGAACAATCAAACTTTTCTTCCCCAACTTTGTATTATAGGCTACCCTTTATATATAGATTGATCAAAAAAATTTTATTGCCGAATTTGATCAAAACGAATACCCAAACTCATTACAATGCCTATTGCTAGTAGTCACCGTGAGTTTCTCCGCCTACTATAAATGCACTACGAGAGCAAGTGTCTTGGTTGAACCAGAACAATCCACTCCATGTGCACCCCCCCTAAAAGCCTATCAAGCCAATCGTATAGGGCGTTCGGACATTGGTGATGATGAGACATTTCAGAGAGGAGAGTGTGGTGTGAAACTTGTATAAATCATCTCTCTGCGTCATCAAATGTTTGGAATAGACCCGTAAGTTTAGCTCGTCGACACTGGATGATTTTCATAACATTTCAGGTAAAATAGAGAGAGAGAGAGGGAGAGAGAGAGAGAGAGTCGGCCCCAAGGCGGACCAAACTTGGATGTAACCACTTTTGGACATTATTTGGTCTGGGCATCCTCCATGAGCGAAATAAGAGCCATTTAGTTTCGTGCGATCGTTAATTTTCTCATCAAGAGAGAGTTCGGCTGTCTGCATTTGTGTATCGTTCATATAAAAAAAAAAGCCATGCCATGCTGATATTACATGTCTTGTGAAGGTTCACATTGCGATTTTTCTCATTAGGCGAATCCTGTGCCATCTAGACTATGACTGATTTGAGAAATGTATGTTGCTTCAATATCAAAAATTACTGTTCACTTGACATTTGTATTCAAACATTCCTCTGAAATCAGACAGGTATAGTGCAACTTCCTGAACCGGTTGTCGATCATATTAATTAAGCTGCTATCAATAATAGCTAAGAGCATCGCTTGCATGTCATGGATCAGAGAATAACCATGAATAAATTACTGTCGCATGAAGCTATTCAGCATGAAAGTGTGTCGATTTCATGAAGGGTATTATCCTAGTGCTAAAAAATGAATTTAGCTTTTGGCCGCGCTAAACAAAACTCTATACTAACGTCTAAAGGTAACTGACAACAAGAAGGTCGTTATGTAAATGTATATACGTGCCAGTGGGTAAGTTGCTGCGATACTAATAGCACTGCGTATACGGGCATTAAATCGCTTCCGATGAAAATTGACGATTATACTTATGGAATTACCAACATTTGGTGGATGAATTACACACGCTTCCTCTTTTGTTAACACAGAAATTTGTTCATTTCATTGGACAAACGGTTGAATCTTTGCTGCGAACACATGTGATCATTGAACATTGTTTTGCCGGCGATAGATCAAATGTTCCCTGAGATTCGACAGAAAAGACCAAGAACGCAGATATTAAAATCCGTAGCAGCAACTAGGCAAATGAGCAAGGTGGTTTAATTAATGTCCCTCAAGTCAAATGCTCAGAAAGCCGATCAGTGCGCAATGATGCGTAAGAGATTTCATGCGTACGATGGATACACTTTGAAGAGGATTTACTACAATTAAACAGCTACTGAATGCTAAATGAACAATTGAGACACTATACATCGAATGAATGCTTCTATTGATGCTAATGTAAGAAGTGATGTTTTAGTTTCTCCATCAAAATGTTGAATCAACCGCAAAGATACCTATGTTAGCCGAGGCTTAGAGATGATTCAGTGACACTAAGCCCCTTCTATCAAAAAACAGCCAAATCTGATGACCAAGTATGACTCTGGCTTCTCTTATTACATTGCAAACGTTTAACGAAACGCCTTGCAATCGCCCCATTCTCATTATTCTTACTGCTTGGCCATGCAAGATGAAAGACTCTCTAGAATGATGCCGTCCACTAGTGAAACTGCATGTATTTGAAATGTATTTACACATGTAAAGCTCTATTTATTCTTTGAAATCCTCATCTTCATTATCATCGTAATGGTGATGTAGATAGGATGCTTTTGCTTGTAATGAACGTATAATATCATGGGTTCGTGAGTCTAATGTACAGATGGAAGCCTCTTCTTGGGGTGAAATATGATGTCTTGCCAGCATTCTCTCTATAAACAAGATGGCAGGATCAGCGAATACAGTTCTTGCACGACGCAAAATCAGCTGTGATCGATTCAGGTTGATTTGACATATGGACTTCACTTCAGGGATGTGACAAGAGCGATCAATGACGAGGTAGAGGTGGATGGTCAACATGATGCCATAGACTGGACTGTAGTGACAGCCAATGGTATCCATGAAGGTGAGTGCTTCCAAGATGAGGGTATAATTATCGAGTATTGTCAAACAACCAACTACGACATAAAACTCGAGTTCGTGGTCATTTTCTGTTGGGAAATCGACTGCTGAGGTTATTATGGACGGGTTGATTTTTGTGAAGGGTAGTGTGGTGTTTGTTGTGTCCGCCACTTGCACAATTCGCTGGTAAATGTCGTTCAGATCAGCACATCTCGAAGCGTCCTCTTCCCTTATAAATGCATCGAAATAACGTTTTGGTATGAATGGTACTCGGGCAAATATCTGGCTATGACAGTAGAGTTCGTGTAGTAGCAGCGATTCAAAATTGGATTTGATATTCCATGCCTGATTTGGTTTGTCAAAATCCAACTTGAAGATGTCTGGTGTATTAAAGTAAGTTTGAAACAGTTGCTCGTCTAATCCGGATTCCAGTGCCTTGGGTGATTGCAGCGACAACATGTAGGCTGATTTGAGTAGTTCCATCTTTCGCAGCATGACGATGCGGCAATACTGCGAAAAGAACTCTACCTTGATCGACCCCCTTTCGTTCGGCAGTGGCTGTGGAAAGTCGACATGCCAATCCACAACATCAATCAGACCCGTCTGTCCCGTTGTATTGAAATCCGCATAGTAATCTGCGCACAGCAACATCCAGCCTAGTCTTCGCAACCTCTCTTTCTGATCCGACTCCTTTGTGTTTTGTCTATCCAGTTTGTGCAGATCCATTGCCAGTGCCATTCGAATCGCCATAGTGAGTAGAGGTGTTTTTATTCGTGCCTGAGAGAACAGATGCATATGGCCCTGGGGAAACAATGATAATATAAACATTGACTGTACCACGGATATATGATGCACATCAAACAGATCCTGTAACAACTGGCGAGCCTGAGCATAGTACGCGTGCATCAGTGCGTTGGCAACCGACACAAGGCCCTTGTGGTGCAGTGTTGTATGGTGGATCATGAGTGTGCAAATGCTGAGGGTCAGCAGTGTTTCGACCGTGTGTTCTTTCGCAGCGCCTGGTTGAGATAGGATCATCTCTGTATTTGCAATTAGACTGGGAACGTCCAGGAAAAATGAGTAGCCACAGTCAATAAAGCATTGCACACAGTGTCTCATCAGTTGCATTGAATGGTACTTTTCAAGCTGTTCTATGCGCGGAATAGTCATGGCAGTAGACAGTCGTAGCACAGGTTCGATAGTGTGCCGAAATATCGCATTAAATTGATCTGAATTCACCTTCTTCTTATACTTGAACTTGGGCGGTTGCGGCTTCACATTGATTCGAATCAGTTCCAGCACTTTCTCTAATCCAGATACTGTTAAAATGCTTGTGTCCAGCGTCATCATGGTGGGTGTGAGGTTCAGTTGCCACGTGACAGCATTGTCTTGTTGCTCGTCTGTCTCTGCGACAGTGTCATTGTCTGTTGGAGTGGCATCTTTATTTAAAGAATTATCAGCATGCTTTAGTATTTGAATGGCTTCTTTCAGGAATTGGTCGATCAGTACTGAACTACTAACATTGCTGTCTTTTTTGGAGAAAGAGAGCGGTGATATGCGCTCATGAGCTATCATGATGAGGACAGAGAAAGAGAAAGAGGGAGAGAGAGAGAGAGAGAGAGAGGGATGTTGGATAAACAAAAGGAAAAAAAAAAAAAAAAAAAAAAAAAAAAAAGGGCCAATTTAAAGTTTTGGGTCAAGGTATTCAAATGCGTACGGTACATGTAGCTTATTGTGCAGGCCCGTCACCCACTCAATCCGTACATTGGATGCTGAATCGTTCAAACCCAGTGTTGGGGCTGCTGGATCAATGGCAAGGCATTACAGATGCTACATTCGTCCATATCTTGCGTTTAAGAGAGAATGAGGGCACCACAGCGTCCATCTAGGGAGTGACATTGGGAAACCTCAAATTTTTCCTAATTGCATGTTGATTGATTTTTTTTAAGGGGGTTGAACCTGTTTATACAGCGACAAACGGCAAACCGTTCAGTAATGGCAATTTTTCGTAATCTCCATGATCCACAAACTCCTCTGACTATGTCAATATTTGTTTATTCCAAAATGTGTATATACAATGTGAGTGCGTGCGTGTGTGTAAATGCGTGCGGTTATTCGGTTCAAAATAGAGAGAGAACATGGCTCATTTCTTGTGTCGGCCTCTCATCTTTAGCAAACAATTGCTGCAATACCACTTTCCTTTTGGCACAGTCTTGAGGTCTACGCAAGCCAAATGGAACCATTCAATTTCACAATCCGTATTATCACAAGCAACCATCTCGCCATACGACACTTGCTGACAGTAACAGTAGAGAGGTTCGTTGGGATCAATGGGTAAATCTGCTGGCACAACTGTCTTGGGCTTGCCATTGCTGTTTTTACTGGTATTGTAGGTGCTTTTCGTCTTTTCTTTTTCAAGGTTTTTGAGTGATTTGGATTCTTTCAAAGCCTGAGCACGAACAGCTGGCGAAGGAGGGGCGCCTCCATTGGCGGCATTGTTGGGATCTTTGGCAGTTTTTCTCTCTATTATGAATGGGAAGAATGCGTTAGTCATGTGTGCGCCTTATGGATCGATAGATGAAATATCCTACTTTTAACAACTGTGGAGCCAGATATGATTAGTTTTACTGTTGCAAATTTTCTCGTGATAGACACACTTACTCTTCTTTTCTCCCTTGGGATCTTTTCTCTCTCTTTCGAGTCTCTTGGTGGCCCTTTCCCTCACATCTGCACCTTCCTTCAGACTACGTGCTGATGGTTGTAAACCAGGCAATGTTGTAATTCGACTATCGCCCACTATCTGATCCTCCTCAAACTTGACCAGGTCAGCGTCTAAGCGATTGCAATGACGATCAACCTATGTTGATAAATATGAATAAACACTGCGTAATCATCTAGATGAGATCCTACTCACTGCATCGTAGGTGGACTTTGCTAATGCTACTTTCTCTTCGCCTCGCTTCAATGTCTCTGTTAAAACATTGCTAAGGTTCTTTAGCTTGTCGAGGCGTAAATTAGGGTCCATATCTTTGATGTTGTCAATGAGTTCGATTGCGTCTTTTGATACTGTGTCTATGAGTTCTAGTACAACAAGATGAGTTACTGCCATTGAGCATGTCTCAATGCGACAACTCTACCTTGTGCATAACCATCCAATTCTCTCATCAGCGTAAAATTCCTTTGCAGGTCTAATGGCACTGCCTCAATTGCTATCATATAAAATCATGAGTTCATGGCTCTCGCGTATCTATAGGCTGCATTACTATCAATATAGTCGTCCAAATAGACCAGATTATCAAAATGCTTGGGTACAGAGTGCACTGATTTCATGACAAAAAAGTTGCTGGTTATATACAGGAAAGAAAAAAGGGAAATACAATGTCTCCATTGTCAAGTGGCGCTTTTCAAAAAAAGTATAGCTTTGTGCTCTCAGACGGTCCAATGGCTGCTGCTCTTGATAGCGATGCTAATCTGCGCTCATCTGACATGTATGAAACTTTGAAATCCCTGTCATGAAGCTTTTTTAAATGATACGAGTGTCTATGCTTCGATGAGAATCAACCTGCGCAGCGGCAGCTCGTGCTACCGATTGCTCTTGCGTATTTTGTCAAAATACTGCTACTTTTATTTTGACCCTCCATTTACACGTAACAACCCTTCATATTATCTGTGGAACTGATTCTTATGTGATGCTCTGCATCCATATACACGTAGCTACTTCATATACGGACAAGCAGTATATTGTTATTTCCCCTTTTTAGTTCTTAGTGTCCCTGCTACAGCAAAATATGAGCGTATTCGAGCTGCGTTTTCTTGCGTTCAAGGCCGTTTTAGATGGTCAGAAGAGCACCAAACAATTGCTCTCATCTGGCAGTTACTTTCAGACACCTTTGCTCAACTTTTTTGGGGATCAAAAAAACATGGTCAAAATTCGGCCAAAAAGCATGAGGTACCCCTCATGATTTTCATCGAACATCAAACGATCGCGTTTTTGACCTTAAAAATGAAGACATTTACTAAGGCATATAATAAATCAAAACATTTCTCTTGGTCCAACGCAGCCTCTGAAATCGCGTTTGTGAAGTTTTCATATACAAAATTTCGACATTTTAGCCAGAAACCTCATTTCATATTTTCTGAAATTGCTCGGTAAGTTCAGTCGAAGCATCTATTTTACTTGGTACCATTGGAAGCGCCATAAAAAGTACTCTTAAAAAGCTTAAGGGAGCATGAGATGATCATCACATTTATACAGTCGAATCTGGCAAAATAGTTCAACTAAGTAGAAAAGCTATCGAAATTTGGCCAACCTGGCCAATCTAGAGTAGAACAATAATCTGGGCTTGAATTATTTTTGGCGCCTGGTGGAGCCGGCTGGCAAACTCAATGCCCTTTCCATCATGAAGGCAATACGATAATAGATGCTTTCGAAGCGTATGAAAAGTAGGTGGCAAGCCATAGCACTATCATTTGTCATGCTATTTTCTTGCATTCTATATTTAATAACGTTAGTCTGTACATTGATGATTCATGGGCTGCGTAACATGTCTGCAGTAAGTAGTGAAATCTCTGAGGTTTCGGGCCGTCGTTCAAAGAAAACGTCGACAGCATTGAGCAGAGGAAAGAGGGTAGATATCATCAATCGTATATGAGCCAGGCCTGACAGATGCCTGGCAACTCAGTTTTCATATTAAGGTTATAAAAATGTCTAGGAACTATCAATTTATTATGCTATGATATGCTTTTCGTATCGCTTGGTTGTCAAGGGCTTATTTGAGCCTATGCGAAATGAGAGGAGAAAGTTCAGATTATATTCAGTATCGAGATAGATGGTATGTGGCGATTGGCCATTGCTCTTATAGTGCTTCATACCATCCAATCTGTTCACATCTTCCCCAATACTAGTATTCCAGCCCATAACTATCACAACAGCAGCGACAAAATGCCCTTAATCTATCAGTATCATACGATATCTTGTTCCGACGCAATGACAGCTTAAGAACAACAGCAACCACTTACATGATCCATTAGATCTCATGCTTAATAAAACAGACTATATGTGCATCTTTAACTCACTGAAAAAGTGAAAACATTCGATTCAATTGTGTAGGCAGCTTGTATCGTATGCAACGAGTATAGGGTATGAACCTTGTAAGGGATTGATGTGGATGAAATCTCAAGATACACAAACCAAGCAACCAAATGCCCACTCCGCCGCTGGATCAACAGCAACAGATCAAATGTTTGCTTACGATGGTTTTTAGCTATCATGTTCCTGATGAAGCATGGCTGTTCTATGCGCACAATTGGCGATTGCATGAAGCTGATCACATCCTTCCAGAAAACAGTATTTGCTCTAACAAATCATAGAAGGATGCAGCTGTCAAATGCAATCAATGTAACAAAAGCACCGTTCCTCAAGTTTCTCCAGTCACTTTTTTTTTTTTCGTGATAATCAAGCCTCGAAGAAAACATTTGATTCAAGTGCACTTTCCAACTGAACAAGCCCAGCTAGTAGAATATGAGCAACATGAATTTGAAAAGAAAAGCCTCCGAGGATTATGAGGAGCCCATCAAAAGAGTGGCCTCTTCTTCTGGCCAAAATGGTTCCGATGGCGAAGATTCAGATGATGGTCTCCAAGTAGGTTTCTGCATTAAAGAGATGTGTGTCCATGTTGCTTAACAGTCAGTGCAGGATATTGTCGATGTAGATTTTGATTTCTATAATCCTGATGATGTTGATTACCATGCATTGAAGAAATTGTTGACCCAGCTATTCTCAACAGATGCCGAACTCTTGAACTTGGGTGATTTCGCTGATATCATGATTGAAGAAAACCAAGTGGGCACCACTGTTAAAGTAGACGATCAAAAGTCTGATCCATACGCTATTCTAAGCATCATCAACCTGACTCATCAAAAGGTAAGGTCTGATATACGCTTATGAACCAGAAGACTCAATGTGGGATGGGAATCTTAGGACAAGGAAGGCGTCAAGCAATTATGCAGTTACCTCGCCAACAAATGCCCTAAAAAAAACGAAGCTCTCCACAAAGCAGTGAAGCAGATTCTATCGCTTTCTTCAACAGACAAGCATGTTGGTTGGGTTGTCTCTGAACGCTTCATCAATATGCCCGTTGAAATCATGGCACCCATGTATACCATGCTTACCGATGAGTTGAAAAATGCCGTGAAAGAGGTAACGTACAGCGGGATGTGGTGTGTGAGCGCCTTCATCTGACCATGACTGCAGAAAGAGCCTTATGTATTTGAATGGTACATGTTCATCTCCAAGACCTACAAGGAAGTAACTTCCTCCATTGACGAAGACGGAGAAGAACCTCAATTAAAGAAAGTCAAAGCCTCGTCATCATCATCAGCAGAGGCACCCTCAGAGACCTTTTATTTCCAGTCTGAAGACGAGATCATTGCTAAATATGCAGAATATCAATACGATTTCAAGTTTACAAACAAGGAAAAGGAACAAGCAGCCGACTCACGACGTGCCTTTTCCGACTTTGGCATTGCACCCGCTCGTAAATTATTGTTGGTGCACAAATCAAAATTCAATGACATGGTGAATGAAATCACAAAGACCTGTTCATCCACCTCAGCAGCTTGAATAAAATGTATATAAATTTTTATTAGATTATCATCTTATGAGTGCATCAGAGGGCTTGGACCATATTTTGACAGAGTGATCGTAGCCAGCACTGACAAGCCCAACTTCTGCATCCAGCACCAGAGATCGGATCATGGCTTCGTGGCCAGTCAGTGAGTCAACCACACGCCCTGTCTTGGTTTCCACTACACTGATGGTATTGTCATCGCCACCTGAGGCATAAAAGTACAGTCCGGAGGGATGCCACACTTGTCTTTTCGTGGCAAATGTGTTGTCTGTTGCATTGACATAATAGTTTTGTATCTGTCTTGATGTGCCAGTCTCAAACAAGATGGTTCTTCCGCTTTTATGATCTGTTGTGCACAGCAGCTGACTGCCATCAGATGAAACTGATATACAGATGGGCGAAAAGGAGACCCAATCATCTCCTGTGGCGTTCATGTTGATGCGTTGTTGTTGCATGTTGTTTTCAAGATTGATGTAATGCAAGTAGTTGTCATCACGCACGCCTACCACAAGAGTAGTATCGTTGGTAAAGCAAATCGTCTCGGCGTTTCCAATAAAAGGCCCCAGTTTCTTGATAAGCTTGTATTTGGGCAAGAATGCTGATCCCTCTGCTTCATCCACACGATAGATACACACGGTGCGATCATAGGAGGCGGTTGCAATGAACTTGCCTGTACCTGGTGAGAACAGGCCACGCACGACATACTTTTGATGGTCCTTGAAGACTTGGTGAATACCAGCTTTTTCAAGATCCTCGCCGAAATCAGCTTCAAACGATGTGTCGACGAGCACACTGGTGCCATCCATGGAAGTGGTCAGCATGAGATTGGGTAAGGTGGGATGAAAGTCGATGCTCAATACAGGTGCTTGATGGTGACGGTAGCTTCTTTGAGAGATATCTGCATTGCTATTACATAACATGGTGCTGATTTTCACAGTTTTGTCAATGGAGCTTGTTGCTAAAGCATGTGTTTGAGGTTCAATGGCAACTGCCAAAATGTTGGTATAATGGATATCCGAGAAGTCAGATACCATGGAGGTAAAATAGTCGCCATCACCATCGACGAGTTCATTTGGTCTAGAAGAAGTCAGAGTTTCAGGTTCTTGTAGCCTTTGTTTTCTCTTGTTTTTTTTTTTGTACCTTTGTATTTGTAACTGGGATAGATCATTGACAAGTTGGTCATCAGATACTTGCAAGGAAGGCAGTGTATCTAAATGACGCCGAGCTTCTCTTTTGAATGCTTCAACCGACTCCATGTAGCCATGGTTCATGAGGAATTGCAACACGGAGGCATGCAGTTGTGGGCTGCTGCTGTTGGACATGATGATTGGTTTGTAACTGAAAAGAAAAAGAAGGGTGAAAAAGAAGGCCTCGAGTTTAAATATGATTGTGACAGAAGACGGCGCACAGGCATTTATTAATGTGATACCTTGGCATGCTTGATGATCCTGTCCGCTGGTTTCGCGTTGCATTTTGGATGCTTTGTGCTCTGCTTAATTGTCTTCATAGCTACAAAGACATTAGTCTCATTTATAAAGTCCAACAGATAGTTTATATGTGGCTTTGCATAAATCAAATGAATATCACAATTGATGCCAGCAGAACCATATATTTGACATCGAATTTGCGAGCGTAACTATCTGAAATCTTGAAACGAATCACAAAAAACAGTTTTACAGTTTATCTACCCTTATCTCAAACGTATTTAGTATGTATCACGGATCAAACATTCTATACAAAGCAGAATGGCAGTCTAAATATTGCGTTTGGGATGAGCAATCCGCAACAGTCAAGTCTATCAGGTAATTATAACCATAAAAAACACAAATGGTAGTATAATATCACTAGCGGATCTATTTCGCTACGCTCGATGTCGTCGTCGTCCTGTGGGCTCTCGCCAAAGACATTTTAAATCGAATAGAATAAAGTTTTGGTATAACAAGTAGATTTTAAACAATCAATTATTCGTTAGTAAAAGAACAGTTATATCAGAGCCAGGAGGAGGAGGAGGAGAGGAGGTGACATCCTTCTTGCTTACACTGATATCAAACGAAGCCTATTATTGGGACAATGCGAAAGGCATTTCAAATTTTATGCAGCATTTGTACATCACAATCGCCATTTTCTGATAGTAGAATTGTCATAATATTCACTGCTGCTGATACTCTAAATAAGATGGCGACATAAAGCTGGCCATAAGTAAATACAGAACTTGTGTAAGATCTACAGCGATTCTTTTTTTTTTCTTTGAGATATTGTCATTGCAAAAGACACCTTCATGAGGAAAATCTCCCCCAAAAAGTATCGCGCTAAGCAATTGTCCTTTCAATTCCATGATCCCCATTTAATCAGCATCGCAATCATCATTGTCATCAACAGAAAGGCATTTAGGTCAGTCAGCAGCAATGCCGCCGCCAAATTTAATTAAACCTCAGCTTATTTTTTTTTTTGTTCAAGATTGGACAGATATCGTCTTCTTTCGACTTCTTTCATCTATTTTATGATATTTGACTATATAAACTGTAATGATCACCCTACGCTTCCTAATACATTCTTGAAGCACTTTTCAAGGCGCCTCCAATGGTACCAAGTAAAGTAGATGTTTTGAATAAATTGATTGAGCAATTTGGTAAAATTTGAAATGAGGTTTTTAGCCAAAATAGGCATATTTTGCATATGAAAACTTCATAAAAATGGTCTCAGAGGTTGCTTTGGATCGAGAGACACATTTTGATTCAAGATATACCATAGTAAAAGTCTTCATTTTCAAGGTGAAAACCGGGATCATTTGATTTTCGATGAAAAGCATGAGGTACCCCTTATGCTTTTTGGTCGATTTTTGGCTATGATTTTTTTTTGGCCCAAAAAGTTGAGCAAAGGTGTCAGCAAGTTAGTGCTTGTTGAAAGCAATTGTTTGGTGCTACTCTCGAGTTCCAAAACGGCCTCTAAGACGAGAAATCATAGCTCAAATGTACACAGATTTCGCTGTATTTTGCACATTTAGGTGCAGTAAGAGGCATTGTAAGCATGCGGCCTGCCTATATATGCGTTATTTCCATTGATACAGGCGTAGAGCATTGTGCGAGTGTCAGATACAGTTCAGTTTTGAGAGTTTTCGTCTGATGATGGAAGATTAAACAGTGAAACTTCAGTGTGCTAAACAAATAAACACGAAAAAAAAAACTTTCCTATCAACATTGACCCATTATAATGTATGATAGCACGCATTGCCTAAATATGCTTGCAACCATGTGTACAGCGTATAATTACACACAGGATAGGACTTGTCGTTACATTATCTTTTAGCGGTAAGTTTAAGGACGTATCCGAATCAAGCCCGAAGTTACACATCTTGGACACCTTCTGAATGCATGAAAAAGGGCTTGTCAATACAAATATAAGCATTGAGCCATTGTTCTTCAGCAGTGCAATTACCCTGTGGAAGACACCATGCGTCATGCCATGCAGTGATTCAAACTTTAAATATTACATCGATTTAAGATGATTCAAATGTTGAAAAATTATATATTTATTTACAAACTCCATTGATATTTTTGAAAACATGCCAAGCTGTATCACTAGACTAATAATGTTTGAAAAGACTTGGTATCGTAATAAAGGATATTACCAAACCCAGCACAATAATGGCAGCCAAGACAAAAAATGCAAAAAATATCAACCGACCATCATACACTGTATGTATCCATGATCGAAAGTAGTATCTAACACGCTGGTGAAGCGGTAATCTTGCTATGTATGACCAACTGTCACTGTCATCGTCCAATTCAGCGCTGTACTCTTGATTGCTATACAAGGCCTGGTCAGAATCCGAAATGTAAGGTTGGTTCTTGTAGTATAAACGAGTGGTAGATTGCAGGTAGCTTGGAGGAGGCGGGGCATCCAATGTGGTAGATTCATAGCATGGAGGTGAGGGCAATGCTGATGGTGTTGGATCAATGTCTATCATGATTTCTCGATGGCCTTGTTGGTCTGGTTGGCTCTGTTGCATGACTTGAGCCTTTTCGTTCATTTTGTATTGTAATTGAAGAAGAGAAGAGAAGAAAGACAATCAATGATTGTTGAGTAGTGCTGGAAAAATAAAGTTTACTATATAAATTTCGGAAAAACAATGAAATGAAGCAGTTGTGTGTGTGTGTAAACAAACAGAAAAGAAAGAAAAACACCTTCTCCTTGGGGGGGGGGGGTTTTTTCCTGACAGGTATAGGGAATTCATAATGTTCATCTCGTTTGTGATCTCAAATCTCTCGTCGGTTGGGCGAACGGTACCAGCAACTCTTCATTGTTGATACCGGCTTTGCTAAATCTTGAAAGGAGTGTATTATGACGGGATGTGTAAGAATACTATCATACAGTTGAAAACTCGGATCCAGATGTCCACTGTAGAATAAAACCCCTCTTCTTATTTTATAGCCAACACGCCGTTTCAGGAAGATGCAATCAATCGAGTAACACTGGTCCGTCCCTCTGTTCTTATACTACTTTCCAGGCCATGCATAACCTAACTTTTAGTATAAAGCATTGATCCCCTTTCTAGATTAAATTTCATTATTTTTTCGCCCTCTCTGCATCATGGCTCTCTTCTTTTGCATTCCTTGCTTCCTAAACGCGTATGAAAATTCTTGCCGCTTGCAGAATCCAGAATGCGCAGAGGCATATTCCGTAGACTGTGGTCGGATGGCCATGTCACAATGCGAAGCGACTTTACTGCATTGTGCATGAATCTTGACTAGCTTTCAATATTAGACTTGGCCCATACGTAAGCATTAATGTCAGGCGCATGCATTGCGAGGAATTCAAAACGGACAGGAAAACTAAACTGCTGTAGACTACAGGACGAGGCTGTGTGCTCAAGAACCCGCATCGGTATGAGAGCATTGCGGCTGAAAAGGACCGTCTGCCAGCGGTAACGTCAATAATTACACATATCTCATCACTACCTATGCTTGCAACTAGATGCAAGAGATAGCATGTTTTTTTTTGCAAGCCCTTTTGGCTCACGAAGACTGTCTAAATCCTGAAAACATAATTCATCACCTTGATAAAGACTCTTCACATCACATCAAACAGGTTGAATTGATTCGGAATTCAAACCAATTGTTCATTGCTCAGACGCAATACTGGATTTTATAGAAATGGTGGGTAGTTTTGTTGCTCTTATAACGTTACTGATTCAAATCAAATGATGCCATGATATAACCAAGCATCCATTTTATCTCTTTAGGACGCTTCTTTTGAGATAAGCAGCCTCGCTCCTCTTTTTAAAATGCTTTTGAATGCGATCAGTAACCATGCTATTTTGACATGTCCGTGACCATTTTGACATGGCAAGCCACCCTATTCTGCGAAAAGTAAATTGCGAAAAATAGATTTTTTCATACACTTTTACACATTACAATATACAAAATGGGAAAGAGAAAGGCTTCTGTCGACCATTCATCATCTTCTCGCCATGTCAAGGTTGAAATAGTAGAAAAACAGCTCGATGTTGAGACACCTTATTTAGGTAATTTCCTCCTTTCAGATCCAAAAGTGTATGTGTGTCGAAACAATGCTAAAATTTCAACCTGCACATAGCTACATTTCCCGGCACAAAGCCATCTTCTGACATGAGCTTCACTGCTTATAAAAACGGCGATGTCAACCCTTCTTCCAAAAAGGCATATCAACGTATCGTTTCAGGCGAAACAGATAAAGTCAGCTTCAAGGCATCCAACTTTGGTGCTGATGCTGTACGCAATGTTCAGTGCAAGTATGTGTTATTCTAGATCTGCAGATATGAGGCTTATTAGCTAATGCAACTATTAGATATATTGTCGGTGTCTACTCTAAAAAGAGCAACACATTGAATATCGCCAATGCACCTATTATGAAAATGTCACGAACCGTCAAGGCATTGAGCTCTGATATGACAGCCAACAACACCATCGCCAGAGGACAAATCGCTCGTGCTGCACTTGGTTTAGCATTTGGTACCGCCAAGGCTAAATCTCAATTGAAGAGTGATGAACGTAACTTGGTTACCGGTGATGATTTGATGGAGGAGATGAATACTTTACATTCTGAAATTGGTAAAGCAACTGCCAACATACCAAAGAAGAGCGAGATGAAGAAATCAATGGAGTTATCTTTACCTGTACCTGATCACAACATGGATGCCGAATCTCCTGACGATGTGTACGATATCTCATCCATTGTCACTGATGAAGAGCTTCAAACTTTGAACTATAAGGAATTGTTGAAGGAAACATCTTTGGAGGGTGTCAAGAGCTTGTTGGCTTACCATGATTCCAAGTTTGTCAATGATCGCCTTATGTCGATTTTAGGTTCTTCTGGAAAGAAGGATCGTAAAAGAGTCCGTACTCTCATGTATATCAACTTACTCATGGCTTACTATGCTCGTGTTCGCCCCAGTGATTTGAAAAATCGTAGAAAGGTGGAAGCGGCTTTGAAGACCCCCTCACCCTTGGTTCTCGATAAACTCGCTGATAGATACACCGAAGCCAACTTGTAAGTAATTCATGGATTATGTGTAGAATATTGATTATTAACGTACTCCTCAATCTAGCCGTACGCCTATGATGGCTGATAAAATTCTCTTATACATGTTTACCCTCATTCTCTCAATTTCTGGATACAGCGTACTCATTGACGATATTGGCAAGGATCTCTTACTCAAACCCGCAAAGGTTGCATCACTATTCAGAAGTTTAGGGTGTAAGGTGGATAAGGCTAGTGCAGAGGAATGTCGTGAAACTGGCAACAAACAAGCCAAGAAGGCAACTTTAGTTGTGCCTTTGAAGTTTCCCGAAGTCAGAACTGGTGTTAGCCGTCGTTAAAATATCTTAGAATTCATCATTAACCATCTTTTTTTCTTTTTTTTCATATAAATAAAATAAAAACCCTGTTAAATATTAATACAAATTTCGGCTCAGTTGCTTTTCTGATCCAAGATGAACTGTCTGCTTTGGGAACGAAGTAAACCTTTTCATTGGTCTTGTCATTGGGATTGAATGGCCTTTCAAAATCAACATTTGGGAATGCAGAATTTGATTTCTCCAGACAGTTCTACAAAGCCAACGCCTGATATATTCAGCTTGTCTTGTATGATATGATACCTCATCTCCTGAGCTATCTGCTAGTATGCTCCATACTTGAATAGCATGCTACCATGTAGAGATAATATGGTGCAAACAGGAGCATAGATCTCATGTCATGCCTGTGCGATACAATCCATTTTTCATCTTGACATTTGGATAACCAATGCCCACTCAGCAGTCACTGCGATCGGTAAGCGCAATGGATATCGAACATGTACCAACATCCAACGACAATCTCGGCCATCAGAGCCATCAGGAACACTAGCCATGCGGGGGAGGACAAAGCTTTAGATCAAGTTTGATTTGTGACGATCCAAATCAATGAAAAAAAAAAAAAAAAAAAGCTTATATTCTCTGGGACTGGTTTGTTTGCATTGAATGTATTCCAAAGAAATAAAAGAGACATGTATTAAAAAAAAAAACTTTTCTTGAAGCCTTCTTTTTTCCTTTCTTTAGAAAACTTTTATACAGAATGTCTGCACCTGCCGCTGCTCCAGCCACCGATGCTAGCTTGACAAGCAAGGATTACTACTTTGATTCATATGCTCACTTTGGTAAGTCATTCAAATGTGTTGTCTCGGTAACTGTATTCTGACATATGATATTTGTTTTAGGCATCCACGAGGTAAATCCTGGCTCAGGGCATCTAGGAAGGAAATGATTGCATGTATTAACATCAATGTCAAATAGGAAATGCTGAAGGATGAGGTCCGTACTTTGTCTTACCGTAACTCCATCTACAACAACAAGCATCTCTTCAAGGATAAGGTTGTTCTCGATGTTGGTTGTGGTACTGGTATCCTTTCCATGTTTGCTGCTAAGGCTGGCGCCAAGCACGTTTATGGTGTAAGTATTACGGAGAATGCAGCTCATAGTAATAGGGTGATGTTGATGGGTTTCAATAGATTGATATGTCCAATATCATTCACCAAGCTCGTATCATTGTCAAGGACAATGGTTTGGCTGACAAGGTTACCCTTATCCAAGGTAAGATGGAGGAGGTCGTTTTGCCTGTTGATAAGGTCGATATCATCATTTCTGAATGGATGGGCTACTTCTTGTTGTACGAGTCCATGCTTGATACTGTTCTTGTCGCCAGAGACAAGTACTTGGCTCCTGGAGGTATGATCTTCCCTGACAAGGCTACCATGTGTATCGCTGCCATCGAAGATGGTGATTACAAGGAAGAAAAGATTGGTTACTGGGACAATGTGTATGGTTTCGATTACTCCTCCATCAAGAAGATTGCTATTAAGGAACCTTTGGTTGACATTGTTGAACCTCGTTGTATTATGAGTGATACCTGCGCTTTCAAGGAAATTGATATCGCTACCGTTACCAAGGAAGATTTGAACTTCAAGGCCCCCTTCAAGATTACTGCCGAACGTGATGATTACGTTCATGCTTTCATCTCTTGGTTCGACATCTCCTTCACACACTGCCACAAGCCTGTTGAATTCTCTACAGGTCCTTTCTCCAAATACACTCACTGGAAGCAAACTGTCTTCTATACTCCTGACGCTTTGACTTTGAAGAAGGGTGAGAGCATTGAAGGTGAATTGACTTGTTCTCCCAACAAGTCTAACCCCAGAGATCTTGATATTATCATCGACTATAAGTTCGCTGGTGCTCATGGTGATGTCCATGAAGTCTGTGATTACAAGATGTCTTAGACAACTCACTACATCTGTTATATATATTATTCTTTCAACTCTTTTCCTTTATTTTGTAACTAAAAAATGCATTTCTTTATTATTTTTACATTTGTTTTCTTAATAAAATAATACTAGACTTTTTTCATATCACTAAATAGCGTTGAAAAGGTTGCCAAATGTTGTTTAGACATCCAGAATGCTGTATATCGGTACCCATATACCGCAGAAGAGAGCTGGATGCATTTTGCTCCTTCTGAGTGATTTAGCTCAATGCAGTTCTTGGTGAAAGCAACCATCATGTCCGAAACTACTAAACAGTACCTGAAAGATGATTTTAATTGCTATTTACCATTGTATATTATCGGCTATGTTATCTTTCTGACCAAAATCGTATCATGTCACAGGATTACAGCAGCTTTAGAGTCAAATACAGTTATCCAGGAACAACACGCCCTTAGGAATGTTTGGTCTGACGGCAATTTGAGGGTTGAATCTCTACATTTGCATTACGTTGCATTGATACATATAGTGAACAGCGAGGATTGCTAACTAAGAGACTTATAAATGATTGCCCAGATATCGCCTACAGGCTATTCTTTGGTTATCATGAGCAACAAGCATAGTGTCGCTTTTAAAATCAAAGCAATGTTTAGCTCCAGTTTACATTGGATTAAGAAATCCACATTTTGAGTGGTCGATTAGGTCATCAGAGCTTCTACCAGTATTAATATATGATGGTTTAGTACTAAAAATGTACCGCAAATGCAACCACGCCTTCATGTACACTTGATTTTATAATATTTGACAGTTTGTACATAGTTATCAGAGACTATGACATGATTTCGTCTAACTATTTCAGAGTACACTCATTTGTGCTATACGTATATAGACTTGCGAGAACGCAAAAAAAGCACAATTTCTCACAATCAGTCGTAATGTCCGTATGCACAACAGCTCGCACAGTAATGGAATAATGCGGGCAATTTAACAAATAATGCTTCATGGTGATACAAGATCACTAAATACAAAAAGGAACTCAAAGGGTCGTAGGCTGTGACACAGTAGGTAATTAGGGCTACTATTTCAGATTCTTTTGTCTATCTGAATCGAGTACAAAACCCTAATTGCCTAGTGCTACCAAGATTCCAAGAATATATTGGTGTGGGTATTCATTGTAATGCACAAGGGAATCAGATCAAGAAATACCAACCAATCTTTTCGCATTTATCCTTATTTGAAAAAGGGATGCATTGATTCAAAGAAGAGCAAGAATATTGTCTGCGAAATCTCTTGCGTTATATGATGCTTTCTGTTTGTTCTTAAGAGATCAACCTGCATTGATTTATACTCAATGGAGATTACCGTCATGAGAAATCAGTTGATATTCTTTCGATTCGCTTGTATCCCCCCAAGACCAACATTATTTTAGTATATATTTCTTATCAAAGAGGTAAAAGGTGAATGGTTACGGTATCTCCAAGATAAGCTCATACATGTGAGGCTGTAATGTGTGATAGCTTGGTTGCATTGTCTTTATGATAAATCATAAGTGAGAATTTTTGCTGTACTCTTAACATGATGGACTGGCCATGACCTTCAATGTACTCACATTAGTAAATTTTTTCTCATTGTAAATTTCTGCAAGCATTATAGGATGATATTCTCGTATCACAACAGGGTTGAGTTACGAAATATTGATGCTATGTCAGATCAAGAAATCGAAAGCACATAGGGACATGTGAGAAGAAATGCTGTGATATGGTTCGTTTATTTGTTATACGGGTTTGCCTATAACAGGTGATACATTTGGTGTTGCTAATGCTATTACGACTACCGCTATTGAGAAAGTAATAGTGCCACACATTTAAAGTGATTATTGAATAGAACCAAACATGGCAAGAAATGACGAAAAATTCATACCGACTAATCCAGATCAAATAGGTTCAAAGCAATACAAAAAATGAACATACCGTGTTTCGATATATTCCAAAATGTTGTGAGATGCACAGGTGGCAATATACAAACTTTATCTACAGATATTGTTTCCAGCGAATCCATTTTTGCATGTTTGTCGGAATATCCAAGATAACATTTTAGATTCAATCTCTTTTTGTGCTCTCGGATCAACGTAGCACTAAAACGATACATCCTGAGAAAAATTAGTATAGCAGCAGTAAATCGAGTACATATAAAATCCCACATCAAAGTTCTTTTTTTTTGCTTACTCTTACTCCTTGATTTCTCTCATATACAAGATGGACGAAATCACTGCTCACAAGCGTGCTTCTCGCAACTATGATAGTGTCTCTAATGATGAAAAGGTAGTAGCTGGTTCTTTTACCGAAGATGTTCATCCTCCACTCAGAGATGATACTTCATCTATTCATCGTCAACGTGAACGTGATGAACGCATCAGAAACATGCCTGAACATTTGCGTATCCCTGTTGTTGATAATGTCGGCTACAGCCCTCGCATCACCAACATTGGTAACAGCATTAGCTCTGCATTCTCTGCTGCCCTTGCCCCTTTCATCAAAGCCATCCGCTTCTTGCAACGAAGAACCAATCTGACCTTTTGGATCATTCTCAGTATGGTCGTGGGCATCATCTTGGGTTACTTTTCTCCTGCAGCTGGTAAGGAAATCAAGCCCCTTGGTGATGCTTTTATTATGATGATCAAGATCATCATTGTGCCTTTGGTGTTTAGTGTTCTTGTCATCGGTATTGCTGGACATGGTGATGATATTGGAAAAGTTGGTAAATTGGCCATAAAGACCCTTATTTATTTCGAAGTGGTTACAACCCTTGCTCTCGCTATTGGCCTCATCATGGCAAACCTTGTCAAGCCAGGTAATGGTGTCATCTTACCTGTTGGTTCAGATACATCTGCTGTAAAGGAGCTAGCCGATAAAGAAAGCACATCCATTACTTGGGCAAATGAAATGTTTTTGATCATTCCAGAAAGTTTCTTCAAGGCTGCTGTTGACAACAAAGTGCTTGCTATTGTCTTTTGTGCCGTTATGTTTGCCTGTTCCATGATGAAAGCTGACAAGGAAAGCAAGAAGGTCATGTTGAAGATTAATGAAGCTCTTTCTCAGGTACATATTCCATGCATGTTGCTGTTGTATTCAAGAAGAAAAACGTCTAATTAAACTTCTGTTTAGGTCATGTTTAAATTCGTTGGCTTGGTCATGAACTATGCTCCCATTGGTATTGGTGCTGCTTTGGCTGCCACCGTTGGTGCCAATGGTATTGGTGTTTTGGCTAATCTCGGTAAACTCATCGGTTGTGTCTACGCTTCTTTGGTCATCTTTTTGATTGTCGTCTTGCTGCCCATCATGTTCTTTGCAAAGATTCCTATTTTAGGATTCTTTAAAGCTATTGCACAACCTTGGTTGCTTGCTTTTAGTTCGGCTTCAAGCGAGTCTGCGCTTCCCTTGGCCTTTGAGAGAATGCGTGAATTTGGTTGTACAAACGCCCTTACTGGTTTCGTTATTCCTTGGTAAGTGTTTATTGCATCATAATCTTGCACCCTTTACTCATATTTTACGCGACAGTGGCTATTCCTTTAATCTTGATGGTACTACGCTTTATCTCTCCTTGGCTACCATCTTCTCTGCTCAAGCCGCTGGCCTAAATTTGCCTATCAGTACACAATTATCTATTATGGGAACACTCATGTTATCCTCAAAAGGTGTAGCTGCTATCCCTCGTGCTTCATTGGTGGTCTTGTCAGGCACTTTAGCTCAATATGATATCCCCTTTGAAGCTGTTTTGATGATCATGGGTGTTGATGCTATCATGGACATGGCAAGAACCTCCGTCAATGTCTTTGGTAACTGTCTGGGCTGCTGCGTCATGGCTCGGGTAGAAGGCTCTTTCCGTGGTGAAGAATGGCGCGAAGAAGAAGAAGAACGTCGTTATAAGAAATGGCTCGATGAGCAAGAGAAGGCTGGTTTACTTCACAAGAAGGATGAGGAGGATCATCTTTCTGACGTTATTGTCATCAGAGATGACAACAAAAAGGAAACATTACACGAAGAAAAAGTCCTTTAAATCATGAAGGCACCTTATAAATATTAGTGATATTGCATTATATACATATACTTACATACTTAATTAATAAACAATATTGTTCTTATATATTCTGAGTAAAGGAGATCGATAGACATGTATGCATTCACAGCAAATTTTCACCTGCGTGCAAGGCAGCCTTAATGGTTTAACTAAATTGGATGGCACAATGTTACATCAACACATTACGCATTAGAGTTTAGTACCGTAATAAGAAAACAGTCGAAGCTTTACAAATATTGCATTATCTGAAACTGATTGCTCCAGCTCCACACTGATAGCTTCAAGCATGGTAAGTGGCGCTTTTGCCTGATCAATTTTCAAATTTGAAACTTTTTACTATCATGCGAGAGCGTTCATAGCTGTAGATCTGACTCTTCTACATTGCTTCGCGTCCGATGCAATGAAAACAGTTCATATATGGATAGATGGCATACTTGCATTGTGTCGTATGAATCGAAAAAGCACAAAATACAGTGAAATTTGAGTGTATTGGAGCTGTGATGTCTCGCGTTAGAGGTCGTTTTGGGCCTCGAGAGTAGCACCAAACAGTTGCCTTCAACTAGCACTAACTTGCGGACATCTTTGCTCAACTTTTTTGAGATCGTCAAAAATCGATCAAAAAGCATGAGGGGATACCTCGTGGCTTTCATCAAAAATCAAACAATCGCATTTTTCACCATGAAAACGAGGACTTTTACTATGGCATACATTGACTCAAAATGTTCCTCTCGATCCAAAGCAGCCCCTGAAACTTTGTTCGTGAAACCTTCATATACAAAATCTCGACATTTTGGCCAAAAACCTCACTTCATATTTTGATAAATTGATCAATATTTTCAGTCAGTATACCTCTTATAATTGGCACCATCGAATGCGCCTTGAAAAGTACGCCAAGAAAGCTTAAGGAGATATAGGGTAATCTTTACAATTTACACAGTCGAATCTTGCAAAATAGGTCGAATAGGATCCAAAAAGTTCGAAAATCAACAAATCAGGACATGATGATGAGCGGAGATTGAATTGATTGTTGCAGCCAAAATGCCTTCTCATGAAGGTAATAAATGCTTCTGGAGCTAACAAGGAGGAGATTACAAAATGAGAGGCCATATAGCTTAGCCCAACTACCTTTCTATTGCGATTTACGTAATACATCTTATTAAGTATGATTGTGGCCAATATTTAACGATATATAACAGACTATCCTAGTAAATCAATGCAATGCTTATCAATGATCGAACATGAGATAGAACAAGGACAGACTCTCTGGTAATGACAAATTCAAATCGTACAACAATCTTCCATCATAGAAACGTTTATGGGCAAGGCGGCTGCTTCTTGCAACCGTGAAAAGGAAAGTTGAAGTCGCAAATCCTAAGCGATTTTGAGAGATGCCAGAGGACATCTTTGGATCCTTAGAACCATCTACATCCATTACTGTGACATTCCATCAAATTCATCTGTTGATTCAATGCCAGCAAAGCTTGGACGCATACCCATAGGAGATATCTCACTTCAGGGTGTCTAATACCACGACTTGGATCTACTGCAATTGCAAATGCATGTGCATTTACCTCACAGATTCTTTCCGTTAGCATTTGTAGTCAATTATATTCAAAGCACAGCAGCATGGATCATGTTGTGTACAATGGGAAATGGCTCAGGTTGTGTAACAATGTGCAAGGTTAACTAATTTGACCTTTTGAATTTTCAACAACTTTATCACCATGGTTTTCTTCTTTTTAGATGACATGATAAGACTGATATTCATGTGCTTCATGTATAAGTGCACCCTTTTATTCCAATCAATTCTTGGTAACAGCATATATATACGCACAAAAAAGAAAAGTAAGGAGGCTATCTGTAATCCTGATCCGAGAATTGTAATTTACATGATGGGACAATTTTGGTTAAAAGAGATTGCAAATTAAAATACAACCTTATATTTTTACATTCGTTCTTGTTTGATGGTTTGATGTTCCTGCCACTAACACATCCTCATTCGATATAACAAGGGGTACAGTGTGTAGGAGAGGGAAAACGTAAAGCATACACATCATTACACAATGAGGGGGGGAAAAAAAAAGAGGCGGTTTTTCAGAGCAAGAAACAAGGAGGTTGTCAAAGTAATGTAATCTTGGTGTACAACCTGAGAAAAAGCAAAAAAAAAATAATAAACTCGTGCATCTCTGATATTCTTAGCTGTTTCCTCTTTCTTTTCCCTTTCATTTACAAATAGCATGTCTTTATCCTACACACAACAACATCAAAGAGATTCAGTAATTATTCCCCCAGATGAAGCAGTGCCGCGATTCAGCGTCAATTCAAACCTCATGAACTATTCAATACCCAGGAATGACGAAACCACCATATCACCCATAGTAGAATCCAACAAAAACAGACGAGAAATACAACGAGGAGACTCTGATACACGAACAAGGCAATTAGAAGCACAAATTGAGCAATTAACCTTACAAAATGTCAAGCTACAACGAACAAATCGACTGCTAAAGGTGGACACAGACAACTTGATAGAGCAAAAGACGAGTCCACTAGAAAAGACAATACAAGAACTCACAGTGGCCAATGTGAGGTTACAACGAGCCTCTCGCCTATTACAACTAGAGTTGAATGAAAAGTCTGAACAGCTCAACAAGTTTCAACAAAATCAGATTCTCCAAATGAAATCAGTCGGCCCTGAATACGAGTTTCTAGTCCAAAACATAAATTTACTGCAGAGACAGGTACGTTGTACATCTCGCCGGGGTAACTATTTTATTCACGCTTTGTGGTAGATTGCAGGGCATCCCACATGCGACGATACCTGCTGCTTCACAATGCAGCCAATTGATCAATCCACCATGGTCATGACGCTACCTTGCAGTGACCATGATTCCGACTCTGAAGATGAGGAAGAAGAAGTCGAAGCACAGCATATTTGTAGACCTGTGATCCATTCCACCATCTCGCAAGGCTCATACGCGATTGAGCTTGAGAACAAGATTGCACGCTTGGAACAGTTCATCCAAGAACTGGACGAAGAGAAGGAGCAAATTTTGCGTCAACATAGCTACAAGGACAACGATGTAGAGACTCTCAAAAAGGAACTAAGAATCAAAGATGAAATTGTTTCTCAATTGGAGCAGGATTTCATGGGTTTAGAAGATCAAATTGAGCATCTTCAAAAGGTAAAATAGTACTACAAAGACAACGAGATGTGATGTCTAAAAGAGGAATTCTGTATTTATAGGAATTACAAGATCAAGTTATGTTTAATAGTGGTGGTAGCAGTAACACCAGCAGCCATAGCAACATTCGAAGCTTACTCACACCACCACCCATTCAAAGCGATCCCAAGCGACAATCTCAAATGCTCATGGAATCAAAGCGCAGATCACTGGCTATCAAAGACACAGACTTACTGGAGCAAATGTTACGAGGAGATTTGGAGGGGTTCAACCAACAGCACCATCATCCGCATCAAACACAAGACGTGTACCAACCATCTGAAGACGAGGAGGATGCTCGACAAGACACGCTGGATCTAGAAAATGACGAAGAAGAGGAGGGAGACGACAATCACTCCATCACATCGTCATCTATCGCAGCAGCAGACACCAAGCGTAGTTCAACCATCATGTTGATCGAAGAGCAAGACGAGCTGAATAAAAAAGGTATTAACGACAAGACACTCTCATGCTTAACATGCGATGGCTTTCCCTGTACCTTTCCTTGCGATCACTCACTCAATAACAACAACAGTAAAACGAATGACCCATTTGCGTTATTTACGGGTGTTGCCATAGCACTGGGCATTGCCTCCCAGTTGGGCATCACAGATGATTGGACTGTTCCCATTACATTAGCTACATTGGTCTCGAGTTTTCTTTGGAACGGATCAAAGAATAAACCCAAAGCCTTATAAAAGCGTTAATGCCCATCACATTCATATATATATATATATATACCATATTACACACTGGACTGTCAAATAAAATCTATATACATATACACATGCTTTCATCCATCACATCACAACAGACAAAAGCCTTCTGCCATCGGTCTTTTAACGAATCCTTTATAAAGTGAAAAATATTTTTCGCTCAAATCTGGTTTTCTTTTTTCATTTTTATCATACACGCGAGCGCGCTAAACTGATAGAACAAACATGAGCGACTGGGGTAAATTGCGATGAGATCAATGTGTGGAACAAGATGTCTGACATCATGGTACAATAGAAGAAGAATACGATGAGGAGGTGGTTGTCAACACCAAGCCTAAAATGTCCTGGGATGATGAGGACAGTGACGATAACAACAATGTCAAGGAGTCTTGGGATGATTCTGAGGAGGAAGAGGAGCAACAAGTAGAGCAAAAAAAGGTCGAAAAGAAGCCCGAAACCACCACTGCATCACCTGCCAAAAAGATGACATTGAAGCAAAAGATTGCTGAAAAGGAGGCTGCTTTGAAGGAACAAAAGGCCAAGAAGATTGCTTTGGTAATTTGGGAGAACAATCAAGTCAATAGATGTGTTGCTGATGTGTTTCATGGATATAGGCTAATCGTTTCATGGAAGGCGAGACTGAGGAGGAGAGATTTGAGCGTGCTCAACAAGAAGCCGGTATCAAGAAGGCTGAATTTCAAGGCGAAGAAGACACTCGTAAGTCGCTTACGCTGACATGATGAATTCCACTTTTATTGACATGCACACATAGCCAAGAAGGCCCCATCAAAGCCTGTCGAATCTCTTAAACCTAGATATAAGTCTGAATTCGAGGAATTCCAAAAGTTATTGACTGATTTGATTCTTGAGCAAAAGGTAGGGTGATGGTGTGTGGATCTGTAGATGGAAGATATTGACGGGAGCGTACCATCATAGAACAATCCTCTCTACGCTTCATTTTTGGAGCAATTCGCCAAGGACATTGCTCAGCCTGCTAAGGATATGGATATTCGTAAAGCTGCCTCTAGTTTGACAGCTCTTGCCAACGATAAGCAACGTCAACAAAAAGAAGCCCTCAAGAACAGTAAAAAGGCAAAGGGTAAGACTCAATCTACCAAGGCTGCTCCTGCTGCTGCTCCCACTAGAGAATATTCAACCACTTATGATGATTTCGATGATTTCATGTAAAAAAAAACCAACACTCCATCACACAATAGTAACAAAAAACAAGCAAAAAGGATACAATAAACAAGGTATAACTACATTAACATGAGAGGACTCGAAAGCCACTGTGAGAAAGATCAGCATTGCATGCATTTATTTGGTCGTATGTTTCAAGCACTGTAGATCATTCAAATGGATGGCCCTGTGCAGCACCGTTTTCCTGCATTGTACCATGAAACGTAAGAGGGCACCACTTTTTCAAGGCGATATCAGCAGTAATCGAAACTACCTCCACTAGCTTGTTTGCTTCCTTGTCATAGTTGAACCGTTTCTTTCTATTGTATTTCATCTTGAAAACCAGCTCTTCTTTAGACTTGTAGTGCTTCAACTGAATCGTGCCGTCCTCGTTGTAGACTGCTTGCATCAATCCATACCCTGATCCATCATAGCAGACTACAATCTTGAATTTGTCTTGTTCAGGGAGAGCTTCAAAGTCTAAATAATTGCGTTTTACCGTTGTAAAAGTCATCATTGAACAAGCAGATTTGGTATTCGCATGTTGCGACTTGAGTTACTGCCACATGAACAGTATTCTTGTTCTTGGCTGCCGTCGGTTGTAAGGTGAAGTGAATATGGATAACTTTGGCGTTAGTGAGTGGAGCAAGAGTTTTTGATGTCTCTACAACGGTTGATGGGTCATGTTATAGTGCGCTAGAAGAAAGGGAGGAGAGAAAGAAGCTGATGAAAGAAAACGCCTGGTAAGGCTACAATTGCTCTTTTCAATCTTTCAGAGTGATCTGCTCAAAGCCTGCACAACCCAATGGTTTAAACGTAGAGACCACGTATTCTTCAAGTTACATAGATCCACACTAACCAGTATTACATAAGCAGTATTTAGCAGCCATCAGCCTTACTGCAATTAGTTCCTGTAATTCACTGTACTCGTGTGCCTTTGCATTGGTAAAGCGCCTTTTATATCATCTTATGAAGCATTTCAACGCGAAATCATTTTAAATCGAGTGCCTTGACCAATTGAAGCGGGTTGATTCCTGCGTCTTGCATTGATTTAGCGTGCAAAGGCGCCGTTCACTCTCTGACTACCATAGAAGATTATGATTGTGCAAATAGAAATACAGACATTAGCGATCTCCTATGATCGTCAGTATGTTGTTGATATTATTCAATATTATCATTTTCTTGTCAGCACTTGCAACCAGTGAAATATTGGCTGTATACGAATGTATCACTCTGTATTAGACCAGCAACTGGGCTTCAGAAAGACATTAGTAATCAATCTTACTAGAAATTATAGGATTCACACCAAAAAATGTCGAATTCGTCATACTACAATTAAAACAAATGACAAGGCTCTGCTTGATCGTGATCAGACGCAATGATTGAACAAACCACGGACGCCAGCAATCAAGCGATTGCATTAGTCAGACACATCGCTTTGAGTCTAAAAAAAAATGCTTGCATCATTTCTAGAAGGAATTCGCTTACTGCCACACAACTATAATTAATAATCAAATCGAACAGGCTAATTCCCTGCCGAATTATCCTGCAGAACATGAGATCGCTGATATAAAAAGAGAGAGTTTGGATTCTCGGATTCTCTCACATCCATATCATCTTTTTTCTTCTTTGAATATGTCTTCCTCTGATAAAATTACTTTTTACAATGCTGTTATCTGCCCTTACGCTCAACGTGCTGCTATTGCACTCAAGGAAGTAGGCGTTGAATACGAGACTGTAAACATCGATTTGCAAAACAAGCCTGATTGGTACAAGGATGTCAACCCTGAGCTCAAGGTCCCCGCATTGAATGTCGAAGGTCAAAACCTTGCTGAATCTTTGGTTATTATCGAATATCTCGCTGATCGTTTTCCTAAAGCCAAGTAAGTACAGAGAGTGGGTAATGGGGAAATGAGTCGCTGACAGTGCCATGTTTCAGCTTGTTGCCCAAGGAGCCCTTGAAGCGCGCCAATGTTCGTTTCGCTATTGAATATTTTTCATCCAAGATCAGTTCTGAATTCTACAAGTACCTCTTTAACCAAAGCGCCGAGAACGCTCGTGAAAACTTTGAGACCAATGTCAATGCTGCTTTGATTCGCGTACGTATTATATAAGAGTGATATAAGAGATGTGTTGTCATTGACACCTTGTGTATATGTGTGTGTATAGTTCAATGAGCTCTTGCTCCAACAATCCAAGACTGGACCTTACTTCCTTGGTGAAGAATACTCTTTAGCCGATATTGCTATTACTCCATTTGTCTTGCGTATCTTTGCTCTTCTCGAACACATTTTGGGCGGCTACAAGTTTGAAGCTATCAAGTCTAACCCCAGACTTGACGAATTCATTACTGGCGTCATTCAAAGACAATCTGCCCAAGAGACTTGGGTTGGTGGCGAAAAGTTCATCGAGGCCATGAGCACCCGTTTCAACCTCAAGAAATAAGCAGCACCTTCATAGTAGGATGTGATGAGATACCTCCAATCTATTTAAATACTATCAAACCATTCAATAAATGAACAAATTATGCAATACATCTTTGATCTTGGGAATTCTCAATTGCCTGTAACACGAAATCACGACATTCTTTCTAATTATCTCTGTGTATATAGCGTTTGTATTCAAGATTAGCTGGTCTGTCTGACAAGGTATAGTTTAAGACAGTGCAAGGTAGATTCCCATCCTTGATATGGAATCCTGCGCGATAAGTATAATAGTCTTGGCGACATCTGTCTAATAGACGAATGCAAAGTGATCGGCCAGCGTACGTACAATGGAGGCTGTATCAAGTTAATCCAAGCCAAATCAAACACATGTATTGATTCTAGAAAGACCAAAAAAAAAAAAAAAAAAAAAAAAACTTTTATTGATGTAATATGAAAAAGAAATATGCTAATTTACAAGGTGGGTGCAGGAGCATCCAAGTAATCACCAAAATGTGGCGCGGGACGACCATTGTCATCTTCAGTATCGTCATCTTCATGCTCGTCTTCAGTATGAAGAGACAGGAAGTTTTGAAATGCTTCAGGAGATCTAGGCGTGCTGACAGACTGTCTTATGATATCATCTGTATTGATCTTGGTAATGACAGCATCCGACTCCTTGCGAAGAATCTCGCGAGCAGCAATAGTAGAAACACGACGACGAGACAAGGCTTCACGCTTCTCAGCTGCAGATAATTTGGCTTGTTCCTTGGCCAGCATCGACTTGAAGAGTTCATCAGGGTCTGTGATGGTGCCAAGCGCTCTTCTTTGTTGTACATTGAGATGCTGCAAACCTACTTCAAACGAAGCGTTCATCCAGCCAAAGCCCTCGCGAGGCACTAACTTGAAATCAACGCCCACGTTACCATACTCTACTTGCACCTGATGCGAGAGATTCACAACATCAAACTTCTCTGGAACGACACCGTTGAAATCGACAAATGATTTGGTGATGGTGTACAAGAAACGGTAGGCTAAACGACCAGCAATGTCTTCCATGCCATAGTTGTCAAATGCGACCCAAGCCATGATTTGATGTGGAGCCCAGCCAAAAGGGAAATCCCATTGACGATTAGGACGATCGAGCGTAATATGACCTCTTGACTGTTCTGTACCAGAAACAAGACCACCTCTCACTTCAAACTTGTATAGGCTCTTTGCTAGTCTCTGCGCTTGATCTTCAGAGGCAGCACCAGCCCACATCATCCAGTAAGCAGTAGCACTCTCGTATGTAGTCATCTCCTCCTTGACGGTATCGTAATCAAAGTAAAGATCCTCCTTTTCATTCCACAGATACTTGTCGATTCGCTCTCTTCTCTTGGACGCTCTGTCTGACCATTCTTCAGCAGTCTGCTTGACTCCATCAAAATCTTCCAAATCGTCATCCAAAAAGTCTCTGATGCAATCAGCCAAGTCAGTTTCATACTTGTATAGCAAAGCGTTCAGATCAACAGTGGCCAAGTTGGCACAGACACCTTCAAAGCGGTAAGTTGTATCATGACCAGACTCACGGACAGCACGATCATGCAAAAAATACTCGTCCAATTCAGGCTCCTTGACGACACCGTCGTTGTACAGTTTGTTGAATTCCGGAATAGTGACATTGTGCTTCTTGGCAAACTTCATGACGATGTGGTCGAAATGCGAGGCTTCTGTTTCTGGAGGGATACCTACACCTTCAGGTCTGTAACGCGAGAGCATGGTTTTCTTGTCTAATCTAGGTTCAGCCATCCAGATAGTATGATATTCCTTGATAGCGGACTTGAGAATATCACGTAACCAGGCTTTGTTTTCCTTCTCCAATGCAGGATTCAACTGCTCATACACTCTGATTGCCATATCCGTCAAGAACGGGGGTTGAGATCTTGACAAATAGTAGGAGCGATTGGCATTCAAAATTTTACCGTAATGTTTGATTTCGTACGCAAAGTTTTCAGCCATTCCCTTTGCCAATTCCACTCGGCCATCAGCCAAGAGACCCAGCGACTCAAAGTAAGAGTCCCAGCCATACATTTCATTGAAGCGACCACCGGGAACAACAAAAGGGACACCGTGGAAATCAACATTGCCTCTGTCGTCAATCACCTTGTTCATAGCCAGGGCCAAAATACCAGGTTTGTCATTGATGCTTTTGACGTATTCGGGTGTAATGTCCTTGGGGAGATATTGCACATCCAATTTGAGATGAGGTCTAGCCTCAGCAACAAGCTGGTAGTAGTCGTAAATCTCAGCTTCGTCATGGGGAATGTAGATACGAGGAGCCACATCGCTTTGTCTGTTCTTGGGGTCAGAGCAAATGGCATCCAGTCCTTGACCGTCGATACGTCTTGTGAGACCATCCCAAAACAGATGACGGATCATTCGAGATAGTCTATTAACAGGGTTTTCGTTCAATCTGGCTTCATCCAGTACGACATATTTTCTGCCGTAATCTTTAGCAAGCGCTAATTCTTGCAGCAGGTTGGATAGCATGTAATTGCCTCGAATCTGGAAGCGCTTGTATCCACCAGAATCAGCTGTACCAAGAGAGAGTGTCTTTGGGCCCAGATCATTGATGGTAATCTGGAAATCGCCGTCGGTATCCTCTTGCTCCAAAATTTGATGCAGTGTAGCCTCAACGTCAATCAAGAATCTACGGTTTTTACCCTTATCCTCTTTACAATGATATCAGTGCCTATTACCTTATTGCCTAGTGGATCTAGCAAACTTACCATAGGATGAACGTCTTTGGATGGCATTGTTATTGAAATCCCTTGAATCACCAGCACTAAAACTAGTAGCCGTTTTCTGTATCAACATTGGACATGAATGTGAGTACATTTTATGTGATCATCTGTCTACCTGAGCACACTTACAGTATACGTTCTAGTTCTTTGTCTGGGACCGTTTCTTCCAGTTGTGTAATAAGTGGATGCAGGTGCAGTGGGATCTACAGATTCTCTTCTTTCTTCAATTATGTTGTTCATTGTTTGTAAATATTACAAAAAAAAAAAAAAAAAGAAAAAAAAAGAAAAGAATTGGAAAAAAAAAAGAGATGGTTGTTATAACCCATGCTTTCGCTTCTAGTAATAATAGCCACTAACTTTGTGATTCAACCTATCAACAAGATCAGAGAGGTCTTGCATGATATTAAAGCTATGACGATAAGCACAAAATTAGAAGGCAATGTTCGAGATCCGCTTGCAAATGCATTTTCTCATTTTGAAAAAGGCTGTCTAGATTTAGATGATGGGGTTGATTAGCTATACGCTCTAGAGTAGTTTTTAGGCGCATTTACACATGTAGTTGTGTACTGCTTAAAGCGGCCAGATGGGATAGCTTGTCTAGTGTCTGTATTTATTATACAAATACAGTGTTGCGTTATGACGACATTTTGCTGGCTATAAGCCATTTAGTCGTTGTTATAGTGACATTATTATCAAGGAGACAGCTCCGAATCTACTATTCATTTCGAATATGTCATTGGGTGCACTCTGTCGTAATCATTATATCTCGCTGTCAATCCTGTTTATACTAATGATGAAGACATATCGTCGGTAAATTTTCTATTTGTCATGGAAGTCTTCTCTCTCGAACATTGCGCGATAAAGGTTCAAGGCAGTAAAGAGGGGGAAATGAAGCAATGAGGGAATGTAAAGTGTGCCTCATTTGACTGTTATATAGCGTACGTTGAAGAACCTGTGTTAGAGACAGGCCCGGCCATCATTGCAGCTAGACGATAGAAGGCAAGGAAGCTGTTGTTGATCCAATGCAAAGAATTAAGAGGCTAAACACATGTAATTGCATTGGGATGTCTTCTAAAAAAGGAGCCGAAATCATTTTGATGCCAATGAAAAAGTTGGCACTCAAGGCACCCATCAATTGCAAATTTAATGTATTGCACATGCTCGTTTTGTTCATGAGTATAATATCACTAGCGGATCTATTTCGCTACGCTCGATGTCGCCGTCGTCCTGTGGGCTCTCGCCAAAGACATTTTAAATCGAATAGAATAAAGTTTTGGTATAACAAGTAGATTTTAAACAATCAATTATTCTTTAGTAAAAGAGCGGTTATATCAGAGCCAGGAGGAGGAGGAGAGGAGGTGACATCCTTCTTGCTTACACTGATATCAAACGAAGCCTATTATTGGGACAATGCGAAAGAAATTTCAAATTTTATGCAGCATTTGTACATCACAATCGCCATTTTCTGATAGTAGAATTGTCATAATATTCACTGCTGCTGATACTCTAAATAAGATGGCGACATAAAGCTGGTCATAAGTAAATACAGAACTTGTGTAAGATCTACAGCGATTCTTTTTTTTTTCTTTGAGATATTGTCATTGCAAAAGACACCTTCATGAGGAAAATCTCCCCCAAAAAGTATCGCGCTAAGCAATTGTCCTTTCAATTCCATGATCCCCATTTAATCAGCATCGCAATCATCATTGTCATCAACAGAAAGGCATTTAGGTCAGTCAGCAGCAATGCCGCCGCCAAATTTAATTAAACCTCAGCTTATTTTTTTTTTTGTTCAAGATTGGACAGATATCGTCTTTTTTCGACTTCTTTCATCTATTTTATGATATTCGACTATATAAACTGTGATGATCACCCTACACTTTCTAATTCATTCTTGAAATACTTTCCAAGACGCTTCCAATGGTACCAAGTAAAGTAGATGTTTTGAATAAATTTATTGAGCAATTTATAAAAATATAAAAAGTGGTTTTTGGCCAAAATAGCCAGATTTTGCATATGAAAACCTCATAAAAGTGGTTTCAGAGGTTGCTTTGAATCGAGAGACACATTTTGATTCAAGATATACCATAGTAAAAGTCTTCATTTTCAAGGTGAAAACCGCGATCATTTGATTTTCGATGAAAACTATGAGGTACCCCTTATGCTTTTTGGTCGATTTTTGGCCATGATTTTTTTTGGCCCAAAAAGTTGAGCATAAGTGTCAGGAAGTTACTACTACTCAAGTACAATTGCTTGGCGTTATTCCGGTGGCTCATAAAGATCTACATGCCAAGATATGAAGGCTTGAAAACTGTCAAATTTGGTTATGTTTTGCTTTATAGAGTTTATTTACACGGCATGAATCACATCTTTAGTAGCAGAAGTCTTCTGGAAGGGCAGTTCTGCAGTCTGTGCAACGTCTAATTCGAACAGGAGGCATATTGATTTCGGTAAAGCTGATTCATGCAAATTTTGATGCGATATGTTGCTGGTAAGCTTATTAACAATGGAAATTTTGAATGTTCTACAGTATATTATATGATGAGGCGAATGGATCAAATTTACCCAAATAGGCTTGACAGTGCAGATTCCCATCCAGTTATTCCTCTATGCTCATTCAGGCCACAAAATCTCACGTTTGACCGACTTATCCAAATCGCAATTTCTCATAAAATGTACCTCACTTATCCATAATGACTAGATAATTGCCAGCCAATTTTGTTCAAGGCTTCCTCTGGAAATGTATCCGGTAGTATTTCTTGCTGCTTCGAAAGCTCTCCATTGAAGCATGGGCATTTCGTTGGACGTTTTTATCTTGTGATTGATTTGCAGCATCAACGACGATGCTTTTTTCTGATTTGATTTCACAAACAAATGATATGAGTATTCTTTACCTCGTATCAAACGAACAAGGAAATATTGCAATACATGCTGCTTCAATAAGTAAGAACATTTTCTTAGGGAAAAGCAGTTTATTCGGAGCGACATACTCTCCAAGGCCTTGAGACAAGAAATGTACCCTTCCAAATCATTATCCTTCTGATAGGACAAAGGCAACAGCATGATATACTACCTCCATATATGTTTCCCATCCTTGAATGTCAATTGCAAAATCTCTTTAGAAGGTTGATTTCTAAGCTCTATGCACACCAAATCCGTGTGAATAATAAATTGAAATTGATAAGAATATTAGGGTATGCTGCCTCATTTGCAGGTGCTCATATGGTCATCTTACTATGGCTGTCATAAGATGATGTTGTTGTGTCATACAATACCATTTTAATGATGGGCATCCCATTTCTCTCTCTCTCTCAAGCCAAGTGCTAATATCTGTTTACTCATCAGTAGGCACACTCTCACATCATGTCGAGTCAGAGCAATAGACCTCTATACACACTGCATTGGAATAGCTCCAATATATCGCCTTCAGTTTGCCTGGTGGCAAGCTTTTTTCACCTCGCGCGAAGAATAAAATCTTTTTCGCCTCTTTTTTTTTTCTTTCTTTCTCTCTTTTCTCTCTCTGTGTGTCGATTTCCATATTATATACAACACTACAAAAATCATAGACCATGTCTTCTCCACCAGAGCCTATTACTGATATTGGTAAATTGCCTTGATTTTGAAGAGGTCATGCAGTGGTTTCTAACAAAAAGACGTGTGAAATGTACTTTGTAGATGAAATTGCTTTGAACAAAAAAAGAGGCAGAGCACAATCTGTAGAACCTGCTCCCTTACAGGAATTAGATAGCGAGGTATGTTTCGCAGTGATGGGCTTGTGGAAAGACTAAAAGCAGCATCAAAAACTGACGCATTTAATATACACACTTGTAGCATCATGCGAGCGAAGATGCATCATCTACCACAGTGTCAGCTCCCAAAAAGACGTAAATCCACTCATTCCCCTTTGCCTATCATTCATCACGAATTACTTATACTTATTTTTATAGTAAGCGCGATGACGAAGATTCAAGCACCCACAGCAACAACACGACCACTGTCAGTACCATTCGTAAAAACATGAAGGACATGACAACCACTGATAAAAACTTGGCTGAAAGTGCCAGTACTGCTACCAGCATCAGCCAAGATGACGAAGAGGTAGATGACGAACCCATGGCTGAACAAGACAACTCACTTGCCAATAAGTTTGGCGGTGGTAGCAAGAAGCAGAACGGCGGTGGTGATGATGAGGATTGGGGAGAATTTGCTCAAGATGATGACGAAGAGGAGGATACTAAGAAGGATCATACAGCAACAACAAAGGTTGAGGATAAGCCTAAATACACGTTTGGCGCTTCTTCTGGTTTTGGTACCAAGGGTTGGGCAGCAACACATCAAACTATACCCACACCATCAAAGCAGCCAACGTTTGGTGGTTTCGGATCTTCTACTTCGAGTATTTCCTCTGGCGTTGGAAGCAGCAGTGGCGGATTTGGAGGATTCAAATCTTCTATATTATCAGGCAGCAAGGAGTCAACATCTGCACCCTCGTTTGGCTCATTCGCAAAGGCTACTGCTTCACCTTTTGCTACTGCAGCGGCAGCTGGAAATGCATTCACATCATCCTCACCATCCACGACAGCAGCAGCATTACAAACTGATTCTTCACACAACAACACAACCACTGCTGCTGTGGAATTTGTGCCCAAAGACAACAATAGTAAAAATCATGCTGATGAGTCCAATGGGAATAGCAGCGAGAGCGATCAAGAACAAACAACCAGTACACCAGCTACATTTGGAGAAGGAGCCAAGGTCAAAGTACCTGGTGTTGTTCAACAAACCCAAGTAACCACAGGAGAAGAGGATGAAGATACTATTTATCAAACTAAAGCCAAACTACTCGTCTTGGATACTACTTCCGGCAACTGGAAGGAGCGTGGTGTAGGTACATTCCGTATTAACATGAAGGAGGAAGAGGCCAAAAAGGTGTTACAAACTCGTCTTGTCATGCGCACGGATTCAGTCTACCGAGTTATTTTGAATCTGTTGCTTTTCCAAGGTATGAAGGTCTTTATCATGCAAGACAAGTTTGTTAGATTTGCAGGATTCGAGACAGAGGTCAAGGAAGACGGCACATCTGAAACCAAGTTGGTTAGTTTTGCTCTTAAATTAAGCAATCCTTCCATTGCAAAAGAAGTGTGTGAGCAAATTATTTCTTGTATCCCTCGTAGCAGTAGTAATGGCACTGGTAGTGATAACGATGATTCAAAAGCATAAATTTCGTTCCTTTCTATATATATATATTATACACACACACACACAACACTCATGGATCATGTAATAAAGCAGGAATTTTGAGCTACTCTGAAAGCTGTATATAAAAATAAGCCACCAATATCTATCAAAGGTGGGTTTTTTTTCGAAATGTAAATCATCTTTTTCTCTGTCAATCTTTACAGTGATGGAAAAGTCAAGAAAGGGGTTGAAGCCTGTCAAACTACCAGCACCTTTGTTTGTTTCATGGCAAGCCATCTTGTCAAATTACGTGCATCAGCATGTCAATGAGGAGTTGATACCTGTCGTTGCCAGCCTTCAGAAATTAATTTCAGCAGAAGACGCTTCCTACGATAAACAAGCTGCTTGCATTAAAGAGTCTGGTAAATGAACGTTGTAGAATCATCGTCAGATCCAGCTATTTACAATAATTCTATAGTCAAATTGATGCAGAAAAACGTCGCTTATGCTGCTCGCTTACAACCACACGAAATTTTACAGATCAAATTTATTGTAGAACCCATTGCTTCTCTCGGCTACTTTGCAGCTTGTGAAAACCTATCTCGCCGCACATTCATTCCCTTGATTGAAGCCTCCTACAAATGTACCAGCGGCACCGATGTCAAGCTCAAAGATTACTACATGCAATACACATCCAACACCCACAATGAGCCTAGTTTTGAGGGCAAACCTCTGTCGCAAAAGGCCCTGGCCATTTATGCTACATTGAAGTTCCCATTAGGCCATGATTTGATCATTGATACGTACCGCCATACGCTTCAATTCCTGGTCAAGGGCTTGCAGCATGCGCAACATGAATTGACACACAACAAGAACAACAGCAACGCAGATCAACTGATGAACGACATTCAATTTACCGTCAAGACATTGCTCGTCTTGCTGTCTCGACAATTGGAGGTAGCGCCTCACATGTTTGAGAAAGTCGAATCCAAGACCATTGATCACACCAAAGACGAAGATGTCATCTTGCTGGGCGATATTCTGCAAATCCTGCTGGACATTTGCATGGACACAACAACATTGATTAAGGAGTGCAATCAGACAGCAGGCATGGCAATTGCTGCTGTGATGAATTTGGCCAATGATGTGGAATTTGCAAGAGATTGGGTGTTGGGATGGTTCTTTACAGCAGACAGCAATGCTATTGTGGATCATATTGCTGATTCGCTCGGCGTGTTTCGTCCCCGCGATCAATTGGTGGGCAACGAAGGTTGGCGCAACCGCGATGCTCCCATGGTGTTTGCTTTGAGAGGCTTGGTGTCGAGTCTGCGCAAAGACATTGTCATGCTGGATTGTCCTACAGATACTGCATTGGTGCCTTATATCGCAGAGTAAGTAGTGGTCAGCGCACAGTCTTGAGGCTCAAAAATACTCACTCTATACTAGCTGTCCTGCAAAGAACCTCCACGAAATCATCTTTTACAGCATCAACTTGTTTTGTGCAAGAGCCGATCTGGACAGTGCCTGCAAAGTGATTGCCTTTGAATCTATGGCTACCTGGCTTCAACAAACCAAAGAAATCATGGAGAAATGTACTCCCAACGACACAGAGCTCATGGATGCCGTATCTGGCCCTATTCAGCCCAAAAACATCAACATGCTGATCCAATACGTATGGGATCATTGGGACGATCCCATTGACTCAATTCAGCACAAAGTACGTACTATCTTTGAGCTCTCCATTGCCACACTAGAGATCAAGACGTCCTTTTACCGGCAACAAGATCAATATCAGCAATGTGTGCATGCTCTGTTAAAGAACCTGTTGGCCATGGACTGGCATAGAAAAGTAAAGTACTCCTTGTTAAACATGTTGGTGGAAAAGGTGCACACGGACGCCTTTTTAAAAGCAGAGCCTCGTTTGATAGAGAAATGCTTGTTTGCTATGGACAGTTTGATCTTGTGTCCTCAAATCACCTTCTTCATCTTGGCTTTCCTCTACCGTCGTGTGCAAGATACTATCCCTGGCTATGAGAAGTTCAAGGGGCACAATGGCAAGATCAAGGATACAGAGGATGAAACTACCAAACAAGCTGTAGATCAGTGGATTGAGCTGTGGGTGCTACCTCTCTTGCAGTGCCTTACCGCTCCTTCTGAGCTGCTTCGCAAAAATGCCAGCGGATTCTTGTTGCAACCTCTGTTCAAGATTAGCTCTCAATCGTTTTGGTACATGATTCGCATTCTAGAGGACTTGGAGAACCCCTTATGGAAAGATGGCCACTTGGATCCCGCGCGTCGATTGAATGCATTCATTGCCGTACTCAAGTCTGGTCGAGGTCTTGATATCGTGGACGGTACAGCCTACACACAGCAAGTCAGCACCAAAGAGAACCAAATCTCTGTGGATACATTGAAGCTCGCCATTTATCACAGCGATGCTCAAGTGCGCATGGATGTTCTTGGCTTGCTCTGTGAGTCTCGTAAAGCGACAGCACAGGTTACCAGCACAGAACTGGACATGCTCCAGTTGTTCATCCCTCTCAACATGAACTCGACAGCCCCTGAATTCCGTCAGCAAATGTGCGCTCACTTGAGCAAGATCCTGCTTCGTCTTCGAGGCAATCTCTATTCCCAGTACCGCAACTATAAGTCTCTGTTGTCCTATGCTGATAAATGCACAGAAGAAAGCAAGCGAGAAAATGCCCTATTGGATGCTCAGGATATCCTCGTGGCCATTGATCAAGCCAAGACGTTCCTCTACTGGCTCTGTGATCATGTTGCTGAATCGCTGTATCCAGGTGCTTCTTATCAACGTGTGGCTACTGCTTTGCGTATCCTCAGCATTACCATCAAGATCTTTGGTGTGACCGAGCTTCCTCCTATTGAGGGATTCACTGATCAACAGCCTGATTTTCCCTTCACCATGCCTATTGCTAATGCTCGTCTTGCCAAGATTCTGGTCGATGTCTTTATGAACCCTTACGATTTCAACCGTGTGCAAGCATTTGAGATTCTGTGTCAATTCCCTAGCCCTCTGCCTGGTATCGATGCCAAGAGTGATGTGCAAGATTTGTTGTGGTGGGGCTTGAACAACGTGGTCAGTACGCGTGCTGGTGAAAGTGATAGTGGTGCCATGGTGTTTCGATTGATCTTTACAAAGTATGTGATGGGACTCGGCTTTGATTTGAGCCCTGAACAGAACGTGGCCACAGTGGCTTCTACTCACAACAAAACATCCACCTTGTCTGATGCTCCCATCATCTTTACGGAACGATTGCTGGATTTGCTGGAGAAGCAAGTTGACGTTGCTAAATCCAACCTGCTGCTGGCCTCTCAACAACATCCCATGCACGGCACCTTGCTCGCTTTGCAATATGTGTTTCAAGAGATTGACTACAAGAGTGCCACCATCAAGAACAACTTTGCTCAGTGGACAAAGACACATGCGCGTGCTATTGAACTGATCCATATGACCTGCCATACAGTGATGCCTGTGTTATCAGACGCCTCGCCTGAAGGTAATGTGCCAACGGATTATCGTCAAGCAGAGGATCAAGAGGACGAGGAAGAAGAGGAAGAAGTAGACGAAGGCGATGATTCTAGCCCCAAGCACCAAGTCATTTTGAGTTGTTGCTGGCGTGCTGTCAAGGAAGCAAGCTCCCTGTTGCAAGTCATCATTGCCAAGGCCCCTGCTTCTGCGGAACTCTCTCAAGACACCATCCTGACACATCAGGACCTTGTCAAGAGCGGCAAATTGTTCCATCACTTGCTGACCAACATCAGACATCGTGGTGCCTTCTCAGCCGTGTATCCTGCTTACGTTGCCTTGAACACACGCTTATTGACATCGCGTGATCCTTCCATTGCACAACTCCCAGCTGAATGGCTGCAAGAAAATCTGGATAGTTTGACCTCGAGCAACATCTCCATCACGCGTCGTAGTGCTGGTCTTCCCCTATGTATCCTGGCTATTGTCAGCAGTGAGCCTTCTGTTAAAAAGGAGCTCCTCAGCAAAGCCATCACATATTTGATGCAGTTGGCAAGCGAAGAGCCACCCATCGATGCAGACCAACGTATTGATTTACCTCAAGTCCATGCTTACAATATCATGCGCACCATCTTCATGGACTCCAAGCTGGGCACCCATGTACTAGAGTATGCTTCTGGTGGCTTCTCTCTTGCCATCAATGGCTTCTCTTCTCACAGCTGGGCTATTCGCAACTGCTCTGTCATGCTGTTCTCTACCTTGCTTCAGAGAACGTTTGGCACCAAAAAGACACGAGACGAGCACAGCAATGTCAATACATTGACCGGCCGTGAATTCTTTGTGCGTTTCCCTGCGCTCCACCCTTACCTGTTGAAGGAATTGGGTGTCGCTGTGGATCAGTTGCTCAAGAACTCAATGGCTGCTAGTGTACATCCTGGATTGTATCCCATCTTGACCTTGTTGTCTCGTATGCAACCCTCCAACACAGCAGAGGATGCTACAGATGGTGAGACTGTATTGACACCCTTTATCCCTCTTGTCATGCCTTGTGCTGCCAGTGCCATCTACAAGACGCGTGAAATGGCTGCCAGAGCGCTTGTGCCCTTGGTCTTGGACGTAGTGCCTACCATCAAGCAATTGCTGTGTATCTCTAGCACCACAACCCAAAACGAAATTCACGGTCGACTGCTTCAAGTGCAATTTCTTTTGCGTGGTCATTTCTACTCTGCTAATTATGCACATGAAGCTTCTGTTCAGTTCATCCGTGACATGCCCTCTATGGCCATGGCTTGGCTGGATTTGCTGCGTGAAAAGAGATTCTGTAACATGAACAGTGCCTTGTTGTTGAACATTGTCAGTGAATTCTTCTTTGATACCAAGTGGATAATGCAGCAGACCAGTGGCAACAGTGACAAGAACGTCAGTACAGATTTGATGGCGCTTGCTGACGAGCACTTTGCTAGTCTCAGAAGCCATGCCAAGGAATACTGTATCAGTACCATCAACAGTGATGCCATCTCAGGCATTGGTGCTTACTTGGTGAGAGAGAGCATGGCTACTATCATTGTCAATGGCACTTTGGACAACAACAAGCCCAATGCCAAGGTAGAAGATCTCTTGTTCTTGCTTCGAGATCATGACTATGAAGTACGTCTCTTGGTGCTCCAGAAGCTGTTCAATTACTACAGCATGTGTCCCGCAGAGAAGAGCCAGTCTGGGTATGTTTTAATTTCATTGACAGAGCATCGCAGTGTTGCTAATCCACCCCATAGTATCAGTCAATTGCAGTCCATTTTGGTGCAAAGAACATTTGCCGGTGAAGATAGCTTAAACTGCTACGTCTTGACAGCTAAATTGCTCATGGCATTAAACTCCAAGGAGCCCTACCCTGCCTTGTCATCCAAATTACCGTTCACATTGGAAGCCTATTGGAATCAGCTGGTGGTTCACTTTTCTGAAAAGCGTGCGTTGTCTGTTACTGAATCCGTACTCCCACTCCTGGGTGCTCTCCTTGCTCAGATCCTCCGTCAAGCTTCTCCATCAAACTGGGTCCAACAATGCCTAGTAACCTGGAGCAGTTACATTGCGAAATACAGCCAAAAAGACATCACCTTACCGCTTCGTGAAGCTGTTGTCAAATCACTAAGATTCACATCAACACAGGTCTTTATGAGCGAATTTGATGCATCTGTGGAAGATGCTCGTGTTACTGCTGCATTAGCTATCACTCAATTATTGCAAGACGATGATGTTGATGTACGCGATGATACAGCCATTATTGTCTCTCATGCTCTCCGTTTGAAAGCACCTGTGCACCATGAACGCGCTCTGGAGCTGGTACACAGGCATCTGATCACTCGATTCAAGGACTCGGATTTACTGGAAACAGCACTGTCTGAATCGCTTGCTGGTCAACACGCCTTGAAAACTATTTGGGAAAACGAATTATCTCAATCCAAGGCTCTCTTTGCAAAGGAAAATCCCAACATTTACAAGGAAGATTTGATTGATTTGCAATGGGCCAATGTTGATTTAGACGTCATTCATCTGGCACGAGATTGTGGCGTAAAGAACCTCGATTCATTAAGGGCAAGATGCCAGCAATTGAGCGAGTTTAATCATTTGTTGAAACAAATGTCTCGCACTGTAAGTTTAAACGATTTGCATTTAGCAGGAGTTATATACTGATGTGGTCATTCTTTAGCTCATGCAACAGGGTCCTTTCGGCATCACATCGCGAGCCAATATCTTTTTAGCTGCTTATAGTACAACCGAATCATTGCATTTGGATCTAGAGACTTTGGACAAGACGGAAATTGCGCCTGCAGATCTGATTCAATGTATTCAGGATCTCTCTGGATCCCTTTACGAATTGAAAGAAAACTGGGTTCATCCTGTCCTCTGGAACATGCTACGTGGCGACGATGGCTTGTACGCAAAAACCAAGCATTTTATCAAATACCATTCTCATACTGTTGTATACAGCAACATGTTTTTACTCGCTCCTGACTCTAGAAAGCCTTGATTTGTAGAATAAAATGTCACTGCGGTGCAAGGCGACCTAAGCTTAGGTGATCTTCCCTGAATATTAATCACTCACTCAGGAATTGCAAAACGAAAACTATTGTGAAGCGTTTAAAATGGTTATAAGGAGCAAAATGGGGTAGATGGGTTAGAGTTGAAGTTGAGTTGGGGCCAAGATTAGACTTAGACAATATGGTATAGGTTGGCCACATTTTTTATCGCTAGCAGTTTGGCATAGCTGCATAATAATAGGAGCTAAAACTGCTGCGTGCCTGCCTAGAACTAATTGCACTCGCCTAGAAAGCATGTAGAGACTCAAACGGCCACTGGGAGGTGCACATGTGAAGCCATATTTGGCATACTATGACAAAAAAAAAAACTATCTAAAGCATGTAAAACTCTGTAAATTATATGTATTTGACAGCTTCGACAGCAATTTGTGTTGAATCATGGCTAACCATTTAAAAATTGCCTTGCATCTAAATACTAATCATAAAGATCTCCTTGTGTCATGTTAATTCTCATTGTGTGTAAAAGCAATAAATCATGATTAAGCGGTAAAAAAATTCTTTTTATTGATTTAGAGAGGAAGAGTATGTGTATATGTAATGAATAATGATGCGATGTTAAAAAAAAAAAAAAAAAAAAAAAAAAAAAAAAAGAGTGAGGGAAGAAAAGGGAATAATAAATAAGAAAGGAATCTAGGGAAACAAGCATTTTATCCACTGCACATAAGACAGGCATCTTGATTATCTATGGAACATTGCAACTGAGCAAGTCTTTTTTGTTCCTCTGCCTCGTCTTGTTCTGTTAGGTTTTCATTCAAAGACATGTTCTTGAGAGCCAACTGATCCACAGTAAACTTGATGGCCTCGACAGCAGGTCTTGATCTAAGGTAATACATGCCAGTTTTCAACCCCTTTTTCCAGGCATAGAAATGCATTGAGGTCAATTTACCATAGTTGGGTTCCGCAGAGAACAGATTCATGGATTGAGATTGATCAATGAAAGCAGCTCTGTCCGCAGCCATGTCAATGATGGTGCGTTGAGAGATCTCCCATACGGTCTTGTAGAGCTTCTTCAAATCGTCAGGGATGTTGGGAATGTTTTGAATACTACCACCATGCGCAATCATCATGTTTTTGACATTGTCGTTCCAGAGGCCAAGTTTGACTAGATCATTCAACAGGTATTGATTGACGACTTGGAATTCACCGCTTTGTACACGACGTGTGTAAATGTTGCTAGTGTAAGGTTCAAAGCACTCATTGTTGCCCAAAATCTGGCTGGTACTGGCAGTGGGCATGGGCGCAAGTAGGAGTGAGTTACGGATACCATACTTTTTGATGTTGGCTCTCAAGGTGGGCCAGTCAAAGCGATCTGATCCTTCCACTTTCCAAAGATCGTGTTGAAGCAAACCTTGACTTACGGGTGAGCCTTCATATGTTTCGTAGGGCCCAACTTCTTTAGCAATCTCACACGAGGCTTCTAAAGCAGCATAGTAGATGCCTTCAAAGATGTCCTTGTTCAGTTGACCAGCTTCAGGAGAGTCAAATGGATAGCCCATCAAGATGAATGCATCAGCAAGACCTTGTACACCAAGACCGATACTAATACAATGACATGTTAGACTGAAGCACAAGCAGCGTTGGTATCGAGGAAACTTACGGTCGGTGTCTCATGTTACTTGTACGCGCTTCTTCAACAGGATAGTAATTGACATCAATCACCTTGTTCAAGTTCTTGGTAACAACCTTGGCGACTTCATGAAGTTTTGCAAAGTCAAAGGTTTTGGTTTCTGGATCGACAAACTTGGGCAAAGCGAGCGAGGCCAAGTTACAGACGGCAACTTCGTCAGGAGCAGTGTATTCGATGATCTCTGTACAAAGGTTGGACGAGGAAATGGTGCCCAAGTTCTTTTGATTTGACTTTTCGTTACATGCGTCTAGAGAGAGATAGGCTGTTTAAACATTACTTGTCCTTATACCATGTGGCCATTTTAATTTACCTTTATAGAGCATGTAAGGCATACCAGTCTCAATCTGTGCTTCCAAAATGGCAAACCAAAGCTTCTGAGCATCGATTGTTCTCTTGGCTCTGCCTTCTGCTTCATATTGCAGGTAGAGAGCGTTGAACTTTTCACCATACACTTGAGTCAAACCAGGCGCTTCATTGGGGCAGAAAAGAGACCATTGACCATTCTCCTCTACACGTTGCATAAAGAGATCAGGTACCCACAAGCCCAAGAATAAATCACGCGCACGCATTTCTTCAACGCCGTTGTTCTTTCTCAATTCCAAAAAGTCAAAGACGTCCACGTGCCAGGGTTCTAGGTACATGGCGAAATTACCATTGCGCTTTCCACCACCTTGGGTAACAAAACGAGCTGTATCGTTGAACACACGAAGCATAGGTACAATGCCGTTAGAAGTACCATTGGTGCCAGCAATGTAAGATCCAGAGCCACGGATCTTTTGGAAGGCAACACCTACACCGCCAGCAGCTTTGGAGATACGAGCACATGTAGCCAATGTATCGTAGATGCCTTCAATGCTATCATCACGCATCTGGACCAAGAAACAGCTTGACAGTTGAGGTTTGGGAGTACCAGCGTTGAACAAGGTAGGTGTGGCATGCGTAAAGTACTTGGAGGACATGAGATCGTACGTCTTGAACGCACTCTCCAAATCATCGCCATGAATGCCTAGAGCTACACGCATGATCATGTATTGAGGACGCTCCACAATCTTGTCGTTGATTTTGAACAGATAACTACGCTCCAGTGTCTTGAAACCAAAGAAGTTGAACGAAAAGTCTCTATCATCCACAATAGCAGCATCAATCTTGTCTGCATTGGCCTTTACGACATCATACAACGCTTGAGAAATGAGAGGATTGGGTTGCTTGAGCTTGGGATGTACGTGATGATACAGCTTTTCAATGACAGTACTGAATTTGGCGTCTGTCTCCTTTTGAAGGTTGGAAATGACAATACGAGCTGCCAATACAGCAAAATCAGGATGGCTGGTGGTCATGTAGGCAGCGGTCTCTGCAGCAAGGTTGTCCAATTCCACGGTCGTGATGCCCTGATAGACGCCAGACACTACCTTTTGTGAGATTTGAGCAGGAATCACAAATTCTTCGTTCAATCCATAACATAATTTGGCAATGCGAGATGTGATCTTGTCAAAATGAACACTTTCTTTGCTGCCGTCTACCTTGCGTGTTAGATCCTGATGGTGATAAAATCAAAGTGCATTCGATTTACCTCTTTTAATAACATACATCATCTTGATAAAGTAGTGTCAGCTCGACTCAATGGAGAGAAAAATGAAGGAAGAGGGAGGAGGAAGAGGATTATGTACAAAGAAAAGAGAAAGGAAGGTAGAAAAAAAAAAGCATTTCCTTCACGTCGCGCATCTTATTTAAAGAATTATCAAAACACCTGTTTGGTACTTTCCCAACTACTGATAAACGCGACGCGATTTCGTTGCTCGACGTCACTTGTAAACAGACATGACAATGAAAGTGTAGCGTGGCATGTTACACTTTAGCTGGATCTGATTAGATATCATAGTAAGATGACAAGCAATCACCCCTTGATTTCACTCTATTGTCGTTTTGCTTTGTGGAGATGGTTTCAGATGGACATGTGGAGATTGAATGGATCCATGTTGTTTGCTTGATGTCAAATACATAGTTTAATGCGATTATCCCTGATTGAGGTTGGAATCGTCTTTTTGCCCAGCACCGTGTAAACGAATCTTGCTGAAAACATGTGCTGAAATCGAGCCGTTGATACATCATTAGAAAAGTGTCCCTTGCTCATCAATTCTTATGCCTTCAAATCCTCCATTTGTATACGGCTTTAAGAGATCGAAATCACACCAAGCGATGAATCTGATCTCACGAAGCAGCACTCGCCAACATGTCAAGTCCAAATCAGTAAAAAAAAATCACAAATTTACAGCAAACCGTAGCGACTTGGTGCTGGTCAAAGGATACCAGTGTACAGCGCAACTGGTGGTTTTTATTTCAAGGCTTGAGTACGTCCCAAGAGGCAATCAAGCCCAATCCAATGACACATACTGTACCCTGAGCACCCTCTGTGTAATGGACTCACCATGCGTATTTTACGAACGCTTGTTGACTCACGCAATGCCAACACTTGTTGTTAGAACATCTCTTCTCAGTCAACACTTGCTCTTGCATGAACAATTGTCTCAATCAGGGTGATTTTATAAGCAATATCTATACTGTATAGCAAGCAACATGGGCGAGTCGTTCAGATGGGACTTTCAGTGTACTTTCTTGATTCGTTGAACTTCCCTCTAATGTATAAGTGCTGTTGTAGTCTGTGTAAGCTATTTATATCGGCGAAAGCATTTAGACTGATACTATACCTCGTTTCAAGAGCCTTAACTTTCGTACTAGTTTGCTGTTTGCTCTGAATTGGATATTTGCTAACACATGCCATCCAGCCTTTTGTTGATTTTTCAATCTTCTTTGTGATAGCCAAATGTAGATTGACGTTGTGTGTAATGGCAGCTGGCTTCTGTCTGGATGAAATTGGTTTCAAATCGCATTTTGCGGTATATCATTTCCAAATGATGGGATCAGCCCTTTGGAACCATGAGAATAATATTCCACCAAAAAAATGTTTAAACCTGGTAAAAACGACAAGATCCATAAAAAAAAAAGCACCTTCATTGCCTGAGGTATACATATCTATATCACGCCAAGATTTAATGCGACACAAGGATTTCGGGGGGGATAACACTAAAACTGAGGGATTCTCTTGTCCAACAGTAGATAATGATATCATTTTGTGGTTATCGGAATCCACGTACGGCAATACGCCATTTGCTCTTAAAAGACAAATAAAGTGGTGAATTGACAAAAGCCGTGGCATGTTGCTAAGTAGCCATGCATGATGTATTGTGTTGTTTCTATGTAGCCATGCAAGGTATATTGTGTTTCTGCCAACATTTGAAGCATGAATGGAACATTTGGTGCCTATTTATACGTATAAATCAGTTGAGGGATGATCAATTGTCCGCTACCATCTATTTATATATGTATCCACTGTTTTAGTCTTGTTTTCACTCCTTTTCTTTCTCCCATCATCTTGTTTTTTTTCTTCAATTCACATAGTATATCACCCTCGAGAAAGTATATCATGAAGTGGCTGGGAAAAAAGGCAACACCCTATGTGTTTTTGACAGCTGGTCTCATCCTTGTGCTTCTATCCATTCAAACATACTTTACCATATCCCAAAATAAGGATCAAGCGCCCAGACACAACATTGACCCAAGAACCTCGGTTTTACAGAACGATAAACCTGTAAAGGCTTGTTTTGTCGTTCTGGTTCGTAATAGTGAGCTGGATGGCATTGCTTCCACCATGTTGCAGCTGGAAAAGACATTTAATTCCAAATTCAACTATCCATACGTCTTTCTGAACGATGATGACTTTACGGAAGAGTTCAAGCAATCAACGTCCGTCTTGACAAAGGCACAGACAAAATACGGAAAAGTCGACAGCCAAATGTGGGGCTATCCATCCCATATCAATCAGACCTATGCTGCTGAATGTAGAAACGAAATGGCAACCAAGGGGATTCCCTATGCAGACAGTGAATCATATAGAAACATGTGCAGGTAAGGAAGCAAGTTGCTTTATTTTTTTCAGGAGGTCGGGTGCTTATATTTTGCATGCGGTGCTGCGCTGTCTATGTGTACAGATTCCAGAGTGGCTTCTTTTTCAGACATCCCATGTTGGATGAGTATGATTACTATTGGCGAATTGAGCCCTATGTTGACTACACATGTGATATTGATTATGATGTATTCAAGTTTATGCGAAACAACAATAAAAAATATGGTAAGCTGTCATGGTGCAAAAGGGTGAAACGGATAAAGCTGGCTAAAAAAAAATGAAAGGTTTTACAATCGCCTTTAGAGAATTTCTTGAAACCGTGCCTACATTATGGCAAACTGTGATGGATTTCAAGCGGGATTATCCTGACGTCGCCTCTCGCTGGCCATCCAAGAAGAATTCACTCGAGAAATTTGTTACCAATGATGGCAACAGTTACAACGGCTGTCATTTTTGGACCAATTTTGAAATTGCATCACTGGAGCTGTGGAGATCAAACGACTATCTGAAATTATTCAATTACTTGGATCAACAAGGTGGCTTCTTTTACGAGCGTTGGGGAGATGCTCCTGTGCATTCGATAGCTGCGTCGTTGATGCTAAATCAGGAAGATTTCCACTTTTTTAACGATATTGGCTATAGACATACTGCATATACGCATTGTCCTACAGAGCCCGAGTTCCGTGACAAGTGTTCCTGTGATCCAAGCATCAATATGGGTAATAAGAAAGAAGACACTGCTTCCATCATGTATTTATTAATCTAATTTGCTTTTAATTCTGTAGATTTAACTGATCCAATGTCATGTTACCCTGTATATAAAGCAGCATTCAATTAGCAAATCAGCCCTATTTATTATCCCATGCCGCAAAGGAAACTTTACCTCTCCTCTTCGACGCAATGTATATGTATTATTTGCTATACAAATTTGAACAGATTCTATTTTTCCTTTACATTATTGTAACTCATTGTGCTTGTTTCCTATTTCGGTTTTAATCGCATCTACAACCTTGCATGGTTGTACCACTGTAATACAATCGTAATTTCTAGGGCACACAAGTATTCTGGGATATATATGGGCAAAATGCCTATACTCGAGTCAGAAAATCAGGAGTAGAGGTGGATGTCAGCAAGCATATAAACGTATTTGAGGTTAAATTGGGAAGTCAGGGTTAAAAGTGATCTTTACTGGATTGATATAAAAAGACTATAAAAAAACGTATTTCTGGTAGTTCTCATGATCTATGTCAATCATGATTAGCAGAATCAACCAGCGAGCAAGTCAAAATACATCTGGTTCTATCCCCCAGATCACAGTGATGCCCCAAATCCCAAAATGTGAACTCTCTTCCCAATATTTTGACCCACAAGATTAGACTTTTACCAACCAGTTGCACGCAAAAGCTTTCACAGAGCAGGGACAACAAAACCTTTTGTTGATACTTGCCCTCGGATTCTACAAGCCAAAAGCCTTCTAACGCTTCATACCTAGTAGCTGGAAACCAGTGGCCAGCAAGTAGCCGCATCTTTGCATAGCAGAGTGCTTTCAGTACTTCAGAACTTTATACAAGCCAGAACCAATTGCCTTCATGTACATGTATCTCGTTAAGCGATAAGCGAGGCGGGCTTCTAGCGTAAGACACCTCCTCGCGAATTTGGTGAGAGTAATCACTAGCGAAGTTATTAGCTTGTAACAACGCGTCATTCAAGCACAGGTAAAGGTACAACAGAAGTGCAGTAACACTTCCCGATGCAGGTGAGAACATGATTTACCATACCATACCCTCCATACTTGCCCCGTTTGCCGTATATCTATAACGGACCATGATATAAATAGCTCTTTCAGCTTGCATTCAATAAAGAAATACAAGGGAATAGCAACCAACACACTATAGACTTACTGAAGGCGACCTGGCCAACTTGAAACTGTGCAGAATTCTGTTCAAACTTGGAAGCAAATAAGAAAAGTGTGCTAGTGGCAAAGAAAACTCCCAAAGAAAGACCCCAAATGTCTTGCGTCTCAAGGTTAATGAGACCCGAGATACGAACATATCAGCATGTACATGAAGACTTGGTCAGAGCTCAGCTTGTTAAGATCTGACAGGAGCGAAAAAAAAAGATAAAGAAAAAGAAAAACTAATGTTGTGGCATAATGCCTTGTTTTCATCAGAATAATCCCGTTACTGTACGAGCAACAGCCCTACAGATCAGTACTGTCACTAACTCATGTCGATTTATATTAGGGCCTTTCATTCATTTTCTATCCAATGGCCCGTACTTGATTTTCATCTTCCATCTTTTCTGTGTGCAGAAGATAGTGAGATGAAGGATCACCTAAAACTCATGGCACTCAGAATGGAAGGGTTGGTATTACTGAATTACAACAGTTGCAAAGATGACTCTGTTAATTAATAACTCTGCAGTACGAATAGTAGTGTCCAGTTCATTATGTACGCAAACATTCGAGAGCACAAATCTATTGGATGAGCAATTTATAGCGGTTAAACCTATGTGTCGTATATGAAAATGCGCACCAGATAAAAGCTTCTACTGGCGTACTGAGCTGTAGTGTATTTTGTTTTCGCAACATTCTTCTTATAAGCCTCCATCAGCAGATATTACCTTCACAATGAGCATGGCAACATCTTCACCAGCTAAATCGTTTCAGTCTCCGACTCCTTTTTTTTTTTCTTTCTCGAAATAGGAATTTTTGAACGAATTTCGACTTCCTAAATCTATTTTGGAAGACTTCTTTAATCTATTCTGTCATCTTTTTCGCATGTCAGACACTAGTCAAGTACATCAACGTTCCTCGCAAGCTGACACTGCGGCTCCACTGTTGTGGACTCATGTGGTTAACTCACGCCGCAAAGGGAACAACAGACAACAACAATCCATCGTCTCTTTCAATCCCACTATCGTCAAACGACCTGTAACGGAAGCAGAGGCCTCGCAACAGGCCATCAATGGGGATACTTCGCCACCTCCTCAGGCGGTTATCCGTCCATTCCTCAAAGGCGTGGAACAGGATTCCGTCTTCATCGATCTGACACCTATCAAGAATCGCAATCTCTTGAACAAGGCTCTTCTTCAATTCAACGAAGCCTCTAATGCTGAAGACATGTATGAAGAATTTCTTGGATACCGGAAACAACCTCGACACTACCTCAACCATGCCTTCTTGGAAACCATGTGGCTGCCCAACAGCGAAGGTCGTAAGACTCTCATTGAAGAAGGTATCACTCTAGAGGATGGCACCTTTGTGAAAGGGTTTGCCTCGTACCATGCTGATGCTACGATTGTGAAACTGACCCTGGAGAATCTTCCTTTCTTGCCTGCCCTTCAGTTGAAGGAGGAAATGGCTGCCCGACTTTCTGCGTTCGGGGATGTCTTGGATCACGGCATCTCGAGAACTGATGGGATCTATCAAGGAGAAGGTTATGCTACACTTAATCTAACGGTTCCTTCCAGCCCTGGTTATGAATGTCAAGAGTTACATCCCGTTGGGAAATCTTGCCCTGGTCATCGCCATTTGGAGAAACTCAGCCGTGTCATTGTCTGGGATTTGACAGCTTCGGATCAAAGAAAAGTTTTACTCCAATGGGATCAAATGCCGGCTTTCTGTCGTAATTGTCAGAGCTCTGAACACTGTCGGGCTGATTGTCCTGACTACAAGAAGTGGGTCCGCTGCCATCATTGCAATGAAACTGGACATGTGGTGAAGAACTGCAGTCGCAATAACAGCCCAAACAAGGTCCGTGCGGTGGAAAACACTCCTGCCAAACCCCGAAAGGGCTCTCAGGTGGCCAAAGAGGGTAAAAAGGGTACTCAGGGTGGCTCCAAAGTAACTCCTGGTGGTGCTCCAGTTGGAAACAAAGGTAATGCCCAAGGAAAAGGCCAGGATGTTGCATCTGGTGGTTCCCAAGGTGATTCCGATAATCGAATTGCTGCTACCCAGCAAGGTAGCACTCAAGGTGACGCTGATAGTCAAACAGGTGCTAGAAAGCAGGTAGTTGATAGAGATGTTCAAATGGATGATCTTCCAAAACTCCAAGTTAAAGAAGTCGATGGGAAAGGGGCTTCCAATGATATTATCATGTACGACTCTTCTACCCATTCTGCTAATGAACGAGAGGAGCGCCCTGAACGCCCTGCGAAGAAGATCGGTAAATTTAATGGCGCGGATGATGTTAGTTCTGCCAAACAACAAGCTGCATCTAATGAAGTAGAGACTGGACACCAACTCGGCTTGACAGGCCCTCCTTCACCTCCCCAACATTAATATGATTAATCAGCAAAATACAGTGAAAATAGCCACCCTCAATTGCCGTGGCCTAAAAAAAACAGATAACACCAAAAAAAGACAACAATTTATTAGATATCTTCGAACATTAGGATATGACATCTTAGTGCTTCAAGAAACACATGCAACAGACAACACATTTATAGACATACTCAACACTCAATTTACTTGCAAGTCGAGTCTTTGGACTCAACATTGCGGCATCATTTCCCTCAACACTCACTACTCACTCAAACACATCTCAGAAGGCATTGATGGGGGTCGATTTATCTTGGCTTCCCTTCATCTTACTCGAGACCTGGAAAATTCACCCAATTCACCACCAATAGCAACAATACTTAATATTTACGGCCGTGCGTCCGCTCACACCGACCGATCAGCGTTCTATTCAGAACTCATTGGCACACAAATTGTCAAAGAAACTATTACTACTACAACAAACACCGTCTTTATCATGGGAGACTTCAACTACCAGTACAAGGATCGTCGAGTCGATGGCACCCTCACCAGTGCACCAGTAGAATGGACCGATCTACTCGATGATTACTTTATTGACGTTTTTGGGGAAGACAAACACAACACATGGCATAGTGGAAACAATTCAGGGATTCTGGATTACATCTTTTGTAGTTCAAACGCCCATCATCTAGTCACTAGCACCAACCAGCAGTATCTGTCTCCTGCCTGGACCGACCATGAACTCTTGGGATTCTCTTTTCGATATCAAGATGCGAATGGCCGTGGCCCTGGTAACTGGAAGGCAAATCCGTTCTTGGCTTGCAACAAAACATTTAGGAAGGCATTGGCAGAATTCCTCATTGATAGTGAGGCGCGTCTGGCAGAAATCAAGCGTTTCTCCACTCCCCAACAACAATGGGATTGGATCAAAGCCGAAGTAAAGATGTTTATCAAACAGTATCAAATGGAGGATTTGAACTGGCGGAAACAACAGCTACACCGACTGCTATCAAAGAGAAACAAGATGATGCGGCATAAGAAGACAAGAGGCTTGGTTTTTCAAGGCTTGGACACGGTTAATCAACAGATTCAATCTCTCCAGCACTCTCTTGCAGAAATAGAGATCTTGAAGGCAGGAAAATTTTGGCGGGAACATGGTGAGAAATCTCCAGGCTTCCTGAAGCGCTCTGTGGTGTCTCGAGAAAATCGTCGTTCAATTGTGGAACTCAGGAACCCTACAACTGGCGATCTATGTCAAGATCAACCTAGTATCTCCAACATTGCTACCAACTTTTACACTTCACTGTTCACACCGGAGGCTCTGGATTCAACCTCCCTCAGTGTTATAATTCGCAACATCCCAGGTCATTTGAAGCTCAACAGCGAGCAGCAGGAATCATTGATGATGCCGATTGATGTGGAGGAACTCTTGACCGATAGCAAGCAGACTCGTCGTTTGAGTAGTCCTGGACCTGATGGATTACCTTATGAAATCCTGTACTTGGTAATGAAATTTCCACCGTTCCATGATCTCATCCAATTAGTCTACAATGAAGCTTTAAAGAAGGGTAAGTTCCCGCCATCTTGGAACGAATCCGTCATGTGTCTGCTTTACAAGAAAGGCGATCCAGCTGAAATGAAGAACTACCGTCCTCTGTCTCTGGCTAATTCAGACTACAAGCTCTTCACTCGCAATATCAACCGTCGAATCATGGAAGTCTCTTCCAACTTGATCAGCCGACATCAGCTTGGGTTTATTCCTGGTCGATTCATTGCTGAAAATGGAATGATCTGCCAGCTCCTAATGGAAGATGCTCAACGGAAATGGTCCATCGCTGAACAACAGGAAAATGATCCTTCCTTTAACACTTTGGATTATGACATCGGTCTTCTTCTGGATCAAGAAAAGGCATACGATCGGGTGAACTTGGAATATTTGAGGAAGGTATTGGGGAAATTTGGGTTTCCTCGCCCTATTATCAAGTGTATCTCCAAGTTGATGGGTGACAACCTCATACGTATCAACATCAATGGCCATCTGTCAACTGAAGTGGCGAAACTTCGAGGCTTGAAGCAGGGGGATCCTCTCTCTCCTGTACTGTACAACTTGGCATTTGAACCTTTTCTGCTTGCAATCCTGCATGATCGCCAATTTCAAGGCTACTTGATGGGTACTGCACGAACAAAACTCCTGTGCTATGCTGATGACGCTTTGGTGTTTATCCATGACTCCAATGATTTGACTCGGTTACAGCTCCATATGGCTCGTTACTGTGCTGCCTCCAACGCCAAGTTCAATAATGCCAAGGTGGAAGCCTTTTCAGTGTCTGGTCGGGATACATGGGATATGTGGGATGGTCCATTATCACAAATGGGTATCACACATCTCCATTCTGTTGAGGACGATGAACCGTTGACCTATCTGGGATTTCCTCTCGTCCAAAGTAGGATTCAGCGAGTTCACTTTATGGGTGCTTTGGTAACAAAGATCAAAACTGCCATCCAGATTCATTCTGGTCGCTCCCTGTCGGTCGTTGGAAAGGCTACAGTGCTGAACTCTCTTTTGCTCTCCAAGCTATGGTACATCCTGCGTGTTACGCCTTTGACTCAAGCTGACTTCAAGCAGCTGCGTTCTCTGGCTATTCAGTTCTTGAGAAGAAACATCTTCCCCGTCATCCCTTGGAAGGTGTGGACTCTACCAAAGGACAAAGGTGGTCTCGGTGTTGTAGACATCCAAATACAAGCTTCAGCTTTGTATTTTCGTTGGCTCCACCCAATACTGGTTCAAGATCAAGATGTCATAGATTCCCATCCTGTGTCGTACCTCTTAAGCTACCACATTCGCAATGTTAATGGTTACCCCCACCATCAAATCCCGCTGCTATTTCCCTCTGCTCGTCGTACTAAGGGGTTGAAAAAGCAACGCACGGGAACTGTCGATATGTTATATCGTACAGTTGACTATCTTCCTAAGTCGTTTGATGCGGCACCGATCAATTCTGCAACTGCCATGGCTCTTCCATTACAGGCGGCTTTCTATGTTCCTCCATCCTCCTCACTGGTTGTTCCTCTTAAAGTCAAAGAGATGATGGTTTCTGATGTATTTCAGTACGATGCCCGGCTTAACTTTGTACATTGGAGAGACACTCGTGACCCTTCCCTCCTCAGGTGGAAGAGAGCTCCTTCGACAGTGTTCAGAGGCCTCGCATCTGGCACTCTTAAATTCCAGCCCTACTTCCTCCCAGTGTGTAATCCAGCCCCTGTAGTAGATCCTGGAGTCTCTTTTGCGCCGCTGGTGGATCAATTTTGTCTGCACGATGGCCAATCCCTTAGAAACGCTCAGGCTTCCGCCAAAACATTTCGTCTGTCTGTACTGTCGTCGGTGGAACAGCCCTTGGTCTTGCAAAATGTCTCTGCTGCTAATTGGAAATTCTTTTGGTCCCTGTCTCTTACCTACATTCAACGTAATGTGATATACCGATTCATCGCAGGCTGTATCCCTTCTAGAAGCAGATTACACTACATGATGCCTGCATTTTTCGAGTCCCACAATTGTCCTGTCTGCTTGTCCCCCAATGAAACTGCCAGCCACCTGCTCTTTGACTGTCCATCCAAAGAAAAGGTATGGCAAGGCGTCATTTTTGAGTTCCTATGGCCCACCACGTCCATCACTGACATCAAAGAGGCTCTTCTGTCCCTAGACTTTTCAGATATCTGGTACTCCCAAGTCAAAGGCATCCATCCATACAGAATCCTACTCATCACCCTGTCTCAAATATGGCTAGCCCATATGCGCTTTGTTTTTGACGGCACTATCTTTGTCCCTGAGGCGATTCTGGTACATATCCACTCCACTGTCCGACAGACAGTGGATGAAGATCAAATCCATTCCCTCTTGTAATTTAGATAGTTAGATAGTTCCTTTTGTTAGTTTAGTTTAGTTTCCATTTATATTTATATTTTTTTCATTTCTCAATTGCACCCGCCTCTTCACTCTGACCTATTACTCTTAGTGTACGCGGCTCAATCAATAAACACAATTTAAAAAAAAAAAAAAATCTATTTTGGCAGATTTGACTATATGAATCGTGATGATCCCTCTGTACTTACTAATGCATTCTAAGAGTATTTTTCAAGACGCATCCGATGGTGCTATTTATAAGAAGTATATTGACTGAAAATATTGAGCAATGTCTGAAAATACGAAATGAGGTTTTTGGCCAAAATGTCGAGATTTTGTATATGAAGGTCCTACAAACACAGTTTCAGGAGATGCTGTGGATCGAGAGGAACACTCTGATATAATATATGTCATAGTAAAAGTCTTTGTTTTCAAGGTGAAAAACGCGATCGTTTGATTTTCGATGAAAATCATGAGGTATCCCTCATGCTTTTTGGTCGATTTTTGGCCATGTTTTTTTTTTGGCCCAAAAAGTTGAGCAAATGTGTCAGCAAGTTAATGCTAGTTGGAAGCAACTGTTTGGCGCTACTCTCGAGGTTCAAAAAGGCTTCTAGGATGAAAAATCGCTGTTCAATGCCTCCAAATTTCGCTGCGTTTTTCTTATTTATGAGTAGTAAAAGACACTGATACTGTGCTTTCTGTCTACATTTGAATTGTTCTTATGAATACAGATCGGGAGCGTTGCAGCAGAGTCAGATCCACAGTGACAGATCGTTTATGCAGGCTCCACCGTCATAGTGGAAGGAGAAAAGCTAATAATTTGGTATTGTTTGAATAATGCCTCTTCTTTGCGTGAAAAGCATAGATAATAGTAAGTCAACGATCACTTTTAAATTGCAAAAATGCTGTTCCAGACAGGAAAGGCAAAATTACTGATGGATTCATTGGAAATTACGGAAATTTCATTAGAAAATCAAGGATTTGAATTCAATGGTCTGTAAAATTTCACTTGTGAGATGATGTTAATGACAGACCTGCCGCAGCTCTATTTTTCTGGATGTGCACAATAAGAATGTGAACATGTTAAAGTAAGCAGCGCTCTTGTCATCCCAGACAGGTGCTACGACAAAAAGAACAATCAAGAAAGGGTTATGGTATGACACGCTGCGAGGCTTTAGCGTCATAAGGGCAGCATGTTGTACGACATTATTGTTCCCAAACAATAGCACGCTTGTTGTAATCAGAAATATGACTTAACAAAGTCAACAGCGATGGTTTTGCATGCAAACAACGAGCTGGATCCGGCTGCTGCTCTTTTGTACAAAAGTTGGGGATGGCAAGTATAAGAATGATGGCACGACAATGTATGAGTGTTTAGGTTGAACCTGTGACGATTTACCCGGAAGAAGAAGGGAGGGCCGATTACAGGCTGTGTGTTCAATGGCAAACCGGCAATACCTCTTCTCCACTCCTCTCTCTCTCTCTCTCTCTCTCTCACATCTCCTCCCCCCCATTTACTTTTTCCTGATAGAAAAAGCTCTAATTTCTTTCCTCTTTTTTTCTTCTTTTTCAACATTTTACTGAAAACAAACAACATGGCAGGTACTGTAATTCAACAACACCGCATTGGAAACCTGTTGCATATATTGACACATGTCTGTTGATAAAGCAGAGCTATACAAGGTTCTTTTCTCCTACGACACTGACAAAGACGATGAATTAGCCCTCAAAGAAGGAGAGACAATCCGCATTACAGGCAAAGATAGTCCAGATTGGTGGTTAGCGCAAAGAATAGATGATAGCAAGAAATCAGGCCTTGTGCCAAGCAATGTAATGTATACCCACTTTTATTATCTCAGTTTCGAATCTATTTCTAACATGTGTTCACAATAGTTTATTGAAAAGATACCCAGCGAAGGTACGTCTATACAGTCCGCTGTAGTTCGTATACACCTATATATTCAAATGCGCGACATTTTAAGCAGGTATGACACTGGCCATTGTCATTCAAGATTATTCAGCTCAAGCGCCCGAGGAACTATCGTTGCAAAAGAACAGAATTGTCACTGTGTTGGACCGCAATGTCGCTGAGGGTTGGTGGAAGGGCGACTTGAATGGAAAAATTGGTGTTTTTCCGGCCAACGTAAGTAAGCTTTGTTGTAATTTGTTTCCACCTGACTCACATTTCTTATAAAAGCACGTGGAATTTGTGGAAGAAGGCGTTCATCCGGGTGATAATGATAGTAAATTAAAGAGTAAAGTGTGATGGTGTCAGTGTGTCAAAAGGATCTTATCGACTAAACATATTATCGTAGAGGACGCATTCAAGCTGGCTTCGTATGGCGTTAAACAAGGCGGTATTGGTAGTATCCTTGCTGGTGGGTTTAATTTAAAGAGAACAGGTACCTCCAGCAACAGAGCGTCATTGAACGAAAGACCTGCCTCCAATGGACCCTCCAACGAATCACATGCACCATCTATTCCAACGAAACCTCATCCTTCATTAATCAAACCTACTACAAGCAGCAATATGCCCGCCTCAGCTAAACTGAATATCAATACGGCCCCTGAACCCGTCAAAAGTAAGTTGAGTAAAGTGGAAGCAGCAAGTCAATTGCTGACAACAGGCGTGTAATAGGCAACGGAGAAAGAGCCATGGTGCTTCATGATTACAAACCCGAGAATGAAGATGAAATCAAGCTGATGAGAGGTGAATACGTAACTGTCATTGATCATATGGAGAATGATGGATGGTGGAAAGGCATCAGCGAAAGTGGAGCCACTGGCATTTTTCCCTCTAATTTTGTGCAAATTTTGGAAGACGAGAAACCACCTCAAAGGCCTATTCGCGCTAGGCCTGCTACTGTAAAGACAGAGTCATCGCCCAACAATACACCTGCAGCTGCCGAAAGTACCAACATGGCTCGCCCTCCACCTGTCCCTGCAGCCACTCGACCCACCTCTTTATTGTCTAATCGCGAGAGCCATTCCTCCACATCCAGTGTTGGCTCACCACCACCTCCTCGTCCTATTACTACACCGCCCAGATCTCTGACAACACCTCCTGTTCCAACTCGTCGCACTAATTCCATCATGTCACCCTCCTCAAATCACAGCGATACTTTAGGTAGTCATGGGCACAGACGTATTCCCTCTATCCCATTAACATCGCCTGATTTGCCTCCCATGTCTCCCGTACACGAAAGGCCAACAAGACCTATTCCTCGCCCTACATCCACCACGTCAACCGATTCTGCAGCCACAGTGCCCATTGTACCTAGTCGAGCGAATCGTAGCATGAGCCCCGAGAATAATGTCGCAATGAGCAATATGGCTAAACCACCAAAGATCAATTTTGGATCCAAGAGCACTTCTACGCCTGTGGTAGCTCCTGTTCGCTCACCCTCCACTAGCAGACCTTGCTCCATCAATGACACATTGGACAGAGGAGAATCATTACCTCCTCCTCCCAAGCGAACCATGCCACCACTTCCTGAGGCACCACCGCCAGCAGTTTCGACTGAACGAGTAAAGCCGCCTCATCCTACTAGTGCACTCCCCTCAACACCACTCTCAAATGATCAAGCAGACACTGAAGATGAGTTAGATGCTAAAATTCGACGACTGATCCGAGCAGAGACCAACAAAATCCGCAGAGAGTTTGAAACTCGATTAGAAGATGAACGCATTGAACGTCTCAGACTTCAAGTTGAGCTTGAAGAATTGCGAGCAAGTTTGAATCAATAAACGAATCATTTTATTTCTTATCTTGTTGGGAGGCATCTACTATATCAAATCCTCTCGTTCTTTCCCTGTTCATCACTTCCATCATGACTTGATTGCACATCTTAGCATAGGGGTTCTCTGCCACTGCAACATTGCGTGCAATGGGGTTTCCAAGCTTGGCTCCCACTTCAAAGTCCTTTCTTGAGCCTATTAAATCACCTTGTTGCCGTTTGATAATGGCTCTTTGTGTGTAGGCCTGTCTTAAGATCTTGGGCTGACCCTCTCCAATATCAGAAATAACGCAATCTAAATCTTGCAATGCCTTGTCCAGCTCGTTGTTCATGCGATACACTTGAGCTCTGCGTAAACAATAGGGTTTGAGCAAGAGGCACTCGACACATCTAATTGGCCTTATCTACCTGTTATTGTATGCTGATGCATATTTGTCTTCTAATTGTATACATTGACCAAGAATTTCTAATGCCTTTGCTGTGTCTTGCTTTTCTTCAACCAACATAACAGCCTCCTTCTCCATGGCCTCCAGTTTGCTCTGTAATTCGGGAGAAATGGTATATTCTGTTCTATCGTTAGTACAATTAAAATGACAGGACATTACAATCATACTCACTTGGCTTTGAGTCTACAGTGCTGGAGATGGCATCCAGTGGTTGTCCTTGACTTTCTACAACGCCGTTTCAGTACACACTGATCTATTGCCGCTAAAAGAGCATCTACTCACCAGGGTTGAACATGAATTCCAAGATAGCATCATCAGAGATAGACATTTTTTGAGTTTTATAAGGTGCTTTGTATATCAGTGTATTGAAAAGAGAGACAAATAGGCAAGGACCCACACAGAGAGTGTATTTATGCGTACTGTAGCGTGAGAAAAAAAAAGGCACACAGGAAGTAAGCGGACGAAATTCCTGTTCTCCATCGTAATATGTGCGCAACAAGTGGCACCTGGATGAAATAAAGTGCCCAAACTGCCGTGTTCGTATGCTGCTCGCTCTGAAAACCATGTCTCTATTGTCATTTATGCCTATCGTAGTGATGGAATGGGCTACATGTCAAATGCTATAATCTCCACATCATGAAGGTCTACATTTCATATCAAGATGAAAGGTACAAGCACAGCTATCTCTGCGATGGCGTATTGACAGAATGGGATGCCAGTAGCACGCCCTGAAGAGAGTTTCTCACTGAAGGTTTGAGAGAAATATCAAGTGGAACAGGATAATGCATTATGGATGGCCAGCATTGGGATCATCAAGCACCAAATGTGATGATGCCCCTTTTGGCTTCATTGAATATGTGGCAGGACATGTCTTTTTCAACTCTTTCCGTTCAAACTTGCATGAAAGACATTACCTCCACACACTCGCCTACCCTTACAAGAGCAGTTCTCGCTGCCTTAAAGCATTGGCGTAGTGAGCTTGCTCCATCATTCCACCATGCCCATTGAAAAGCCGCAGAAAATATTTTGCGGGTACAAAACTTTTCATCAACCACCATCACTCACTTCAGTTGCAGTTTCTCGTTTTTCTTAAACACAATATAATGAATCCAGCAGCCAAGTTAGCAGGTCGTAACAATGTAAGTCTTTTTTTTGTTGATAGATGAAACCACAACACAGACTCTGTACTAAGAGCATTGATACACATGTCTAGGTACGTTTACCACCAGAAGTAAACAGAGTCTTGTTCGTGAGGTAATAAACCATGATACGCCCATTTGCACAAGTACAACTAACACATTATACAGAAATTTACCGTTTAAAATCACAACTGAGGAAATATACGAAGTGTTTGGAAAATACGGGCCTATTAGACAAATTCGAGTGTAAATAGAATCTCTTAATGACCAGCTCACATCACTAATACATTGCACACCATAGTGGAAATGCATCAGATACTCGCGGTACAGCATTCGTAGTCTACGAGGACATCTTTGACGCAAAAAACGCTTGTGAACATTTACAAGGCTTCAATATCCTCGGCCGTTATTTGATTGTGCTCTATTACCAACAAAACAAGGTGACCAAGAAGATGAACTTGCAAAAGAAGGAAGAGGAGATCAGAGAGATGAAAGCGTGAGTAGTGCTGTTTGTGTAAAGATAGAACATTGTCTAACCCGTGTTGCTAATAGACGTTATGGTGTCGATGACGAGTAAATAGCCTTACATCACGACTTACCACCATCGCCACTAGTACACCAACATCAACTACATCCTCATCATCAATTTGTATATATATATTATTAAAAGAGATTTTTTGTTTGTTCAAGGCTAAATAACCGATGGTTTTAAAACGTAACTTCTTAAAAGGCGACGGATTCGAATCATTGTTTGTATAGTTGGCTGTTAGTGCGGTATATAGAGGAGGTGAAGATGGACAATGGACATTCTTCTTGGACTCAATGAATATGAAACCCATCACCTATGCCGTTATGGCAGCAGTGTTGTGTTTGATTACATCCAATGCTACACCCATAGAAAGATCAACAGTAGATATCAGCAGCAACGATGATCACAACCGAATAGTGAAACTAAAGCAGAGAGGATACTTGCATGGCAGTGGTATTTACGGGTGGTGTGGACGACTCATGCCCATCAGTCCATTGACGCAATGTACATGGTAGGATACACAGGCTCCCTCGGCATTGGAGAGCACTCTTTGAACACGTATGACATTGTATTCGACACAGGCAGCTCTGATTTTTGGGTGCTTTCCAACGAAGCATGCATTTCTAAGCAGTATTGCCAGACACATCATGTATACCAACCCAAGAAATCCATTAATTACACACCATATGACAGCAAACGGCCACTCATCATTCGATACGGAACAGGATCAATCAGTGCGCATATAGGCCGTGATACCATTCAATTAGGCTCTGCTACAGTTCATAGCCAATTTGTAGCTGATGCCTATAAAATAACTAACGAGTTTAAGAATTTGCCCATTGATGGTATCATGGGATTAGGGCTACCCAACTTGAGCAAAACGATACCCAGCAAACCAACACTTGTTGAGAACATGGTAGAGCAAGGACTGATTGACAGAGCCATGTTTAGTGTATATCTACAAGCAGCAGGTGGAGAGATTGATTTCGGCGGTACTGATCCATACAACTATCGAGGACTCATTACATATGCACCCGTTGTTGGAGATTTGTATTGGCAAATAGAAATGACTGGAGCATCTTTTGGAAACTACTCTCTGGCATCACGTTATCTGATTATGGATACAGGTTAGCAAAAGTAAGTCTGCTTAAAGTATCGCATACTAACGCTGCAGACTAGGAACCACCTTACTGCTCGTCTCTCCGAAAGAGGCCGAAATGATGCATGTGCAGATCCAAGGAGCAAGATACAACAATGATGGCACATACTCTGTACCATGTCATCTAAAGGGAGCTTTGCCTGAGCTTGCCATTCAGATAGAAGGTCGCAAACTAGCGGTCTCCTCCAATGACTACGTATTACTACCCTCAGATAGTGATGCGTCCATGTGTTTGTCAGGTATCTCGGGTCAGAATACAAACAAGCCTAATCATTGGATCATGGGAGATGTATTCTTCAAAGCATATTACACTGTAAGAACACGATCCATCTAGGATTCAACACATACTGATTCCATTGAGCCATAGGTGTTTGATCAAGAGAACATGAGAATTGGCTTTGCTGAAGCAAGGGTTGATCCCACATTGTCTGCCGAGGTATATGATGATACCAGTTTTAATAAACATAACGACTCATGAGCTTAACTTGGCTCATCTGAATTGGATGTTGTTTTTAAAAATGCACCTATGCTCTCTATTAAATGTTTTCACAGTGATTCAATGGACGATTGTACATTGGATAAGAAACATGTATATCCAAAATCCAAAACTAGTCAAGGGCACCTGCTCAAATCAAATACTCGTCTAGTCAGATACAACGCATGACAAATCATCATAAGGTCTCTGACGCCTCAGCAACACATCAGTGGAACACGCTTACTACATGCAATCCGGCAAGGGCTCAAGTGCTGTCAAAAGCGGCAGGTTAAATCAATAGGGTTTCATTGGCTCCGAATCAAAGCAAAGAGAGAGAGAGAGGGTGGGGCGACAGACAAGGCGATATAATGAGCAAAGAGTCAAGCAGTACATTCCCCTTTCTTAACCGAACGTTGTCACTATACTAGGTATATATTTTGTACATCGATCAATCAACCCAACCATTCAACCCAACCATGCAAAAACGAGACGATTCATGAACGATTTTTTCAATGGATGGATGGATCACCGTTGTAGTTGGATGGATTAGATGGAGATTGATTGGGAGATGAACACTGAACCCACACAGGACGACAGATTGTTAACTCGGTTTTATTTGACTTAGAATGGCTCAAAGACTTACTTACCGTCGCCGTTGTTCTTACAACACCCGTTCCAACCGTGTCAGAGCCGTAAAGACTCCTGGTAAGTGATATGCCTACATGATTCCAAATGGAACAGAGTATTAAGGATGCACTAGGTGGAAAGCTCGTCGTCCAATACGAAAAGAAGCCCGTCAAGGCTCCTCGTTGTGGTGATTGTGGTGAGGCTCTCGCTGGTGTAAGTTATATATATACTGCACAAGCATGACATGAGATATTGAGTTGATTTGTATATTTAGGTCAAGGCTCTCCGTCCTCGTGAGTTTGCTACCGTCTCCAAGACCCAAAAGAACGTCAGCCGTGCCTATGGTGGTTCTCGTTGTGCTCACTGTGTCCGCAACCGTATCGTTCGTGCTTTCTTGATCGAAGAGCAAAAGATTGTCAAGAAGGTCCTCAAGGCCCAAAAATAAATGTAATCATTTAGCTTCTATATTTTATATTTTACTATATAAAGCATGAATCATATTGACAACAACACGCATCAGCAGCCAGCAAAATGCACATCAGCAGCAGCAGCACGAAAAGCGGTTTTGTAAAAAGTGTGATGAGAGGTGAAAGAGACGGAATGGAGCATACAGCAGAAAGTTCATATAGAGAGACCACACGTGTGCGGGATTGTAACACTCATGTGTGTCTTGATTTGACCTCTGTGTGTGTGTGTGTGTGTGGAGATGATCTTGCTCTCTAATTAGCGATCTACTGCTTTTATACGAAAATGTAACAAAGGGTATAAAATGCCTTTTTTTTCTCTTTCTTTCCTTCTTTTTTACTTTCAACATTTTCATCCTCCTGGCTTCCTTTTTCACCCCTCTCCTTCCCAAATACACATGATACCACGGCCATCGTATAGATTTAGCTTGGCCTTGTCGTTCCTGGCTGCATTGATTGTCGCAAATGTATCTGGACCACAGTACATTTATCCAACATTTGGAACTTCATTGAATGATCGATTCAATTGGTCTGCTGTCCAAAACAGTTTTGTCAGCACGGCATGCTTTGTAGGTGTGTCCTTTTCAGGACCACTTTGTGCTTGGATGATTGAGACTCTTAAAATCAAAAAGACGCTCCAAGTCTCGGCCCTGTTGATGTTCTTGGGTCCATTTTTGGTCGCTCAAACTTATGCCGGAAGACTACCTGATAGTTTTATATTGTGCGCCTTCTATCTCATTTGCACCGGTATCGCAGGTGCTGCTGCTTATTTGTGTGCATTGGATTCTCAGGTATGCAAACAACAAGGTCTAGGGGGTGGTCCTTATGTGGATGAGTCAACTCATATCTCCCTTTATACCTTTTCATCTATAATTAGAGCCATAATTTCAAGCAGCGTCGTGGTCTCAGTATGGGCCTCACTACAGCTTCAGTGGGCACATGTGGTGTAGTATTCTCTCAGATCAATGACCTACTATTTGGCAGTGAAAGATATGAAAAAGATGCACCCACGTCAAACGACAGTACATACAACTTTCTGATCTTTATTGCATTTGTCATGTCTGCTGGCATTTTGTTTGGGTCCTTCTTTCTGGGCCCTGTGCAGGATTTTAGTCGGCAGCAAGTTATTTACCAACACATTGATGAAGAGCATCAGCCTTTAGAGCATGTCAATTCCTTAGAACCCAGCTCCTCCGCTGCTAGTGTCAGAGATAGTATTGAAAGCGATCCTCTGCTCGAGTCCAGTAACAAGCTCGAAGAAGATTACCCTTCAGAAACTGTCATCTCGGGCATCAGAGTGCTTCAACATCCCATTGGCTTGGCATTATTCAGCACTTTGTTTGTCGTGCTGGGCATTGGCTACATCTACCTCGCCAACATTGGACAAATCTTGAACGCCATCTCAGCTCCAGGAAACAGTGCTGAATCCACACAACATGCAAGAAACCTTCACATTACTCTGTTCAGTCTAGGCAACTGTGGCTCTAGAGCATTCTTTGGTGCATTGAGCGATGTGCTGCGAAACAAATTTGGTATTCATCGCTTGTGGATCTTTGTGTTTGCTTTGGTTTCCATGCTCATGACATTGACGTGGCTTGTTTCTACTTCTACTGCAGCAATGAATCCTGAAAAGCTGATTCCTTGCACTGTCATTATCTCATCGGCTTATGGTATTGCATTTGGTGTCGGGCCAGCAGTGACAACCGAATTTGGCACAGAGGTTTGTGGTAGATAGTGCATGTCTCTGAAAGATAATCCATTGACTAAGTCTATATAGGTATTTGCTCGCAATTGGGGCATTTTCCTTTTCGCTCCCGCGTTTGGTAGTCAAATCTTCAATGTTTTGTTTGGCATCTTGTATGGCCATCAAGCAGAGAAACAGAACAGCCATGTTTGTTACGGCGCTGCTTGCTACAGAGGCACGTTTCGTATAGGCATCATTTGTGGCATCATAGTGCTTGCTATCTTGACTCTAGCAATCTATAAGGCAAGTCTTTATAGACGTCGTATACCCAGTGATAAAATCATTTAGAGCATAGATGTAGACTTATTAGATGACTCACTTTATTAAATTTTATCAGAAAAACAAAAACAATTCAATAGCTCTACGTTATAACTATTATAATGCGAGGGTTTCAAGTACCAGATGTGCGTTCCCTTTATAAGTTTGCTCAAAATCTTATATTTTATGAGCTACAAGCAGAGGATTTTCAAAACCCGAAAAGTAAATTTTTAAAATCATACCATCATATAGAAAATTGAGAAAAAAAAACAATAGCTACTAAGCTTGAAGCTCTCGTTCACTTGGTAAAATCTAGCGGTACGGCTCTTTGAAAATTAATTATTTCTACTATTTTTCCTCATTACTCATCGACGTCGTTCTCAGTAACCCCAAGTCAAACACGCCTCAGCCAAGCAGAATATCGTCTGGAATTGTTACTGGATTCGCACCTAACACTTCATCTCTTCAAGGAAGCTAACCGCAAAGAACTCGGATGCCATAGCATTGGAAATGATATTCTGATCAATACTGACATGTTCCACAATCTATTGCATAGCTCTTGAGATTTAATGATTTTACAAAGTAAATCGTAAAGCAATGGTAGAGTACTGTCAATAGAAATCAATGTGTCTTAATTGTATGTAAAACGAAAAGATCCAGTATTTCAGTACCAAAAGAAGAGTCTTTAATTACACATTTGAATTTAACTTACAGCGTTAGAGATGATAGAGTGTAACAGGCGGTACTGCTATTGCGACATCTGGCAAATGTTGTTGACGTTTGATTAGAGAGGATATAAATTCAAAAGCACTGGCTACAATAAAAATCAACCTAAGTAACCCTGGCTAGGCTTGGATAAGCTATTATAGCAATCAAAGCAGTTGTAATGTAACATTGAAAATTGAAGGTGTGATATTAGTTATTGTAAGTTGTTGTTTATCCACTTCTAGAATGCTGTGCAATTGTGATATCTAGGTATTGTTCACAAACTCAAATGTTTTTTTTCTAAGTTGTTTTCATTGAGACATGAACAGTGTCCATTCTGAAGAACATCACAGGTGTGATTATACACTTTTATCTCCATTTGATTAATAAGCTTTTATTATTACAAAAGACAATATCGCATTAAACGGCAAACCAACAGAAAATCAATTAGTTGTAGACCTTTTCTCTTTCAATCCCTCAGCCAATCAAATGATTTAAAAACTCCGCTGACCTAAAAAAAAATTGCGAGGGTTTCCCCCTGTTCGGATGTGAGGCAAAATTTTAAGCGCCGCTATATATAGCAATATAACTGTTACTATCATCAAATTTCCCCCAGGTGCTAGAGCATGCCTTACTTACACCACCTAGCTTTAGATTCTGGCGTTGAGACTCTCAATCATCACTAAAGTAAGTAGTGATAACCAAGTGGAGACAGCCTATCCATCTCCTAGCCTCGGATAAAGTCTTGTTGAGCTTCAGCGATAGGCACATCCACCACAACGTAATAAAGAGGTATGCTTCAAAGAAACATAATAAAAGAAAAAAAAAAGAAAAGAACATGCTTACAGTATTATAGGAGTATAGTAATGTAGTATGTAGGCAAAAAAAAGGAACACTCACACAAAAAAAGTGAGTCAAAAGAAAAGCATAACAACAAATACAACATTAAAGATGTTCAGAACAGCTTGTTGTTGTTGTTGTTGAAACAAAAATGCATACATGAGTAATGTGCATGGTAATAGTCTGATGCAAAGGAACACAAACACACACAGTTGCATGAACAATAGTAGTAGTATAAGTGTGTAATACAACATAATGACTAATGTTGTTTCATGTGAAGCGACAGAGGCAACACAAACAACAATCCGCAACCATATAACAAAGTAGTATTACAACGGCAATACAGATATATAGCAGCACATCATGCCTATTGTTCGTACATACGAAACAACAACATTGCAAGCATGCGTTGAGCTGATCATATCACAGCCAACAAAAGAAAAAGAAAGCGCAACAAAGCAAAAATCATGAATGCATTATAATGAAAAAAAAAAGGCAACAATACAAACGTCCAAAGAAGCTTTATGTCATTGCGACAAGAAGAAAAAAGATACTTACCACTTACCACTTACCACAGCCACGGATAGAGCAGAGAGTAGGCAACCACCAGTGATAGATCAGAGAACGAGCATACACCAACGATAGAAGACCAAAAATAGGCCAGAAGAGAAGCAGCAGCAACACCAGCAGCAACATTAGCAGCAACACCAGCAGCAACATTAGCAGCAACACCATAGAAGAACTGGAGGACGAGAGACGCCAAAAACCAGACAAAGACTAAAGAAGCAGCTGCCAGAGATAGACACCAAAGAAGCAGACAGCAAAGATAACAGAGAAGCAATGGCAGCAGCACCCACGTCAAACAGGCAAAAAAAATTATCGAAACCTAATAAACAAATTCGATTAGTGCTTGTTCTACATCTTTCTGTGTTTGTTATCGAATGATATCTACTATATTCCACTTCAAAGAAGCAGCATCAAGTAATTTTAGCAGTGAAAGATCGTGTTATTAGAAGCTAGAATGTTATTTTTAATCACAAAAGTTCCAAAATCCATAGGGTTTGATACTAAACGCGCTTTTCAAAGAGAATAAAAAACGAGAGTATGGAAAAACGAGAGGGCGTCCTAACCGACGTCACGACCAGTAGATTTGGTTTCAGTTTTCTGCCGTAGCAGCCGTAACTGCTGCATTTTAATTTGAAATTGTGCAGTGGATATTTTCTTTTTCAGACTTGACTTGATATCACATCCTTTAAACGTTTTTGCTAAATTTAATTATGAAAATTGTCGTCGAGACGCTTTACTTTCTAATGTATTTATAAAAAGTCAATGAAGGCGCATCGAACGATGTTGGTTACATTCAGCTTTCAGACCGAAAAGAAAGAGCAATCTTAAAATATTTGAAATTAGGTTTTCTGCAGAAATGTCAAAATTTAGCATATAAAACTCTCAAAGGAGTAGTTTCCAATGTTGCATATCATCTTTACAGTCAATTTGGTCTAATATGTATCATAGGAAAAGTCTTCATTTTTAAGGTGAAAAACGCGATCGTTTGATTTTCAAGAATTTTCCCTTGCTAATACTTATGAAAAAATGAGGATTTTCATGAATTTGCAATGACCCAAAAAAAATTGAGATAAAGCATCAGTAAGTAAGGCGTATCAAAGGGGAGCGATTGGGTCTTATTCCAAGCGTCTACAACGCTTTGTAGCATGAGTTATTCGTGCTTGAAAATGGCTAGCTTTGAACAAGATTCGACCTAAATAGAGGGCATAGTAGGCTGTGTTGTCAAAGGTGTAAGTGGATTACAGTTCTGTCTAACGACACAGAGACTCTGCATTGAACAGAACTTAGTTTCTAAGTGATAGATGCTTTGATTCTAATTCTAAGGTTCAAAACTTTCTTTTTGAAATGCGCGGTTAATTATAGTAAATTTAAGACTTGCGTGTTATTAATGCTATTGTGCGCGAAGAAAACGTTGCAGTGTTTTGCCAAATTGCACTCATTACCAATTTTCTCTGTAAATATCAAAGCTATTGATGTGCGCTCAGTTTTCATAAATAACCTAAGTAGTTGGCTGTCAGTTGATATACTGTAGGGGGAAAAACTGTCCCGTTCGTTCAAATAATCTTGACTTTTACCCAGTATATTGCCAAAACTCAGAAAACAAAGATACCCCATACTGCGTTCGATAGAACAGTTTATAGGGATTACAGCAGCATAAAAACCTTATGGCTGGACTATATTTTAATCCCAGTATAACCAGCTAAAGTGAGACGTGGCAAAAATGTTAGGTGGGTAATTCTAGATGATATAGAATGGTGGATATCTTTACTTCCAATAAACGTATCGAAGAAATCTAAAAAACTACCCGCGGTATGCTCAGGATATTTAATACCCGAGGAGCATTCTAAAAGTATAAAAGAAGCCAATTTCTTCTTTATTTCTTTGCTTTCTTATCTTTTTCAAAACTTTCATTATGCCTGCTCGTTTAACACAAGATTTGCGCAACACTCTCCAATCTTTGCTCCAACGTGGTCTGTCGTTCTCAAAAATAAAAAATTTATATCCAGGAGTGGGTAACTCTACTCTTACAAGGCTCAGAAAACTATATTGCCCTGACCCAGCTAGACCTCTTGGCGGAAAACCGAAAAAACTTGGTGCTAAAACTACAGTGCGCGAAAAAAACGTTCCAGTGTTTTGCCAATTCGTAGTTTTACACTTACAGCTCTGTCAATTTTTTCCAGTTTGAAAACTAAAGTAAAACTACGAAAGCTTGGGTTTTTGGCCACAAAATGAGCTACTAAAATGATTGATACAGTAGATACTGAGCTAGTGCAACTGACGTGAAGTAAAAAATTTCGATTTTGTAAAATTGGAAATATCGCTTGATGACCTTATTGTTTGTATACATTCCACGAAAATAATCCGAGAGTCGTAATTTTTTATATCAGTTATGTTTAAAATGTTAGTTATCCGAGGAATGCTTAAAAAAGTATAAAGAAGCCTGAGATTTTGGTCTTTTCCCTCATTATATTTTACCATCTTTACTTCATCACTTTTTTTTAACATGACACGTCCCATTCCTCAGGAGGTTCAAGGATCTTTCAACGCTCTTTTCAACCAAGGTTGTTCCCTCCGTGCCATTCAAAAAATCTTCCCAGATTTGTCCGTCAGTGTACTTTCTCGCTATAGGAAGAAGTTTCTTGGTCATTCAAAACATGCCAAACCCGGAAGACGCAGCAAAATCACTACGCAGAATATAAACTACATTGAGAGGAATTTCCGCAATGGTAATTTAGACGGCCCCAAGGGTGTGCAGTGCTACCTTGCTCATATGTGAGTTCAGATGACTTTGAGGAATATACAGTATATACTCAAGCGCAAAGGGTTCAAGGCTAAAAGAAAAATAAAGACCAATTTCGTGTCTGCGGAGAACCGGAAAAAAGCGTCTTGTGTGGGCCAAGAGACATCGACATTTGACTGCGGACGATTGGCGTAAATGGGGATTTTTCGATGAAACCAGGGTCAACATGTGGGGATCTGACGGCGAATCTTTCTACTGGACTGACAGGCCCACTGAGTTGATGTCTCATCAAACTGAGGCTCAAGTTCAGGGAGATGGTGGTGGCGTTGTTTTCTGGGGCATGATAACAGCGGAGGGACCCAGCTATGGCTCCACCATTACCGAAGGAACTGTTAACTCAGAAGTTTATGCTGAAATTCTGGACTCATCTTTGCTAGACACTATCGAGTACTATGGGCTGGACAAGAAAACGTTTAGATTCCAGCAAGATAACGCAAGACCACATACTTCTGGTCCCATTAAAAAATAGTTCACGCATCACGGATTCTCTGTGCAAAGTGTCCTTGATTGGCCCTCCCCAAAGCCCTGACCTAAACCCCATTGAACATGTCTGGCATCAACTAAAACGTCGTTTGAACAAGTACCCTACTAGGGCCACCAGCCTTTCTGAGCTAGAAGACAGAATTGAACAGGAATGGTATAAATTCACAAAAGAAGACTGTCTTAAATACATAGGCAGCATGCCACGCCGAATCAAAGCGGTTATCAAGAGTAAAGGTGGTCCAACTAAATATTGAGCTTTTTTATATAATTTAATAAATTCGACTTTTCACTTTTCATGTGGCTACCATTCTTTTTCTAATTATGTGAATAAAGTGAATAATATATCATCTGATAGCCAACTACTTAGGCTATTTACGAAACTAAGCAAACCCCAGTAGCTTTGATATTTGCAGAGAAAACTGGCTATAAGTGCAATTTGGCAAAACACTGGAACGTTTTTTTCGCGCATTGTATGTTCCTAGTGTCAAGAGGACTTCGATCAGGTGCTTTAGATAATCCCCGAGCGGCACAAGAAAGTTTAAGATCGATGGGCCATGATATGTCAATTAATGGCATTCGCAAGTCATTGAGACGAAATGGACTTAAATCTCGTAGAAAAGTAAAGACCAATTTTGTTAGCAAGACAAACAAGCGGCTTCGATTGGTGTGGGCTAAAAAGCATAGGCATCTTACTATTGCTGATTGGCGTCGTTGGGTGTTTTCGGATGAAACAAGAATAAACCTTTGGGGTTCAGATGGTAATTCTTTTTACTGGACGAATGGTGGCGGCCGAATCATGCAATCGTATCAAGTCAAGTCTCAGTTGCAGGGAAATGACGGTGGGGTTATGTTCTGGAGTTGTATAACAGCGGAGGGACCTAGTTATGGTACTACCATTATTGAAGACGCAATAAACTCGGGCTTGTATGTCGATATTTCGAAGACATCATTGAACGACACTCTTGAGCACTTTGGGAAGACACCATCTGATGTGCGATTTCAACAAGACAGAGCAACACCGCATACATCGGGCATTACTAAACAATGATTCACCGACAATGGGTTTAACCTAGACGAAGTCATGGATTGGCCACCCCAAAGTCCCGATCTTAATCCCATTGAACATGTCTGGCATCTCCTAAAGCTTCGTCTTAATAAGTGTCCCACTAGGCCCTCAACAAAAGAAGAATTAGAGCGGCGTATTAACATTCAGTGGTACAAAATAACAGAAAAAGAGTGCCAAAAATATATTGATAGTATGCCTGCCCGGATCAAGGCTGCCATCAAGAGCAAAGGTGGTTCAACTCACTATTAATGATTTTATAATAAAATGTACATTTTTCTATATTTATTTTTTAACCAATAAAATCATTGGATTTTAGTTTTTGAAAAAGTTATAATTATGTATAGATAGCACTACTTTCTCTCATTCGAACGATATATATTTCGACTTTGTATACAAAGAAATGACCAAAAACTTGTGCAAAAAGACAAAATTTTAAACGAACGGGACAGTTTTTCCCCCTACAGTATTATGCGCTTTATTCATTTGATTAGAAAAAGAACGGTAGCCTCATGAAAGTGAATAGTGAAATTTATTTAATTTTATAAAAATGCAAAATATTTATGTTAAGCACAAAGGATAAAAGAAGTATTATTTGTAGCTTATAAAAAATGTTCGATATTATAAAAACAAGAAAAGACTTATTTGAATAAGATCAGACACAAAAACTAAAGATTTACTGATGAAGACAAGAGTTATTCTATTTATACTAAGTTCTGAATGCCAAAGTAGCAATTTATCTTGTACAACGCTTATCATATCTGGTGAACCTCAGTATTTAGATAGCTGAGATGCACTTCAATTATCATAGCTTGTTCATGTTGTTGCACAACACAGACATATCTACCCATCAAGAATACCTTAATCTTTATAGACAGTTGTAGCCCTTCTGGCACAACAAACAGCATCTCTCAACATAATCACTAAGTATTAGCTACACTAACTCTATTTCTTTGTTAACTCTACCTATTGAATATATCTCACAAGACGAAAAAATTGTCATTGATATGTTTGATGGGTTGGTACCTGAAGCCGTATTGCGACACAACGCTAATAAGAGGCAAGTGTTTAAGCCAACCATTCCGGTCCGCAGACAATTTAGAAAGAAGCAGAAGCTAACGGTAGTAACTGACGTTAGCCGTAATCTATAGCTAGGATATAAGCAGTGTTTTGATTGAATTGAACAAAGAATATCTTTATTCAATCTCATCTAATATTGTGAACATATATACTATGTATATATATTGTAAACGACGAGATAATGATAAATATCAAGCTCTCTATAATGATTACCTTGGTAGTTGGTAATCAAGATATAAGTATTGTTGTGTGGAAAGGAAGACTGTAAGAACTATCCCAATAATTATGAGAGATGAATTTAAGGGTTCTTTAGGTTTGTTCGTACTAGATTGGCACTAGTAACTAAACTCCAGATTAGAATAAGAAAAAAAAATGGATGATGTTTATTAGGATGTAATTCAAAATACTATTTATATATGCTATCGTTCTATTGTTATTCTCCTGTCAGGCTCAATTCAGATCCGAATGTCAGTGCCCTGATCAAATGTAACCCCAAATTGGATTGCTTTCAATTTAATGTCAATTTCATGTACCCGCGTTTTTGAGTCGATCCCATTGTTTAAAATAGTAACACCCCAATTCCATTGTTGTAATTCCACTTGAATCTTGCATCGATTCGGCATCAATTGGTTTGCATCTATCCTGAGTCAAAGTCCAGAGTCAAATCCACATTTCAAAAATAGTAATGCTTGGCTATTAGCGCGCAATCTCATTCAGATCCCTGACTAATTCATCGATTCAACATTATCGGCTCCAAATATTGATTAGATTTTCGGCTAAACTTGACAAGAAGCACCACGATCAAACGAATATGTAACAACAACAAAATAGAAGCGACACCAATTGAGTAAGCACTAACATTGATTAGCAATACACCAAATAGAGACCACATCAACTAGAATAACAGTATCAACGCACCATCAAGAGATAACATACAGTTTTACAACAATTATATGAGTGTGTCAATGCACCAGAACACCGCACCAACGAGGAGTAACCCTTCAAGTAAGACATAGTGGATAAGTTAGAGAATTATACCTTGAATCCACCACCTGGCGCCTTTCCCATATACGGTATAATGCCTTTTTAGGAAATAGAGATAGAGCCAAGTAACCAAGAGAAAGATACACACGTATCAAAATGTCGTGCCTAAATTTAGGTTTAAGCCAGATTTGAGGAAAGCGACTAAAAGGCGCCAGCGTATACTCGAAGAAGGTTCTGAAAACTGATAGCAGGCATTGGTCTGATTATCAGTTGCTATATCAAGTACTATATCTACTCGAAAGTTCCATTGATTAAGTAATTATCGATAGTAGAAATAGTATAAATATAAGTTGTAAATGCATTCAATAAACAGCATCTTCGAACATAATCTCAATCTATTAGTTACACTCTAAGTTATTTGTTAACTCCTACCATTGGATCTATCTATCAAGACGACATGTATTAGGAAGCGTAGGGTGATCATCACAACTTATATAGTCGAATATCAATAAATGGATTAAAGAAGTCGACAGGAGACAAAATTTGGCCAATCTTGAACAGAAGAAAAACAAACTGAGCTTGAATTATTTTTGCTGGTGGTGTTGCTGATGATAACAATGATGGTTGCGATGCTGATCAAATGGGGATCATGGAGTTGAAAGGACAATTGCTTAGCGTCATAATCATCATTGTTATCATCAGAAAAGCATTTGGGTTATCTAGCAGCAGCGCCGCCCCTCAAAACGTGTCCAAATTTCTATTCAAAGGACTCCCAAGTGAAGCCTATAATTCTACGCCACTCGGAAATTTTGCAGTGTAGTGCTGTTAGTAACATCATAATAGTGTTTCGGAATGTGACTCTGAAACGCGTTGTATTTTTATGCATAATCACACTGGTCTTTTGGTTTTTCTCCCCCTTTCTGTATGCTTTTTTGGTTTTCTTCTCTGTCTGGTCTTGGTCTCTTTCTATCTGGTCCTTTGGCGGTATCAAGTGGTGCCTTTATATCCTTGGCCGGCTTGCCACTGGTCTTGGCTCTGAAAAGATGCTGCTTTTTACGAAGAGATTGGGTTGCTTTGCCTTCTCATACAGATCTATCTTGGCAATCATTCGATGATGGAGTATTAGCCTGAACTCTCCCCAAACCGGATTTAGCCACAAATGCGTCCATTTATATACTACGGAATACATGCCATCTCCTAGTAACTTTCGTGTTGCTATGTACGCTATCCGTATTGGTTCTTTACGAGAATAGGGTAGTTGGTAGGGTGACGGCCTACCAAGCTGTTGATCTCGCGTATACATGTTACATCATGTGCTCTTTTGCATGTGGTCTATATCATGTAATTGAAGAGTAGGTAGTTGGTGGGGTAACGGCTCACCAAGCTGATAATCTTCGTGTGCTATCTGCCCAAAGTAAGGAAAAGTTCCTCTTGTTTTGGCTGCCGCAAGAGACGACTATACGCTATGCGTGAGGATAAGGGTAGTGAAGGGTCCTAAAAAAAACTCCTGTGTATGAAAGCAATCAAATCTAGGGAATGCAATCCTCAAGGGAACTGTTCTGTATGGCTGCTTTGATATTCTTTCTGGAGGTGAAATCGAGTCAAAGCGGCCATATGCAGTCATATACAAACTGGTACGTATCTTTTATGAATGCAAAAGGTTCCTTTTACTAATATTGTTTCTCTGCTTAAAACTGCTTTACGCCCTAAATTTATTGATGGGCGTGGGTGATTAGGGGGGCATCGTTTGTGTGCGCCGCGGTCAACCCTCCTTTCACTCACTCGGTTGTAAATAGTCGGGCTATCGATACCTACTCTGGCCTGGCGACCCTCTCTGGTGAACTGCTATCACTGCTATTGGAGTGATAGTAGTTTCTCTCCTTTGGTCTTGGTTTATCTTCTTGTTTTTTATAATAAAAATAAAGCCATATTCTTCTTTATTTTTCAAAGCAACCTCTATACTCCAAAATCATATAACAGGCTCAAATGAAAATAGCGTCGTCGTGGCCAACCAGATGCATAATATCAAAAAGTCTTTGTTCGCATTTACAAGCATGATCATGAGATTCTGACTGAAGAGGAAGGATGATAGACCTGAAATTTTATCAACAAGGATGTCCGTATTCAATTGAATCCTCAAATGAGATTGGAGCTAATTGTTCGCGAAAATACGCGCACTCAAAACCTGCCAACTGTCAACGAGATTGCAGCCATCATTCCTAGTGAATATCATGATGATACAGGTTATAAAGATGCCAGAAATCATTCAAACTCAGTTTGTTTTTCTTCTGTTCAAGATTGGCCAAATTTTGTCTCCTGTCGACTTCTTTAATCCATTTATTGATATTCGACTATATAAGTTGTGATGATCACCCTACGCTTCCTAATACATGTCGTCTTGATAGATAGATCCAATGGTAGGAGTTAACAAATAACTTAGAGTGTAACTAATAGATTGAGATTATGTTCGAAGATGCTGTTTATTGAATGCATTTACAACTTATATTTATACTATTTCTACTATCGATAATTACTTAATCAATGGAACTTTCGAGTAGATATAGTACTTGATATAGCAACTGATAATCAGATCAATGCTTGCTGTCAGTTTCCAGAACCTTCGAGTATACGCTGGCGCCTTTTAGTCGCTTTCTTCAAATTTGGTTTAAACCTAAATTTAGGCACGACATCATTCCCCCCCCGAGATTGTTGATCGACTCTGATCAACTTGATCGACAGAGCCAGAAGTACCAGAGAAACTAGAAGTACAAGATACAGCCTGATTACTAGAGTTGAGGCCCATTTCTTCACGCCAAGCAGCACGAGACACAGTGGGATTGTACCAAGGAGTATCAATGGATTCAGCCTTAACACCTTTTAAGCGATCAACATGCACCCAAGAAGAGTAAGGTTCGCCACCAACAGTTTCCAATCTGTAAACATGCGTTTCCGAGTTTTTACCAATGACGATAAAAGGACCAATCCAGTTGTACTCGAGACCATACTTCTGTTCGTTTCTAAGCAGGACATGATCACCGATTTCAAATTCAAGTTTCTCAACTGCAGCATCCCAACGTTTTTTGTCCGATTCTGAAACCGTCTTCATACGATGAGCAGCGGCAGCACGAACTTGACCAAGATCTTCCAATTCACGAGCAGTATGTTCCGCGATAGTTCTAGGATCATTTGACGTTGACTTATCAAAGTAAGGACGAATATAATCGCCAGGCAGTAGCGGCTCACGACCATAGACCAAGTAAAAAGGAGAGTAACCAGTAGAACGGTGATGACGAACCCGGGCAGCGAAAAGAGCAGTGTCAACAAATTTATCCCATATGTGAATAGCGCCATTTACGTATTTTTTGAGCATAGCCTTGAGAATACCATTGAGACGTTCGCATTTACCGTTGGTTCGAGGATGAAAAGCAGAGGTAAACTTGTGATTAGTCTTAACCCGGTTCATATAGAGCTTCACCACATTGGACATGAAATTGGCACCACGATCTGTTAAAATTTCTTGGGGGCAACCAAAACGCATTACGATTTCCTCATAAATGAAATCAGCAACGGCTTCCGCTGTAGCTTCCGGTACGGCACGAGCAATAGGCCAGTTGGTAGTGTAGTCAACCGCAGTTAAGAGCCATTTGTTACCTTGTGGAGTTAAAGGCAATTCACCGACAAAATCCAAATGCCAGCGACCAAAAGCAGGAGGTATATCCAAAGAGACCATTGGGGCATGACGTTTGTTTTTACCAGAACTAGAAGCTAACTGACATTCCTTACAAGTTGTTAGTCAGCTTTGAATATCGGCTCGCATATTGGGCCACCACCAACGCTTTCGCATAAGCTCAAAGACAGTACCTTGACCAGCGTGACCAAAACCTTCATGGAATCTGTTGACCAGAGTAGCACGATTGGAAAAAGGACAGAACCTTGCTTCAAACTCTCGCTCACCAATTTTTACCTTGCGATAGACCTTTTCATTCTTGAGAATAAACCGGTTAGCATTGGACTTGAGTAAAGGTTTCACCGAACCAGGAACTAACTCTTGCTTGGTTAGATAGAAGGTAGGCCAATCCGAAGGATGTACCATGATATTTGACTCAACAGAGTACAAATAACAAGGCTCCATACTAGTTTCAGCAGCTACACAGCTAGCACCATCACGACAAGATAAAGCGTCCGGGACTTGATTGATTTTGCCAGGTTTGTACAGTATTTTAGGATCGTAAGTCTCGATTTCAGACAACCAACGAACCAAACGAGCTGTGGGTTTAGATTGTGACCTTAGATATTGCAAAGGGTTATGATCCGTATACACCACATAGTCTGCACCGTCAATGAAGCATCTCCATACCCGCAAAGCATGCAAAACACCAAGTAATTCCCTCTCTTGAGCAGGGTAATTACGTTCAGCCATAGAGAATTTCTTAGATTCAAATGCCAAAGGATGTAGAACGCCTTGATCATCTTTTTGCAAGAGCACCGCACCGCAACCAAAGTCAGAGCTATCTGTCTCAATGATATATGGTTTGCTCACATCAGGAGGCTGGAGACAAGGGGCATGTGTTAATAAGGATTTCAATTGATCAAAAGCTTTTTAACACTCTTGGCTCCAGATAATGCCGCGACGTTTAGGACCAGTACCCTTAGTGAGTTCAGTTAAAGGAGCAGCTACAGACGAGAATTGTCGAATAAACCTTCGGTAGTGAGAAGCCAAACCAACAAATTGACGGACCTCTTGCACATTAGTAGGAACTGGCCAATTCTTAATAGCTTTGATCTTGGAATCAGAGGGTAGGATACCATCCGCCGAGACTTTCATGCCTAGAAATTCCACTTCACGCTGATTGAACTTACATTTTTTCGGGTTGGCATATAACTTGAACTGCCTAAACCTTTCCAGAACTAGACGAATGTGTTCCAGATGCGATTCAGCCGTTGGAGAGTACACCAAAATGTCGTCTAAGTAGAGCTGGACGAATCGATCAATGTAGCCAGAAAGACACTTGTTCATCATATTTTGAAACACCGACGGAGAATTTCGGAGTCCGAAAGGAAGCACAAGCCATTCAAAAGCACCATAGCGTGTAACAAAACAAGTTTTAGGGACATCTGCGCTAGATAGCCTAATTTGGTGGTAGCCGCTCGTCAGATCGAATTGCGCAAAGTATTTAGCCCCGCCGAGGCGTTCCAAACACTCATCTATACGAGGTTAGGGGATGTTGAGCTTTTTAGTGCATAAAGAATTGATAATTCTGAAATCAATGCACATTCGAAGCTCGCCAGACTTTTTACGCACAAACAGAACAGGAGCACCCCAAGGAGACGAACTAGGTTGGATGAAGCCTTTGTCCAACAATTCCTTTAGTTGACGTTGTAGTTCATCCAATTCTAAAGGACTCATCTTGAAAGGATGTTTGCATACAGGTTCAGCATCACCAGTCTCGATAACATGTTCGATACCACGATCAGGAGGTAAACCAGGAGGTAGTTTTTCCGTGAAAACATCCTTGTACTCATCCAACAGTTTAGAGATATCCTTTCCGAGATTATCACTAGTATCCACCATGTTGTGCCAGTCACCAGACTCTTTGACATGTACCAAAAACAATTCATCAATCTTGTTTTTTCGCAGAGAGCGCTGCATTTGTCTTTTGGCCATGACATACACCAAATCTTGAGCATTAGATACCAGATTTACCGGAGACAAGACAGCCATACCAATACCATGAGGGCCAGGAATAGACCAAGAGTTATTAGACCAATTGGGAACAGGTTTATACTGTTTGAACCATTGTTGACCAAGAATAAGATCAAATTTAGTATCAAACACATAAGCCTGTATACGTTGACCAACACCATTAGCCGAGACCGAAAATTCCACCTTTTCCTTGATAACAGATACTTGTCCATTAGCCGTTTCCACTTCGTGTTTAGAATGTAATGGTGTGATCTTCATTGTTGTAGGATTAACTAATGTAGGACTAATGTAGTTTGAGCTAGCACCAGTATCCAACAGTACCTTGATAGGCTTGAGGCAATCACGAGTTCCATCATTAGAATAGAGATCAAAAGAGTACAATGGCAAATCAGTAGTAGTTTTTGATGAATTCGTAATAATAAGTCGATGATAATAATCAGTTGTCAACTGTATCTAAAACGAAAGCAAAGAGCTTCTTTATTACAGGGCATCTAGCTTGCTTAAATATGGTAGATCCCTGGTCAATGACTACTACGTTGAGATGGTATATAAATAGCAGGCCACTGGGGCCTTATGGATTGTTGGTATAGCTTGTTGAGAGGCCACCTAAGTCGGTATGTTTCATGTAGTGTAGGTGGATCTCGATATCTTGACATTGGGGAGATTGAATGTATTGTAGTTCCTGAGGCACCTGTGCACACACAATTGACTGGACTTGTAAACATAGATGTGATGTGATACGATAAACATCATCTATGCTGCTACACTGTAAAAGGTGGCTTGAGGAGAAAGTGAATGTAGCCTAAGATGCATGCTTGTATGCAACAGTTTTATTGTTCTTTTCCAAATTAAACAAATAATTGCTGTCAGTCTTTAGATCATCCACTTCGTGATCGCTATCGAGATCTAACAGATCAACACCATCATTACCAGTCTTGGGAACAGTATCTCCTACTTTGATACTGTTGAGGGATCTTCTATTAGAGCGTGCCTGATCTCCCCCTCGTCAGACACGCTTACTCTTTTAAATGCTTTTTAAAAGAGCCACCATAGCGTTTTCCACCACCACGACCATTAGTACGAGGGCTGGGGCACTCACCTTGCATGTGTCCCCAACCTTGACAATTGTAACATTTAATGTTGGTATTGTTTCTGGGTTTGTTACCAGCATTAAAGTTACGTCGACCGCCAGGAACACCATTAATAGCATTGACTAGTTCACGGATTGCATCCAAATCCATCGATTCATACTGAGGTTGCGGTACATTCGGCCTAATAGGTTGAACTACCTCGTCTTCACCAGCACCTTCGATGGCAAGAGCCAAACGCTGAGCTTCCTCCAGCGATTTGGGAAAATGAGATCGCACAGCATGACGAAGAGGTTGTTTTAGTCCTCTCACAAACTTGTCTTGAGCTACACCAGGCGTCATATCCGGGATCTGTAATAGTAGACGTCTGAATGCGTTGATATAACTCGTAACATTCGAGACTTGGACCAGATTAGCCATACCATCGCGCGCCTTGGCAGTGGCATCGATTGGTATGAATTCATTACGCAATGCCGTCTTGAACGTTTCCCAATCTTGTGGTGTATGCTCACTATCAAAGGCACTCATCTGTGAGTACCACAATTGAGCATCATTTCGCAACAGAGAAAGTCCAACCAAAAGCTTTTCTTGGGTGTTTTCAATCTTTACCAAGGAGAAATACAACTCCAAAGAGTAAATCCATGCGTTTTTTAGAACAATAGCGTCTCTTTCACCATTAAAAACATCGGGTTCACGGACCTTGCGAACGTAACCAGAGTTGTTACCAACAATATTTGCACTTGACATAGTAATATCTTCGTTCATAGACTTATAGAGAACCAGAGAAAATCAGAGAAACTTGTAGAGAAACCAATAACGAACGTCAAGAGAACCTTGAAAAATAACCTTGAGAGATAACCTTTAGAATAACCTTTAGAATAACCTTGAGAAATAACTTTGTAATTTGAATTTGTTTTTTGTCCTGCTGCTACCAGTTGTCGTCTTGATAGATATATCCAATGGTAGGAGTTAACAAATAACTTAGAGTGTAACTAATAGATTGAGATTATGTTCGAAGATACTGTTTATTGATTGCATTTACAACTTATATTTATACTATTTCTACGATCGATAATTACTTAATCAATGGAACTTTCGAGTAGATATAGTACTTGATATAGCAACTGATAATCAGATCAATGCTTGCTGTCAGTTTCCAGAACCTTCGAGTATACGCTGGCGCCTTTTAGTCGCTTTCTTCAAATTTGGTTTAAACCTAAATTTAGGCACGACAAAATATGTTACGATGGTAAAAGGATTTTGTGGTGGTGCTGATTTCAAGAAGCGGTATCTGAACTCTGAGCCTATTAGAGTGCTGTTCCTGAACTGGTGTTCAAATCGATTATTCTTACATTTTTTTATTTTGACATATATACTTGAATCTATACAACACATTTGAAATAAATCGAACTTTCTTACGTTTAAATCTTTTGGGTACATAACTTTATATATACATTTAATCGCTGAGATACTGTCTACATCAAGGTTATTGCAACACATCAGCAACTTAAACAGCTTTAATTACTTGGTTTTGTCTCGGGATCAACTATTACTGCAAGATCTTCCACACATTTCTCTACACATTTTACAAAACCAGCACCGCAGAGTATCAAATATGATAAATATCAAGCTCTCTATAATGATTACCTTGGTAGTTGGTAATCAAGATATAAGTATTGTTGTGTGGAAAGGAAGACTGTAAGAACTATCCCAATAATTATGAGAGATGAATTTAAGGGTTCTTTAGGTTTGTTCGTACTAGATTGGCACTAGTAACTAAACTCCAGATTAGAATAAGAAGAAAAAAATGGATAATGTTTATTAAGATGCAATTCAAAACACTATTTATATATGTCATTGTTCTATTGTTATTCTCCTGTCAGGCTCAATTCAGATCCGAATGTCAGTGCCCTGATCAAATGTAACCCCAAATTGGATTGCTTTCAATTTAATGTCAATTTCATGTACCCGCGTTTTTGAGTCGATCCCATCGTTTAAAATAGTAACACCCCAATTCCATTGTTGTAATTCCACTTGAATCTTGCATCGATTCGACATTAATTGGTTTGCATCTATCCTGAGTCAAAGTCCAGAGTCAAATCCACATTTCAAAATAGTAATGCTTGGCTATTAGCGCGCAATCTCATTTAGATCCCTGACTAATTCATCGATTCAACATTATCGGCTCCAAATACTGATTAGATTTCGGCTAAACTTGACAAGAAGCACCACGATCAAACGAATATGTAACAACAACAAAATAGAAGCGACACCAATTGAGTAAGCACCAACATTGATTAGCAATACACCAAATAGAGACCACATCGACTAGAATAACAGTATCAACGCACCATCAAGAGATAACATACAGTTTTACAACAATTATATGAGTGTGTCAATGCACCAGAACACCACACCAACGAGGAGTAACCCTTCAAGTAAGACATAGTAGATAAGTTAGAGAATTATACCTTGAATCCACCACATTGCGCCTTTTCCATATACGGTATATTGCCTTTTTAGGAAATCGAGATAGAGCCAAGTAACCAAGAAAAAGATACACACGTATCAAATAAAACAGCTGATTTGGCCGAGTTGGTCTAAGGCGCCGCACTCAAGTTGCGGTCTCGCAAGAGGCGTGAGTTCGAATCTCACAGTCAGCAATATTTTTTTTTGCGTTTGATTGCCGTGAGACGTTTGTATGGCATGAATTTGGTCAATTGTTTAACATTTATCAATTCCAATTTCTGTTACTTTTCCGAATAAACAAATAAATTTTGTTTGCAAAAGCAATATTGTAGTTTAAAAGTACCCAAGTACGCAAAATTATCTCGAAGGGAACAAAACTTTTGTAGACCTGCTTATTTAACGCCAATGGTAGCCTAATTCGATCTCGTTCCACAGATTCTTGTTTTTGAGAAGCTCTTCTGTTGACACAGCCGCGGGGTCATCATCATAAGACATGTGCAGCCAGCAATGCAAGAAAATCGGTAGCCATTCTACCGAATGATCTCATGCAAAGCAGAATAATTATATAAAATTTACAACCGACGTATGTCTGCATACTTTAGCCATTGAGTTGCCATTTGCTTCTTTGTTAATCTAACAATGGCTTTAGAAATATTGATCACATTCAAATTCCAAGAGAATCTTGTATCATCCTTCTGGGTTGTGTTGTTCTCTAGGAAAAATAAACGGGGTTCATTTTATGGGAATTTAACTTAATAATCGTCATTCACGGATAGCAAAATTCTATTGTATATAAGGATATGAAATCAAATTACCAACAGTAATTGCCTGTTTTAGGTAAATATTGAGAATTTAAGCAATGTCGAATGTTGATACATTTTAACATGTCAACCACCCATATCAGGATTACACTTTTCTTTAGAAATTGCACGCAGCGAAAAAGGTTATACAGCTCTGTAATTTTATCAACAAACATCAGTTAAGTGCTTCCCCATTATTTTTACTTGGATTTCGCGCTCTTACGTTATGTCAAAATCTAAATAAAGCTACAATGCAAATTCAGGAACACAATATGGACAAAAAGAATGCTGAAGCTAGATTTTATGATTCACATGCAAATATGGCATGATTTGCTCTATATGTGTATTGTTTGCATAATCACATAATCAACTTTAACGGAAAAGACAGCAGCTGATGATGTTAATTAATGAATTTTGGGATTTGTGCTCGATCATCTAATAGTGAATTCAGAATGTTCTTTGAGTACATACAGCGAGTAGCTTATTGTTCAGCAACTTACATTCTCCAAGTAACCTGAATCTGTTAATAATGCAGTCGTAACGTTTCACCATGTTAAAATTCGCAACATAATACAGGAAAACTTAATGTTCAAGACTAACTACGATTCCAAACTACAGGTCTAAAATGTCTTACGATGCGACAGAGATGTAGATCAATCAAATTTTCATTTGTAACGCAAACAAGGTTCAAAGAAACCCATATTAAACAAGTCATTATGTAAGTAGCATTAGCAATAGTATTTAGGGGCAAAGAGAAACAACAACATCTCGGAACTTGCTACTTGTGTATACACATCGTTTTCTGTAACAGTAATCGAATGAGTTGTGGTAGGTTACGCTGAAGAAAGAGTAAATGCACACACACTCACACACAAATGTAGAGCCAAATACTTTCATATGCAATAATCCTCAATCCAATGATCAAGATCAGTTTAGACATTAGATCAAAATCTAGTAAAACAAAATCTGAAACAATTTTTTTTTATGTTGTGGGCCTGAATACTTGTATACTGACCTTCCACAACACTTATTAAATTCACAAAATGTAACGAGAAACATATGAAATGGAGCACAGGGAAGCATGCTACGTTGAAACTGTTGAGTGTAATACTGTCTCGTAAAATTTAAAATGGATATATAAGCTGTATATTGCAAGTCGAATATCTCATTTTTTATCAAACCACCTCTCTATTTCCAATGCGGTTTACTCTGACAACACTCGCGGCAATTGCTACTCTTTGCATTGGCCAAACTTATGCAGCCACAGCATCATCAATCGATGGTTGCCCTGCCTTGAAGCCTAGATCAACGGCTGCTACTAGTGTTGCTGATCTACGTCCTGATGATATCAAAGTGGTTGCCGCTCTTGGTGACAGGTAAACATTATATAATGCAAATACCCCAGATAGACATCTAAACCAAACATGTAACATCTAGTATCATGGCTGGATTTGCTGCTGAGGGTATTCAAGGAACAAACATTGTCAACATCAAAAGTCTCTACGAATATCGTGGTATTAGTTATGGTGGAGGTGGAGATCCTGGTGCTGACACTGTTCCCAACTACTTTAAGAGATACAACCCCTCTCTCAAAGGTGCCTCTGTCAAGGAGCATCTAGTTGAGATTTGTTATGGCATTATCTGTCCTCCCTTCCAATGTAAATACACCTAGATATAATTTGACAATGCTCGTCACTTACAATTGACAATAGACAGACCTTTAAAGGATGTCCTGAATGCTGCCCAAAGTGCTGCCATGGCCGAAAATCTGGATAGCCAACTTGACTATCTTATCACAGGTATATTGTTACATGTCCTTTATCCACAACGACACAATAACTCAATCAGCAACTACTTGTAGCGATGAAACTGACCCCAGGTGTCAATTTTAAAGATGATTGGAAGTTTATCAACTTACAGATTGGCAGTAATGATCAATGTGCTTCGTGCATTGACGCTGTCTTCCCCCTATTAACCCCTGAAAAGTATGGCCAACATGTTACTGCAGCCGTTGAGCGTATCAGAAAGAACATTCCTCGTGTCATTGTCAACTTGAGTAAGTCTACAAAAGAACTTAAATTTGCATTGTTTCACTGACTAGTCTTAATTTAGTTGGCACATTCAATGTAACTGAAGTCTATACTGTCACTGCCGGCCAAGATTACTGCAAGCCCTTCCAACACACTGATTTTGTCATCAATCAAGTTGAATGTCCTTGTGCTATTGCCAAAGAATATCGCCCCAAGATGAATGAGGTCTCTGTTGGATATACCAAGCAATTGGCTGCAATTGCTCAGAAATTCAAGGCTTTGCAAACAGATTCATTCGGTGTCATCTACTCTCCTGCCAACATCAAAGTGGATACCTTCCCTGTTCAGGGCTTGAGGTGAGTGCCATCATACAAGTACAGACTTGTAAGCACAACTAACGTCTGCCCAAATTATAGCAACATTGACTGTTTCCACCCTAGCACTCTGGGACATTCTTATGTTGCCAAATCATTATGGAACACTTTGTTTGTTCCTTTGTCTCACAAACCAAAAACAATGACTTGGAACTCTACGCTCGAGTTGTATTGTCCCAATGAAGCTGACCGTTTCCAGCTGGATTAAGTGTCTGCGACATAACCCTCATATTTACTTTTCTTATATTCTAATAAAATAGCCCCTTGCTTGCTCCCAAGCAATGCCCTTGAAAGCTTAAATAGTGGTTGCACAAGATTTGTGGAGAAAAGGGCCCATGGAATTGAAGTAGTGGTTAATTTATTGTACAATGAAGTTGTGTATAATAGCTCTAAAGGAAATACAGTTTTCTGAAAGACGAAGATAATGATGCAATATGTGGAGGTATTTTTATGGCTTTTTTGGTGTAGTGGCGCCTAATAATCTAGGAAAGTAACGAGCCCAGCCCATTTGGTGCAATTTACGAACAATTGCAGGTGTAATTGCAGCTGTAATGCCAAGTCTGACAGGAAGCAGTAGCGTTTTGTGAATACCATAGGCCAAAATGAACACAGAGGCAAATGAAGGGGTATCGTCGGCATCGCTGCTCATCACACTCTCGTCAGATGTCACCAAAACGTCTTCCTTTCTCTTGATTCCAAATCTCTCACCCGTGTTGTAAACGATGTCCAATACGCCTCTTTCCAGTGCTTTCACTTTATCCAGCCCCACTAATTGAATAACACCAAGAGTGATACCTAGATCCACACAACCAACACCGAGATATACAATGATACCCACTGCGCCGTACTTTTTGGTGAGTTCCTTCAATTTAGATGGTTTAGGCTCTGCTTTCACTTTGGCAGCTTGGATGATACTGGGTGATGATGCCATGGACGATATTTTAGATGCTTGTTGTTGTTGTTGTTGTTGTTGTGGCTTTCCAGGAGCTGTGGAAAAGAATCGAGATGTGGTAGAGTTGGGTTTTGTAGTTAAATGCCGTTGAAGAGGTCGGATTCTGGCAGCAGGAGATCTCACCAAGGGACACATAGTAGAAGCGAAGCTTTTACCTACCATCGCATTGCGAACCAAAGTGATTGAACGGACTGACATGATGAGCGTTGTAGAATATAAAAATATAAAAAAAAAAAACGGTGTTGAATATCAAGATAGAGTTTTTATACAAATTTAGCCGGGGTCAGTCGGAAAGGCTTTTGACGCATATTTTGATGTTGATCAAATGTCCATTCAAAACAACTTACGATGTACAAACAATCAATGCAAACTGCAACCTGGAAAGTTCTATTTTTGAATTGAGCTCTGCTTGAACTGATTTTCTCCTGCCTAAATCACTTTTACATCTGTTAAGGTTTTGGCAAGGGTTGCTCTCCCTCACTTTTCTTTTTTCTATTCACAAGTGGGATCATTGCCGAGAAACCCCGCCTAGACAACGGGTTCCTGTTTACGGTGTGGAAGATCTCACATCGATCATTTGCGCTCTTTGTCGGTATGAATGAACATCTAGGTCATGCTATTCAGGGCCTGAAGCATGGATAGGATTTATAGCTCAATTCTTATAATGAATCAGAATAATCATTGCGTACAATGATAAGAGCAACAGTCCTGTCGATGTACAAATACTGTTGTCATAGATCTGTAGTGTGCTAGACTACAAGATGATACCATCATACATTTCAAATACGGTCATATGGGGTCGAGCTACTCCACGGACTGCGCTTAATGAAAGGGATCCGGGAAAACCAAATTAGCATGTCTCTTTTTTTTTCGAGCGTGATCCACTTGGTAGTCAGAGTTGATCATCATGTCTGCAAGCATTCGAATCCTACATCGCCAGCTTTCAACACAGTCTGCAGAAAGAGGCAAACAGTGGGCTGGCTATTCAGCAATGAAACATCTGATTCAATCTAAACCCTCCGTCATTGGTATTGGCTCAGGAAGCACGATAGTGTATGCCATAGAGTATTTGAAGCAACACCCGTTTTCAAGTGATGTTGTCTGTATACCCACCAGCTTTCAGACGCGGCAACTCATTCTGCAAAACAACTTGAGACTGGGATCACTGGATAAGTAAGATCTTGAATGCTTCTAATAACACACAGGCTAAATGCTACTTGTGGTGTCTAGTTATCCTGTCGTCGATATGACAATTGATGGTGCTGATGAGATTGATCGAGAATTGAATGCCATCAAAGGAGGAGGAGCCTGTCTATTCCAAGAAAGATTGGTAGCGCAAGCATCCGATAGATTCATCCTTGTTGCAGGTACGTGAAAATGTCATTAAATAACTGCTGCGGATGCTGATGGTTTGCAATAGACGACAGAAAGAGATCAGATCAGTTAGGGACAAAAGTAAGGCAATCGATTGTAGCATTGTGTTCAGTATTAATATGATGTCAGTGGACCAAAGGTGTTCCTGTGGAAGTGATACCGATGGCATTTACAACTGTTCAATATCAAGTCGAGCGAATGTTTCCGACTGCATCGATAAAGCTGAGGATGGCAACACCTACAGATAAAGCTGGTCCTGTTGTAACAGATAATGGAAATATGATTTTGGATTGTCACTTTGGACCTATTTCAGATCCTGAATCACTGTACAAGGAGATTAAATGCTTAACTGGTGTTTTAGACGTGGGCTTGTTCTGCAAGATGGCAGAGAGGGCCTTCATAGGCGATAACAAAGAGGATAAAGGGGAGGTGATTACGCTGAGCTAGCTAGGATCAGGCGCAACGATGAAGTGGCTCGAGAGTATCTAAATCCTGTAGTACACAACATCTGGAGATGAATCTAATAAAGCAGAAGAAACTTGAATGTTGATTGTATCACCAAACACTGGCACTGCATGGACGGCATATTGAATGATACTTGCATATTACCAGCGACTATATATAGAGACACATCAGACACGCTTGCAACACGGTGACATTGATACCATGTCATCTTACTGCCACACTACACAAACTGGTGATCCCAAGAGTGCAGTGCCATGGATTTGCTTCCCGATTCATGCCACCAAATGTTGTTCTACTATCAAGGTACACAATGTCACTATACAATAATAAACAGATTACATATTGACCATCGTTTTTTTTTTTAGGAAAAAAAAACCTACATGTTCGGAAAATTGTAACTTGAATGGAAGAATGTTGCGTTGAAAACCTGACAATTTGAAGCTATTAGCAGCGGTAACACAGGACATTCGAACGTTAAAAAAACCTGATTTGCACACACAAAGTTTTGCAGTTGGGTCATCTAGTCTTTCTCTCTCTCTCTCTCTTTCCTCCTCCTCCTCCTTATCGGCTCTCATCTTTTTCTCTTTTCTTCATGGCATTGCTGACACCGTCTTTGATATCACCCACCACATCAAAATTACTATCTTACTTATCGTTTAATTCCTCGACTAATAACAGCAAAACGCATGCCCAATCTGCCTCCTCAAAATCGCCCGATATCCCAACTTACATTACCATTGTGATGCGAAAAGATGGCACGCCAACAACCAAATGTCTGAACCCTACTAATAGCAATCAGCCACCCATCTTATCTCGGCCTAGCTCTCTACTAACTCGTAGACGGCGATCTTCATTTTCGTCTTCTCAATGTCTATCATCTCCACCCAAGCAGCGTCGGCTCATGATATCCTCACTTATACCCCGTTTTAATGTGTCTCCCCGAAGAACGAGCAGTAATAACAGCATCAGTACTTACAACAGTATGAACAGCATCTCAGTAGGTGATCAAATAACAATGGCAACTGCTGATTTGTTATTGGCGTCACAACGTAAGGTCGCATGCCAATCTATGATTTATAGTGTTGTGCTCATCATGCTTTTTTTTTTTTTTTTTTTTTTTTTTTTTTTTTTTTTTGTTTTAGCTCGCTTTCTGAATCTACCTTCTGAGCTCAATATTAAGATTTTACTGCTATTAGACTGCAAGAGTCTGCTAAATCTAGCACAAACATGCAAGCAGCTATTTCAAATGTGTCATAGCAACCATCATTATCTATGGCAAACGCTATTTCATGCTGATCATGTACCGAACATTACAAAGCCCGTGACACTGCCATATTACGATTTGTACAAGAATCACCATGAATTGAACAAGCGATGGAAGAAGGGTCATGTCAACACACGATATCTCACAGGGCATGAGGATAGCGTCTACTGCTTGGTATGGGTGGGTCTAAATTTGGTCGTCAGTGGTAGCAGAGATCGCTCTATCAAGCTGTGGAATCTATCGAACCAGCAAAATGCCTTGGTGTTGACGAAAACGAACCATGATGGAAGCGTATTGTGCTTGCGTGCATCGAGCGACATGACCTGGATGGTGTCTGGTTCCTCTGATTCGACTTGTCTGATTTGGTCATTACCGGATTTTGAGCCGCAGAATAGAATGATTGGACATGGTGGAGGTGTTTTAGATGTATGCCTTGTGGGTGATATGATTGTGAGCTCATCACGAGATGCTACAATACGGGTATGGGACAGACATCGAGGAACAGAATTGAAGAGGCTTGTTGGCCATGCCGGGCCAGTGAATGCATTGGGATCTCATGGCAGTCTTGTGGTATCTGCGTCTGGCGACACGACATTGAAATTATGGGACATTGAAACTGGCAACTGCTTAAAGACATTTACTGGGCATACAAGAGGATTAGCATGTGTTCGGTTCGATGGCAACCTCATCTACAGCGGCGGACAAGATAATAAGCTCAAAGTGTGGGATGTTGCATCTGGAAAATGTATATCGACCTTGACTGGACACTCTGACCTGATTCGAACAATTGACAGTTTTCAAGTAGGTCACGCACTTTTATAAACAAACGACCATACAAACAATAACACACAACCATCCATAGAACATTGTTGTTAGTGGTAGCTACGATAGGACACTCAGAGTATGGGATATAAAGCAAAACAAATGTCTGCTCAGCTTTCAAAGTGGACACTCGAGCTGGATATTCAACTGTCTCAGCAATCGCACCAAAATTATTAGGTATGTAAAAAGAATAGTAAAATGGTATAGTAGCGACGAAACTAATAGAAGCACAGTGCTGGGCAAGACAAAAGGATAATGGTGCTAGATTTTGGCCATAATTTAGTCACCATGGATTCTTAGAAATGACGCTACAGGATCATCTATAGTTGATGAAATAACAAATATACCATGTTGCATTAATGCATCAGACAATTCCAATTGAATAAAATGCCACTTTCAACTACACATTTGTGCTTGGCCATCCGATCGTTTCAATTCTCGTTCCTGGCAGCACTCTTAACTTGTACATGTTACACTGATTCAACGAGCTTTATCAAAATTATTTGCATTACAGGCATCAGATCAACCGAATCAATAAGTCCTCGAAACTTCCAGACATAAAAGAGCATATCAAAGAGAATGATTATAAATGAATTTGCAGTTTTATATATATAAAGAAAAATAACATAATTTTTTGGGTCTAAATGACAGTAACTTAATCAATATCCATATCTTCCTTCTTCTTGTTATCGCTAGAGTCGTCCATGGGGGTATCGGCATCTGCGGCAGGAGCAGCAGGTTCCTCAACCTTGGGAGCAGGCTTAGGCTTGTTCAAGATGGGGTTGGCAAAGTAGATGACAGCTTCCTCTTCCTTCTTGATATCATTGCTGGTCAAGACAGGAGCCTCGTTCTTGGCAACCTTGGCTTGCTTAGCGTTTTGCTCGTCCATCCATCTACCAGCACGCTCACAACGCTCGACAATGTCTTGCTTCTCGTGAGGGAGAATGTGAGAGTATTTCTCGTCAGAGCTCATAGCTTCTTGAGTCAAACGTTGCATAGTATCACGGAGAGCACGTTCAGCATGGGGACGAGCCTCAGCTTCACGATAACGCTCAACAACGGGGTTACCAATCTTCTTGAGAGCATCAAGCTTCTCAACATATACAGACTTGGGAGCATCGTAACCTTCATCATAAATCCAATCAACGACAGCATTGAGGTCTTCGGCAAACTTGTCCTTGATGGAGGGATCAATGTATTCAGAGAGGGGGCCGAGAATCTTATCACGCATCTCATAACCGTATTCTTCAAGGGAGTTCTTGGCAGCTTCAGTAGCAGCAATGAGCTTGTCATTAGCATACATTTGGCTTTCCTTTTCGGTGTATTCGTTGATGAGTTCCTTGGGAAGAGCAGTAGTGCCAGAGACGACGGGGAGATCGCCAGTCTTGACGAGCTTCTTGACCTTCTTGATCTCCTTCTCTCCGTCCTTGTTCTTGGTCTCTTCATCAACCATCTTTTCCTCAACAGTGTAGGCAGATTCAACAGACAAGATACCATGAATGTTGAGTCTGACCTTGACCTTGATTTGAGCGGGTTCACCGTTGAGAGGCTCAACATTCTTAATATTGTATTGACCAATCCAAGGGTTGATACCACGAGGCAAAGCTTCGGGGTTGGCGTAGACAGCTTGCAAGGTGAAAGGTTCGCGACGGAAGAAGGTCAAGATCTTGGTGGAGGGAATAGAGTTGTTGTTGTCGAAAACGACAATCTCAGTCTCCTCTTCCTCAGGAGTAGCTTCCCAAGTGAGCTTGATAGGGTAGGTGACGACGTCGTTAACACGGAAATCACGGACCTTGAAGACAGGAGACAACATGGCACATTGGAGAGCAGCACCACGAGCAACAGCTTCATCTTGGTTAAGAGTGGTAGAGATTTCCTTACCAAAGAACTTGGAGATGGTGGCCTTGATAGCGGGAATACGGGTAGTACCACCAACCATCTCAACGTAGTCAATCTCATCAATCGTCATACCAGCGTTCTCGAGAGCCTTGGCAAGGACTTCCTCAGTACGGGTGAACAAGTGAGAAGCCCATTCCTCGAATTCCTCACGGTTAACCATGGCAGAAACGTCACGGTCATCCATGATGGATTCAATGTTGACAGGAGCTTGAGGGTTAGCAGACAAAACCTTCTTGCAACGCTCAGCAGCAACGCGGAGACGCAAAAGAGCCTTCTTGTTGGTGTAAACATCAATCTTGAACTTTTCCTTGAATTGGGCAGCGAGCTTATCAACAATAACAGCATCGAATTCGCGACCACCAAAGTGTTCATCGAAAGCTTGACCACGGACAGTCAGTTGGCCCTTGAGGAAAGAGGCGATTTGACAAGTGTAAGAAGAGTGACCAATATCAACGAAAGCGACATTTCTGGGCTTCTCCTCAGGGAGATCAGTCTTGGTAATACCATAACCAAGAGCAGCGGCAGTCAAATCGTTGACAAGACGCAAACAGTTCAAGCCGACCATCTCAGCAGCAGTGAGAACAGCGCGACGTTGAACTTCAGTGAACCAGCCGGGAACAGTGATAACACAATCAGAGACAGGGCCCTTAATTTCAGCAGCAGTAATATCCTTGATCTTGTTGAGGTACATGGCGATGAGTTGAACGTTGGAGAAAACTTGCTCTTCGCCAAGATAGTTGACCTAAATGTAAAGCATTAATTTCAATCATGATGCACACAACATGGGTCCATCTTCTCCAAAGCCCCTAAAACCTTAAACCTTCCTCCTCCCTCCCTACTATAATCAATTTCGCTGTAATTACCTTGACACCAGCTTGGCCATTAGCATCAGCTAATTCAGCCATGATGAAGTTCTTTTCAACTTCTTGAACCTCGGGATCATCGAAGGTACGACCAGCAAGACGCTTCAAACTGACAATGGTGTTCTTAGCATTACTGATTTCTTGAGTCTTTGCGGCTTCACCAAGATATCTTTGCTTGGGACCGAATGAAACAATGTTACTATAGAATGGGTATGAGTAAAAATTCCATAAATGCAATGTGTAAAGTGATTACATACGGAGTAGCACGGTTGGAAACTTCGTTACAGATAACATCAATACCACGATTACGGGCAACGGCAATAACAGCCTGGAGATTACCAAGATCAATACCCTAGATGTATACGCGAGATGAGTTACAAGGCTTTGTGTATGCAATACTTTTTCTCTACTTACAACGACAGACATCTTCTATAAGTAAAGAACAATAAGTAGTATAGAAAACAATTTTTTTCAGGCGATTCACTTTTTTTTATAAATTATAGCCTCACTTTTCCTCACCCCTTTTGCCCAATCAAACATCTATAAATTCCTTCTTCTACTTTCTGGGATGTTCCAGCACTCGCAAAGGTTCATCTACGTCACTTGAGCTCTACATTCGAAAAAGCCACTTGGTAGTACGGTCACTGGGAAAGCAAGGTGTAAAGTAGTTTTGATCCTGGATCTAAGATGTCTCCGTCATATGAGAAGAACAAATAGTCGAGTCTCAATGGCCAACTTCTCCGGAAGCCCCCTTGATTTCCCATTCAAATCAGGATTATACTCTTCTCCCATCTCAAGGTTAATGGATACTAATGCTTTCAACCCAATGGAACATGTCTAATTCATTTGTGTTACTTTTGCTGGATTATTTTGGAAACTGAGTTTCGTCAATGTCAATGCCATTCATGTTGTTGGGCATATGCACTGACAGAAACATTCCAAGTTTGTACAAAGAAAGTCATTCATTAGCTAATGTTTGTGTACTGTGAGACCATGACGCTTCCAGTGAGAAAAGCTATACCTGCGACACCAACATATGAAACAATTTCTTTTCACCACATTTCCCAGAAATCTATTTACTAAGGCTCGCATTCGATGTATCATTTTGCAATGTTCATTATTGCATTTGACATCAGGACTTGTATTGGGGGAAAATTCTGTTAGATCCAAAACTATCAAATGCACAATATGCATAAAAGGTAGTGATCTGAAAAAGTTAGAGTGCTTTTCAAACGAAAACACCCTTCTCAATAGCTTCTATTCTCTTGATTGAATTTTTTTAAGGAAGATTATTGTTTTATTAATAAAATTCTTTGCAAAGTCCTACTAACGTTGTCTTGATTGAATGAAAAGACTTTACGCTTGCCAACCGCCAAAATTGGTTTAATCGCCGACGTTTCTTTCGCACTCAAAATGGGAATTTCTGATTAGTTTGCGACTTGTTTGAACTATTTTGCGAGATTCGACTATATAAATCGTGATGATACAATCATATCTTCTTAAGCTGTCCCTGGTGGTAGGGCGAAGTGGTAGAACTCCCGTATGCCAACGGGAGGATCCCGGTTCAAATCCTGGTGAACGCAAGTTGTTTGATTTTTTTGACGTAGTACTGATGTCCTCGTTTGGTGTTTTGCGCTCTTATCCATGATCTATATTTTGACGATTTCCGCAAGACTGTACTGGCTCTAGGAGTCGCACCTTATTAGTAGTAGATTTCTTTCCCAACTTAGTTCAAAAAATATCTTATTCCCCTTCATTGCAGACATTGGGTCCACCAACAGTCTTGTCTATCACTCATAGCGACATTTACAGGACTTTAAATAAAACCTGGAGCTCGTCTCCCCTACAAAAAAAAAAAAAAAAAAATATCTTCTTAAGCTGTCTTAGAATGCTTTTTGGGGCGCATCCAATGGTGCCAACTGTACTAGGTGTTTTGAATAAACTTATTGAGCATTGTGTAAAAATATGAAATGAGGTTTTTGACCAAAATGTCGAGAATTTCCATTTAAAGGTCTCAAGAACAAAGTTTTAGCAGTTGATTTGGATCGAGAGGAGCATTTTGAATCAATATATACCTTAGTAAAAGCCTTCATTTTTGGGGTCAAAAACGCGATCGTTTGATTTTTGAAGAAAACCATGAGGTACCCCTCATGCTTTTTGGTCGATTTTTGGCCATGTTTTTTTTTTGGCCTAAAAAGTGGGCAAAGGTGTCAGGAAGTTAGTGCTAGTTGAAAGTAACTGTTTGGTCTTATTCCAGCGGTCTCTAACGGTCTTAAACTCAAGAAAACGTGCCTCCAATGTATCTAGTTTTAGCTGTGTTTTGCACATTTTTGAGCTTTGAGAGGTAACCCAAGTATAATTTAGACTCTTAAATGGATTGTTTCTGTTAATGTAGACATAGGATATTGTAAAAGAGCCTGATTTACCATTACAGGTGAGCTATAGAGATTTTCACCTGATACTAAAAGTGAGAAGGTAAAGTTTTACTATAAATAATTAGGATTTTTTTTGATAATGCTGCAGCTGCCGACCATAGTATTGCAAATTAAAGCAACCTTTGCTCAACTTTTTGGGCTTAAAAAAACATGGCCAAAAATCGACCAAAAACCATGAGGGGTACCTCATTGTTTTTATCGAAAATCAAACGATCGCATTTTTTACCTTGAAAATGAAGACTTTTACTATGGTACATATTGAGTCAAAATGTTTCTCTCGATCCAAAGCAACCTCTGAAACCATTTTTATGAGGTTTTCATATGCAAAATATGGCTATTTTCACTAAAAGCCTCATTTCATATTTTATTAAATTGCTCAATAATTTCATTCAAAACACTTATTACAGTTAGCACCATTGGAAGCGCCTTGAAAAGTACTTTAAGAATGTATTAGGAGGCATAAGGTGATCATCACAGTTTATATAGTCGAATATTACAAAAGAGATGAAAGAAGTCGATAAAAGACAAAATCTGTCCAATCTTGAACAGAAAAAATATACTGAGTTTGAATCAATTTTGGTGGCGGCATTGCTGCTGGCTGACCTAAATGCCTTTCTGTTACCCACTACGGTTATATTAAAAAAAATAAATGCCTTTCTGATGATGACAATGATGGTTGCGATGCTGATTAAATGACAATTGCTTAGCCCAAATACTTTTTTTTGTGAAGTTTTGCCTCATGAAGGTGTCTTTTGCAATGACAATACCTCAAAAAAGTCGCTGTAGATCTTATACCAGTCCTGTATTTACACATGAGCAGCTTTATGCCTCCATCTAAAGAGCAACATCAGCGGATGGACAATTCCCTCTCCTGAATCTGGTATAGCTTTTTTTTTTAATATTAAATGATTGTTTAAAATCTACTTGATGTGCCAGACTTTTATTATCTCTGATTTGAAATGTATTAGGCGAGAGCCCTGCAGGGCGACGCCATCATCGAACGTAGCGAGATTGATCTGCTAGTAAATTGTATACTGACATGTAAGATGACACGTTAATAAAGAGTATTTTACATTTTACAGCATACTGCATAGCGCTTTGTGTGGAGTGGTACATCCTATGTTTGACAGCAACGATCAGATCAGACATCCCAGTTCCAAAATCCAATGCATAAAGCTAAACCGCAATTTGAATGGTTCAGTGTCAGTCTATTTAGCGAAATGTTACTGATATACTTTCTCATAGCTTTGGTTTACATGGCAAGACTATTATTAATTTGATCTACAGAGACATGTTATAGACTTCCAGGCGGATGTCATGCGAGTGATGCACATAGAGGAAAAATGTAAAACCACAGATAAGATAATACAAGGCGGAGTTCCCCTTTATCCCTTCTTCTTCCGTATGATGAGGCCTTGGTTCTTTCGGTGAAATGGCATGTAGGGTGTGAAATTTTCGAAAAAAAAAGGCAGGCATCAAAAGCGGTGGTACAGATGCATTGTTCAAAATGTCACCACCTCATTTATACTCCAATAAAGAGCTGTTTATGCGATCTACGTGGGTAGAGAGGGGGTAGGAGGACATCCAAAGTGTCGGACAGTCACTCTTCTTCGTGAGTCATGATGGGCAACCATACACATTCCTGCATTTTCCATTCATAGCTACTGCGTTAATTTGACATTTGGTAACATCAAGATTAAAACGATGATCTCTCTTGATCCACATATGCTATTTGGAGCATTTTTGAACTCTTTCAAATCACAGAGATCTCAAGCATCAAAAGGCATTCGGATCTGAATAAATAAACTACGGAGCAAAGGATATAATCTTTGTTGAAATCCAATTGATATACATGAAATCTACCCTTTTAAAACGCCGGTATGCTATTTTCCTTTCCACGATCCATATAAATCTCCAGATTGGTTTCTTGTTTTTCCTCTTCTTCTTTCTCTTCCATCTCTTTTTGTTCTTTTTCAAATAAAATGTGTGGTATTTTTGCTGTTTGCAACTATCAAGGTGATGTTGACGCCTATCGTCAACGTGCTCTTTATCTTTCCAGAAAGTAAGTTTGAAAGTCATTGACACATTTGGAAACTTGGGGAAGTGTGCGTGATATTGATTGCATGTCAAAAACAGGATTAGACATCGTGGTCCCGATTGGTCTGGTTGTCATGTTGTAAAGAACAACATCATGTGTCATGAGCGTTTGGCTATTGTTGGTGTTGGTAAGTTGATGGATCTAAAAAGCTGAAGAAACACATCATCTAAAACATTTTCCAATGTCTTAGGTTCCGGTGCTCAACCTCTTGTCAGCGAAGATGGTAACCTTGTCCTCTGTGTCAATGGTGAAATCTACAACCACAAGCATTTGCGCAACCAATTGAAGAAGCCTCATCACTTCAAGACTAGCTCTGATTGTGAAGTCATCATGCACATGGTAAGGAAAACACAGCTCATGAGTCTATAATGCAGCACTAATTCGTTTGGTGCTATAGTACGATGAGATGGGTACTGATCTTGTCAACCATTTGGATGGTATGTTCTCTTTCGTTCTCTTGGATGTCAAGCGCAACCGTGTTGTTGCTGCTCGTGATCCTATTGGTATTACCACTCTTTACTACGGTTGGAACTCCAAGATGCCCGAAACTGTCTACTTTTCCTCTGAGCTCAAGAGTCTCAACGAAGAATGTGACAAGATCTTGGCTTTCCCTCCTGGTCATGTCTACGACTCTGAGACCCAAGAGACCACCCGTTGGTTCAATCCTACTTGGTGGAACGGTAGTAAGATTCCCTCCAACCCTGTCGACTATAAGCTTTTGAGAGAATCTCTCGAGAAGGCTGTCCGTAAGAGATTGATGGCTGAGGTCCCTTATGGTGTCCTGTTGAGTGGTGGCCTTGATTCCAGTTTGATCGCTGCTATTGCTGCTCGCGAAGCTGAAAAGATTGCTCAAGGCAATGGTAATAGCGATGATGACAACTTTGATGAGAGTAAGTATTAGTATATTTGCGAGGGCCAATTAGGATTTGATAATCTTACATCTTTCTCTTGTTTAGGTGGTCCCAAGTGCTGGCCTGGTGTACACTCCTTCTCTGTTGGTCTTCCCGGTTCTCCTGATTTGCTTGCTGCCAGAGAGGTTGCCAAGTACCTCAAGACCATCCATCACGAATACACTTTCACCATCCAAGAAGCTTTGGATGCTGTCAGCGATGTCATTTATCACCTTGAAACCTATGATGTTACCACTATCCGTGCCTCTACTCCCATGTACCTCTTGTCTCGTAAGATCAAGGCTATGGGTGTCAAGATGGTGTTGTCTGGTGAAGGTTCTGACGAAGTTTTTGGTGGTTATCTTTACTTCCATCAAGCTCCTGATGCTGCTTCTTTCCATTCTGAGTGTGTCGATCGTGTCAAGAACTTGCACACTGCTGATTGCCTCCGTGCCAACAAGTCTACTATGGCCTGGGGTTTGGAAGCTCGTGTTCCTTTCTTGGACAAGGAGTTCTTGGAAGTTGCTATGAACATTGCTCCTGAGGAGAAGCGTCCTAACAAGGCTGAGGGTCGTATGGAGAAATACATTATTCGTAAGGCCTTTGATACCTCTGATGATCCTAGTGCCAAGCCTTACTTGCCTGATAACATTTTGTGGAGACAAAAGGAACAATTCTCTGATGGTGTTGGTTATAGTTGGATTGATAGTTTGAAGGCTGTCAGTGAAAACAAGGTCTCTTCTGAGGAATTAGCACAAGCTGGTTCAAGATGGTCAAAGGATACACCTGATACTAAGGAAGCTTATATGTATCGTGTCATGTTCGAACAATGGTTCCCTCAACCTGCCTGTACTGCTTCTGTCGTGAGATGGATCCCTAGAGCTGATTGGGGTTGTCCTTCTGATCCCTCTGGTCGTGCCCAAAAGGTTCACGAACAAGCTTACGAAGAAAAGAAGTAAACAAAAATCTTTAAATGTTATATATATATAGTTCTAGAAGTTAAATAAAATTAAACGCCCATACAAGTGTATATCTTTTTGTACAAATCCTAGCTTCCAGTACATGATACTATTTGATGATACGACTAAAAGTCGCTTTATATACAACAAGACGAGCAAACGTTACATCTTGATCTCCTTCTGAAGTTAGAGTATACGTCTATATGAGCCTCAAGAGCCTTGCGTTGGTAATAGATTATTATTCATCTATTGATCAACAGGAAGCACATGTACCAGAATTCCTTTTGATGGGATAGGTGGCGTCCAAATATAGAAGGTAATCTAAATTCAATTCAGGATCTGCATTCAGAAAATAGTAAAAGGGCTCTCTACCTTTGCTTCACTTTGGTGAGAATCAGCCTGCGCCGTGGCAGCTCGCACTGCCAATTGTCCTTGCTCATCTTACCAAAACACTGCTACTTTCATTTTGGCCCGCTACTTACACATGAAAACTCTTCTCAGTAGCGTGGTAATTTTCACTCGAAATTAGTAATATACTCGATACGAATTAGTCACTGTTTGTTTATATTTTTAAGAAATTCGAAAACCCCCAATAAATGTTTGAATGCTTTAAAATCATAGATCTCACTACTTAACCTAATTTAAAATTTTATATGAGTGCACATTAAGATTAGATCAATCGACAAGCCAAATCTCGTCTTTCAGAATGGCAAATTGGTGATATAGTAAACTGCCACAGAGCAGGTGTCAAAGAAGGTGCGATCTGCAAGATTATGAACCTGTCCCCGTCTACTGTAAGCACTGTGATCAAGAGGGCAGACTCCAAAGGCACCGGATTGCTTCCAAAACATTTTGGAGTACCATTGAAGATGGACAGTAGAGATCAGAGACGGTTCGCGCGTCAACTTCGCTCTGCACCGTTGTTACCAATGAAGAACCATTTGAAGGTATGGTGTGACACCAACCCATCAATTTCAATGGACACTTTCAGGAAGTATATGAAGCTAATTGGCTTTCAATCATATAAGACTGCACATAAACCATCATTGACACCTGAGCACAAGCTTAAAAGGCTCTCCTGGTGCTTGGACAAAGTCGGATGGGGGCCAGAACGGTGGAGAAAGGTTGTTTGGTTCGATGAGTCCAAATTCATGGTTCTCGGTAATGATGGTGGCTCTAGGGTGATCTGAAAAGAAGGTAAAAGGTACAATGATTACCACATCTTCAAAACCAAGAAGTTTGCAAGCGGCTCTGTGATGATTTGGGGATACTTTTGGGCTGGAGGCTACGGGCCGTTAGTAGCACTTGATGGCCGAGTAAATCAGGACTGATACATCGAGTGTTTGGATAAGAGCTACTTGCCTTGGATAGCTGATGTGATGAAGAATGAGGAAGGCAACTTCGTTCTTCAAGAAGATGGTGCTTTCTGTCATACACGTAGAATTTCTACAAGTTGGAAGGAGGATCAACCACTGGTCAACAGTTTCAGCTTCTGACCGGCTCAAAGCCCCGATTTGAATCCAATCGAACATCTGTGGGCCATCATGGAGAAGCGAATTGAGAGCAAGAGGCGTCGCATTGATAATGCAGAACAATTGCTTGCGCGTATCCGTGAGGAGTGGAATAACTTGGATTTTGATCTGGCGGAGAGATTAGTTGCAAGTATGCCATCTAGATGTCAAGCTGTAATAAATGCAAGAGGCGAAACAACACGCTACTAAAAGCATTGAATATAAATAAAATACTATTGTAAATATCATATATCCAAATTTCATGTACTTCTTACGATGGTTTATTAATGATGATTTGATGTCAAAGATCAATGAATTATTTGATGCTAAAAAAAATTGAACTCAGTTACGGTGACTAATTCGTATCAAGTGTATATCTGATGGTATGTTTGTACTGCTTGTAACTCTTTTTGCATTCACCATTTGACAGATGGAATACCAAAATTGTTGAGTAAAGATACAGTGAGGGATATCATTGTTTTGCTGTTGTTGGGAGCGAAGTGTAATGTAATAGTTTACAAAGAGCCTGGCACGGAATACTATCTCCCGTATATCTCTGCTAACAGAAATGATTGCTGGCTTCAGGTGGTTTATATATTGTTGATGGACACAGTTGTCGAGAGGCAGCTTTCTGGTGAAAGCTTGATATCCCTGGCCAAGATTTTCTTTGAGTGTGGCTTGCTTGGAGGCGATCTGAGCTTCACATTTTGGCGATCTTACTGATTTATGGCCAGTCTTGTGACATTTCTTGCATATATCTTGGCTGCCTTCATTGCTAGAAGAAGCTCTAAGCTTCTTTGCATGTCTTTTGTCGGCTTTCACACTGTCACTCTGTTTGCGTTTTTTGCTGGACGTTCCAACTTTGATATAATAACATCAGAAACAAACAGGGTATAAGGGTAGAGTACTCTTTCAAAGCATGTATACTTACCATCATCGGCATTGATTTGTTTATAAAGTTTGCATTTCAAATAAGCCTTTGAAAAATGACCAGTTTCTTTGCAATCTTTGCATACACTTGTACTATTAGCAGAGCCAACTCCTTCTTGAAAACTGTTTAACAGAAACGTTATGCAATATTTTCTGCAATATTTATACCTTCTTCTAAGCACCTTTATTCTTTCACAGACTGAATCTTATTCAAAATTGTTGCTTCGTACATAAAGAGATTTTATATAAACTTAGAAACTTGACAACAGAATATTGCGATAGAAAGAGAAGGGAAAGAGAAAGGAAGACAAATATCAATTGGTTTATCACGCATAATACGTATAAGTTTAATTCTGACACAACAGATCAATAAATCAATACTAACAGTCAAAAGAAAGTAACGTTCTACAATTGATGATGGCCAGATCTTCAGCATGTATGACAGCAAAGAGCCGTTCCTTCTTGACTCAAGAAAAAGAAAGGACACCTAAGCTGATGGTGGTACTAAGAAAAAATACAATAGAAATCAAGAAGCAAGCAGAAACAGAAAGCCAAGAACAAAAGGAGAAAAGAGAATGCCAATATGTTTGCTTTTGTAAACCAGTAGGCCGGGTATCATTTACTGCAAAAATATATACAGTATATGCATATTAATGTATTTGATAGAGAGAGAAACTATACTAAATGCAAGCCAAAGGCAAATCTTTGGTATTATTTCGAGCCGATATGTTTGGCAAAGATTCGATCCACTTGAAGGGATAGAAATGTGTAGTTGCCGGGATCTTTTACAAAGCTTTGAAGAGGAGAGAAAGGAACGGCGGTTTGACAGCTGTTTCTATCGATGATCATCTTGATCCAAAAATATGTTTTAAATGTATGAGCAGCACTCAAGGTGTATCAAGCAACATCATGGTTGTATCGCTTCTGTTTGTAAGGCAAGAGGTGAAGGGCGCTCAAAGAAAGAGGTAGCTAAACCAAACAAAAAGCGGCGTAATAAGCACGGTTATTCTTTTTGGGCACTTTTGCGAGACACCTGAAAAAATGAAATGAGACGAACTCAGAGGCTCGAGTGTCCCATTTACTACAAAGGCTGTTTATTCAAGCATGCCTCAAATTTGTTGACAGAATAACGAGCAGTTCCCTCAAGATCGCTATACAAAACACTGTTACATGCATTGGCTATTCTACTAGTGAGGTTCTCGTCTGACAGTAACCTTTCTCTTTTCAGCTTGCTTTTTACGACATGCCAAAATTGTTCAATAGGGTTTAGCTCAGGAGAGTATGGAGGAAGATATACACATCTGTAGCCTTGCTGAATGATATATCTTTCAATGTCATTGGCCGTATGAATAGGCGCATTATCCATTATGGTATAGAAGCTTTTGAACTTATCATCCTTATCCAAAGCATCCAGTGTCTTAGCCACGAAATTGAAATAATGCCCTGTTACGGTACCTCCAGGTCCTACTTTACCAGAGCCTCCACCTATCTTTCTTTTCTTAACAGAGGCGCCTGGTATTCTTACTTGAACATTGATAATGCCCCAAACACTTACTACACCGAGAATAGTTGTGGTTTTGGCCCTCGCTACAGAAACAACCACCTCAGCGCGAGTTCCCCTCTCAGACCAAGCCATTGTTCGCTTCAGGTTGATAAGGAAAGCAGATTCATCAAGGAAGACGTAGTTCGACATGTAGTCCATATCTTTTTGCTCCCATTTCTTAACCCATTCGTAGCGCTTTTGGATACTTTCAGGTGAGTTTCTCTGCTTTGAGTGGAGATGGGCCTTCTTGAATGACAAGGCACAGTCATTGACCATATATCGATGGACCGACGACTTACTGATCTTTAAGCCAGGAAAAGCTCCAATTAAATTTTCCATGGCCTGATCTATAGTGGCAGAAGGGTTGTCCACGAACTCTTTGGGAAAAAGTATATTTTCGGACCTCTTTTGGATCGTTTTCCTATTTAGGATATGAATCGATTACTACCACCTCCGTAAACAATTGACCAATGTCGTACTACAATTGAGATAATAACAACAAGATAATCTGTTCGCAAGATGATATTAGGGATCTTTATTAATTGTATTTGGATATTAAAAGAAAAAAAAATGAAAGCATTTATCATGGGTTTGACAACAACGAAAGGGCATATAGTGTTCATATATAAGAGATTTAGATAATGTACAAATTGGATAGGATTAGGGCAATATTTAAGAGGTAGGGTATGATTATTTAGTGGTTAACCAATGAAATCGGAGGAAGGCGGGTTCCGACAGTAGAATTTGTGTTTGTTGATGCCAATGATAAGAGAGATCTTGCCACTTGCTGTTCCTGTAATAGGCTCGGATCGTAATCAGATTCAGATGAATTGCTGCTAACGCTTGACGATGAGGATGGCAACAAAGGAGGAGAAGGAGCAGCGGAAGAAGCAGACGAAGGACAGGTACAATGTTGGCTATGGTGATGATGATGTGAATGATGGTGTTGCTGTTGCTGTTGTTGTTGTTGTTGTTGTTGTTGAGGATTAGCAATGGCAAAATCAATGTCGGACAATTTGGCGACTGTGTTTGATAAGAGTTGTGATAAACGAGTTACTTCTCTTTGAAGTTCTTGACGTTGAGAATGTAATGAATCATGTTGTGAGCAATGTGTTGATTGTTTGTAATACGTGTGGATGGGAGGAAGTGTAAAACGGTTGTTGTCTTCCAATTTTTGGTAGTGATGTTGAGGCCAAACCATCGTCTTGGAACTGTTATCTTCAGGATACATAATCAAATCAGGACTGTGTCTACCACCGCTGATACTGCCATTGCTGCTGCCACTGCTACTGCTCGTACTGCAATTATCATCAAAGCTCAGTTTGCGGACCACAGCGGCGGGAACAGGTGGAGGAGGAAGTTGTTGTTTGGTAGATGTAGGAGGAGATGGAGTGTAATTGTGTTTGAATGTGGGTGATGAAGCAGATTTCTTATCATCATCTAACTTTTGCTGCTTTTGAGGAGGATGCTGTTGTTGCTGTTTGTCAGATGAAGGGCAGCGCTTTCTTCTTTTAATGACTGTTCGCATCATAGTAGCAGGTCTGTGAACATGATGTAGCTTATAGTAGAGACCACATGCGTTACAGATTGTCTTTCCGGTTGCATCTCGACGCCAAAGAGGAGTTGTTGTTGCCTGACAGTTTGCGCAAATGATATTCTCATCATTCTTATTGTGAGCCAGATCCATCATGACCTCCTTCTCCATTGAAGAGGGCAATTCCTCTTGTTGGCTGTAGTCCTTACCACCGTTGGAGCAATGATCGCAAACAGGACCTTTACCACTTTCACGTCCCCAAAGATGAGGTCTGAATGATGACTGACATTCGACACAGCGAGTTAATGATCTTTTGCGAGCTTTCATTTGTTGATCTTGGAAGGTAGTGTAAACCATAGTAATATTGTTTAAAAGTAAAGAAACAGAAGAAGAAAAAAGAGGGAAAACACAGAGAATAAAGAAATATAGCTGGATTTATATACCACATCTCCAAAGTATAGAAGGAGGGGTAGATCCAGCTGCTTGTTACAACAAAGCCTAAATATGGACATGTTGATAATCTCTACCAATCATGATGTATCAAATGATCTCGATTCTTCCCACACTTGCGATAAAAATGGTTGATTCTACCATGCCAATAGCTTCACGGATCCTTATCATCTTATCACATTTCGTTTCTTTTACGATATGAGCTTTGGTTTCGAGTCGATACAATGTAATATCTCTTTTTATTTAATGTCTATGGCGTCTTCTATCCATGTCTCCTAAGCTCTAATACCCCCCCCCCCTTGTCGGTTGAAACTGAAAAATGGGAGGGAAAATGAGAGATGTCTATACTAAAGATTGCGATTTTTTATCTCCAACTTCCTAATAAAGGTTGTAATTACATTTTAGAGTTTTCTCTATGGAAACACAACTATAAACGGAGGCGGGGCACCATATAAGAGGGAGGGTATATTTGCAATCATAATAGTTCTACTACAGTATAACTTGACTCAATTGTTTCATTCACGTATTCCAACATATACGGTGTTGAATCAGATCGGTGTATGTGTTGTTGATGGTTTGACAATTGCTTATCTATCTAGCCAGCTATGCTGATCATCCGTTGATTGATAGTATATATACACACACACGTATTATAGTCTCATCATGTTATAGGGTATAGGTGGACAATTCAGTGTAACATTTGGCTCGAAATATAGACAATTCGCTATTGTTTGTTATAGGTGGATCCGTGTAACGCATTTCCGTCACATTTAATATATTCATTTGATGTCAAAATAATGGGTTTGCACTGCAACATCCACTTTTTCCCATCGTTTCATCTCTATATCCGACTTGAAATCACGCAGCTCTTGCTCTAGCTGCCTCTGCTTTCCCAATTCTTGCAAGATCGCTTTTGTATGCTTGTCCTTGACAGATGCCATCAAACTGCGAAACTCCTTTCTCAAGCTGCTCTCCTTGATAGTGGACACCTTGTCATCACAAATACGCTTTTCTAGCAGCTGTTTGTCTTGATGTAACACATGGATTTCATCTTCAAACTTCTTTCTTTCATTGTTAAAGTCCACAATATTTCGTGTCAGACGGTCGTATTCCTTGAGAATGCGCTCTAATTCCGCCTCTGTGCTGGCAGACTGCAAGATGAACGCAGACTCTCTTGTCGTGAATGTTTGCTTGGCCTGATCAAATTCCTGTTGTAACCGAGCTAATTGGCGTTGTAAATGACTCTCTTCAGGGACACTGGTCATGCTTTTTTGAGCTTGCTCTTGCTGTCGTTCTGTTAAATAAGCTATAGTGGATACAACTGCTCCTTCGCAATCAATAAACTCTGTCTTCATGACTTGTTGGCATTGATCCAGTATATTCTTCTTCTGGCAAGACCATGCAAGCTCTCTTTCATGTTGCTCCTTGATCGTTTGTTGCAATTGAGTGTTTCGCTGCTCAACAATACCAAGCTGTCGACGTAATGATAGATTCTCCTCCTTGCTCTTCTCCTCCTCTTTGATGGTAGCCTCCTTCTTGCACTGCAATTCCTGGTGCAGTTGCTCAATTTGTATCTGACATGATGTGTGATTTTCTTCCTCTTTGATAGTAGATGGTTGGCTCTTTAATTTGTTAATTTCTGCCTCTTTTGACTTTAACGTATGCTCCAAGGATGTCACGCGATCCTGCAATGATTGTCTGCGCATCGTTTCCTGCATCAATTGGTCTCGCAACACGGCCATGTCTTTCTCTTGCTTTTTAGCTATAAGCTGTCTTTTGGACCTACTTCGTTCCAGCTCCAATACCAGGCTTGCACTTCTCTCTCGTTGTCGCACGAGTTCTTCGTGAGTGTTGGACTGAATCTCCATGACCCTCAGTAGTTCTTGCTTTTGCTTCAATTGGCGAGCTAGCTTCTCGATGATGTCTTCAATCCTTTGATGCAATATGCTGGTAGGTGTGTCCTCGTTTGCCATATAAACTGTGCTCGGCGACGTATCAATACTGTTTGCCTGTGTAAATGCCGATGAAGATGATATGGACGACGTTGATGAGGATGAGGATGACGAGGAAGACGAGATTGATGTGGATGTCAGCGTAGGAACCTGTTGGCGCTCTACACTGTCATCAAAGTAATTGACTGTGGACTCTAGCTTCACAAGGATTTTGGTCAATATACGTTGAATGTCCTCCTGTGGTAATTGGCATTGCTGCTGCATTGCTGTCGCCAGTGTCCCCGCCAGATGTTCCAGGTACCTTGTCTCGGTGCGATGAGCAGATTGACTTGTAAAATAGAACTCATCCACTAGCAGTGTTGTTTGCTGACTGGATTGGCAGATGTCCTGTATGAAATCTGTCGCGGATGACTGATCCAGCTTGAATGCTGTTGCTGCTGCTCTTTGAGTATCCGTTTGAATTCGAATTCGACTATATATGGCATCTACTAATTGATGCAAGTGTTGAAATTTCTATATATCCACATTAATTACACACGATAAAACACACGTCAATCAAAACAAATTTACTTGGGCTAGTTGCTCTGCCTCCACATAGTCCATTGGCTTGAAGTTGGATGCTGCCATGACAGCGTGCGTCATATTGAGCTCATCTAGCATGATAGTATAATCCTTTGGAGCTGTTGATAGTTGATGTTGTTCCATCGGCATACTAAATTGTTGCCATGGTAACACATCAACATCCATGGATGCATGATTAGCTGCAATGCCAATATCCATCACAGATGATTTTGCAGTAAATTTCGATTTCAAGTGCTCCAATGACGATTGCTGCTTTCTAGAAGGTGTCCATGTCCCTACATCTTTCATGACAGGCACCTTATCATCATTGCTGGCTAATTGTGTTGATTTGACAGCTTCGCTTCTATATCTCAATGACTTTGTGCGAGCAGGTGTAGTAATGTGTATCATTGTTGAGTGATGGAAACAAGGGAAAAAAGACGAAAAAGGGAGACTCACTCTACAATATAAACGAAATTAAATACGTTTGTTTCTAACATGAACGCTTTTATTATTGAATGCCTTAATTAAGCACTGTTTACAATTCCCGCGAATCTGTCACTGTAATTCGCCTCAGTAGATCCCTTACTTTGTCATCACTGGCAATGATTGTAGTAGATGATCCATTCATGATGATTCTGGCATTCATATCAGAGGGCAATTCAATGGTTGTGATGCCATTGATATCTTTGGTAATATGGATAGGTATCGCATGCTATTCGTGTGTTATGAGTCCATCTTTTCCCCCTTTTTCATTGCGTTATAGACACACTGTACCTCTTCAAACCGTCTGATAGTCGTATTCAACTCTGTATGAATACGCAATTCACTCTTGTGATCCAATATCAGCGCTTGATCGTCCTTCACATTGGTGCTCGGGTGTATCTCTAAGCGATTGTTGTAGTAATTGAGAGACCCATTGATAGGAGCCCAAGCAGAGAAATGAATACCATCACTATTAGGCACCATAGTAGGATCGATGGTTTTAGCCAACTATACGACACACAACAGAAAGGAGGTTTGTATTGCAACGTTAGAGAGAAAAAGGAGACGCCATCTTACCTTTTCGCTTACAGAGACTCTTTCCCAATCTCTATTGACATCGATGCGTACAACTCCCTGATGATATATATGAACTTGCGTTCCCTGAGATTGTTCCTCTTTCACTAATTCAGCTCCTTTGATACCAGGGATCAGCAAATGGCGTGTGTTGCTTCCTACATGCTGCCAATGTGTGTGTAAAATGGAAGGTACATCCTCTAGTTTGAGTCGAGTATCCAATGGAAGTCGTATAAAGTTCATCTTGCAGTCGACGGGTATATCATGTTGAATGTCCTGAGGCGAGTGGGGATCAATAAAGATACAGGTGTTTAGCTCAGAGTGTCCCCAATGGTTCAGAAACCACATCAATGGCCCTTTGGTGATACAAGTCGAGTCTCCTGTAAACACGATACATGGCTCTCGAATGGATGTCTCAGATAGCACTGATGCCTCCAAGGAAACAATCGTCTTTACTGCCCCGGTGTTCATCAATTCTCCATGAGCCAGAGGCATTTGTGGCAGGTACAGCAAATCATGGCGTCCAGCGTTCATCCACTCTCCACAGATATTGGCATACTTGAGACTTTGATCTGCAATGGGATTCGCTACATAGATGGGTGTTTGGTGTCGTTCGTGTCCAATCTCTTTTCCAAGCGATTTAAAATACTCTTCAATGTCTCCTATCAGATCAAACAGGATGCCCATGGGTGGAGCAACAATCACCGAGTTGTGCAGCGACTGATTTGTGCGTGCTATATCGAAGTTAGTCGGATTCATGGGTTGCATCACGTACATAGAGTTACCTAGATGGACATATAATTTTGCCTTGGCTCTTTCAAACGACAGTTCTCGCTCAGATTGCTGGCTCAGCCCTCCAACTACCACCACATCTGCGTCTTTCAGGATATCTGGATCAAACGGTGCTGGATGGAGATTTGCATACAGGGAGGACGAGGATAGAAACGCAATTCTTTTAAAACTAGACTCTAAAAGCCAATTAGCACTTCCCAATGAATAGCCTGAACTGTATGCTACCAAATTCAATGTAGAAAATAAGGACAATGTCTCGGTATAGCGTACAGGCTGTACCTTTTCAATACAAGAAGTGATATCTTTCAGGGTGTAGATAGATCTCCACCCTTCAGAGGGCAGAGCGAGATCACCCAATTGGGAGAAATGAGTAGCCACAGTAGGCTCAATGCGAGACGTATTGTTATGACCATGATAAAACACTAACTCTTCCATGCGCTGCTTTCCATATTCAATCGTTGGCTCAGTTGCAATGATACGGCCTTTGTATCCAAGATATTCAGTCAGAAAGGGTAGCCCAAGCATGCATTCACTGTTGGCAATCAAAACCAAATCAATGGAATCCATATCAATCAAGCTGAAATCAGGCACTCGGAATACGCTTGGATGGTCGCAGTTTTTCACGCTTGTAGTCAATGATGAGTATTGTGTATCGGCTGTGCGTTTGCCTTGAGCGCTAAATGTGGATAGTATGGAGCCCAAATCATTGCCGCCTTGTTCTTGTCCATCGAGAGCATCGTCTTGTTCTTGCTGATATTGAGGTTGTGGTATAGTTAGTGTTTCAATAGGGCAGTTGATCAGGATGGTGTGCTGATTGATTTTGCATAGAAACGTATTGGATGTGGATCCTTTGTGGTCGAGACATTGTATCTTCATTTTTGTTTATGCTCTAAGTCGCATTAAGCCAACACGGTGCCAGCAATGTAGGCATTGAATCGTGGCTTGGATGTGTCCATCCTAGACGGTCACTGGTTGGGCCCTATCGATGCCTGAGTATAGCTTTGGTGAGTGGTGAGGGAAGATGGCTTTTTGGGAGTTTCAAAATGAAAAAGCTTTTCTTCTTGTTTTGATCTTTTTTTTTTTTTTTTTTTTTCCTTTCATCTGCCAACAGAAATTTACAGAAAATGTATTTGATGTACTACTTGAACAACGAGGGTGAGCGTGTCTATACTCTCAAGGTAACATCCCCTATGAATAATTTGAAAATAGCACATTGGTTGACACATTTGCTCGAGTAGAAGACCGATCCCAAGGGTTTGCCCACCAAGTCAGCTCATCCTGCTCGTTTCTCTCCTGATGACAAGTTCTCTCGCCAACGTGTCACCATCAAGAAGAGATACAACATTCTGCTCACTCAACTTCCTGCTCGTCCTTATTAATATCATTTTTATCAAAATCGCATCAACATTATAAAAGAGGAGGAGGAATTGGAATTTGGAAAGAAATGCTTCTTCCAGTCTACTGTAAATTACATTTCAAATAAAAGAATACACAAAGGATATCATGTGAATCGGTATGCTGATAGGAACGGTTATTATTGTGCTGTGGCATGCACAAGTGTGAATGAGCATGGCATGCCATCAGGTTGTCTGTCTATTTTGACATGTCTTCCTGTGACAGTTTTGCTTTTGGGAAATCCTCCTCTTAAATCTTGAACAGATGGCAAATATTTTCTCTGGCTTCTCTCATCTTGTAGTTGCAATGGCCAATTCAAAGTTTGAATATGTGCGTCATTTCGAAATGGCAGACAACATGTTGCCTAGTACATGGCTCGTTGTCCGTATCGACGGTCGTGGATTTCATCGATTCTCTCAGACACACAATTTCGCAAAACCAAATGACAGAAGAGCCATTGAACTCATGAACAGATGTGCGATTGAAGTTATGAAGGATATCAAGGATATTGTCTTGGCTTACGGACAGAGCGATGAATACAGTTTTATTATTCCAAAATCATCCAATCTGTATTCTCGACGATCAAGGTGGGTTACATTGGTTGATAGGAGGGGAACAACGGCAAATTGACAGCTTTTTGTTGGCAGTAAAATCTCGTCGACAGTGGTGAGTTTGTTTGCTTCTAACTATGTGATGCATTGGGCAGAATACTTTGGCCAAGACAAACTACAATATGCGCCATGCTTTGACTCGAGAACCGTCTGCTATCCAAATGACAAGGTGCTAAGAGATTACTTGAGTTGGAGACAAGCTGATTGTAAAATCTGATTTGCATGATTGAGTCTGCCCTTGTCCACTAACGGAACATCTCATAATAGGTCACATCAATAACTTGTTCAATACAACATTCTGGGCTCTAGTAAAGTCTGGCATGACAGAAGATGCAGCCGAGAAGCATTTGAGAGTAAGTCTTGTCAAAGTATGTTTGTCGAACCCCACAACTCAAATGTCATACAACTAGGGCTCCTTCTCCAAAGACAAGAACGAGATTCTGTTTACAGAATTCAACATCAACTACAACAACATTGAGCCAATCTACAGAAAGGGATCCACCATCATCCGCCAAAAGACAGAGGTTACTTCCATTTCACCAAGAAATGGCGAAGAGGTGCAACGCATCAAACTTATACCAACTGCCGTCTATGACGATATCATCGGACAAGAGTTCTGGGATCGTCATCCTGAGTTGCTTGCCGAGAAGAGAAGATAGATAAATAAATAGACCTTTTTGATGATTTAGATGACAAGAGCCAGTTTCAGGCACAGAGATTGACGCTGTCAAGTGGGGGGGGGGGCGGGGCGGTGATACATGCAATTTTGCAATGCCTATCAGATAAAGTTTTGGTAGCGACGTACGAGCACTGCTATGTCAGACATGATCTCTCGAAATACCATTGCCAATTAAGCTTGACCTGCTGAAATGTGGTCAACAAGCTTCAGCTTGTTTGATCCTTCAATGATGTCATTTAGAATGCCAATTATATAATAAATGTTCCGTCCCTAGACACTTTTACAAGCCTACTAATATGGAAATTGAATTTCTAGGCATTTGTCTGGCCTGGCTCATATATGATTAATGATTTTATAATCAATCAACAAAAACGATTTTTATTTTTACCATCTTTCCTATGCTCAATGCTGTCAACAACGTTTTCTTTGAACGACGACCCGGAGCTTCAGAGATTTTACTACTTACTACAGACATTTTATGCAGCCCATGAATCGTCAATGTCCAGACTAACGTTATTAAATATAGAATGCAAGAAAATATTATTATGAATGATAGTGCTATGACTTGCCATCTACTTTCCATACGCTTCAAGGGCATTTATTACTGTATTGCCTTATGGAAAGAGCATTGAATATGCCAGCCAGCCCACCACCCAAAATCAATTCAAATCTCGACTCATAGTCTGCTCCAGATTGGCCAAATCTTGATAATTTTCGACTCGATTGAACTATTTTCGCAGATTTAACTAAGAAAAATATGCTAATCATTCGATGCTTCCTAATACGCCCGTGGTGGTAGGGCGAAGTGGTTAAGCATCCAACATGCCATCTGAATGATCCCGGTTCAAATCTCAGTGAATACATTTTTGGTGATTATTTTGACATAGTACTGATGTCCTCGTTTGGTGTTTTGTGCTCTTATCTAGTATCCATATTTCGACGATTCGCATGATTGTATTGGCTCTAGGTGTCGCACCTGATTAGTAGTACATTTCTTTCCCAACTTGGTTCATTATATATCTTGTTCCCCATCATTGCAGACATTGGGTCCACCAACAGTCTTTTCTTTCCCTCAGTATGACATTTTAAGGACTTTAAATAAAACCTGGAGCTCGATTCCCCTACAAAAAAAAATGCTTCCTAATACATTCTTGGAGTGCTTTTCAAGGCGCATCCAATGGTACCAAGTAACATGGATGTTTTGAATAAACTTATCAAGCAATTTATAAAAATATGAAAAGAGGTTTCTGGCCGAAGGTCGAAATTTTACATATTAAGGTTCCACAAAGATGATTTCAAGGGCTATGTTGGATCGATGGAAACATTTTGACTAAATATTTACCATAGTAAAAGTGGTCGTTATCAAGGTGAAAAATGCGATTGTTTGATTTTCAATGAAAACCATGAGGGGTACCTCATGCTTTTTGGTCGATTTTTGACCATGTTTTTTTTGATCCCCAAAAAGTTGAGCAAAGGTGTCAGGAAGTAACCCCTAGATGAGAGCAATTGTTTGGTGCTATTCTGACGATCTAAAACGGCCTTGAACGCGAGAAAACGCAGCTCAAATGCACTCAGGTTTTGCTCTATTAGGTACACTAATGAATAAAAAGGGGAAGTAACAGTATGCTGCTTGCCGGTATATGAAATAACTACGTGTATATGCATGTAGAGCATCACATAAGAATCAGATTCATAGATAATATGAATGGTTTTTCATGTGATAATAGAGGGTCAATATGAAAGTAGCAGTGTTTTGATAAGATGCGCAAGGGCAATTGGTAGCACGAGCTGCTGCTGTGCAGGTTGGTTTCCACCAAAACGAAGCGCAGGTAGAGAGCCATCCGAAGCATACACACTCGTATATTCCAGTGAGGTTCCATTGCAATGTAAGTATTTTAGCTTGCTATGCCATGCAGATCCATGAAATATATTGCTATACCAAGCTCAAACTGTCTCGACCTTTGATCCAAGGATCTTGACTACCTTCATTAACGCATGAGAGCATGTACTGCAACAGGAGCCATTCCGATCCGGAAGTACTGATGAATCCACGGGCAAAAAAACTAGCAAAATCTTTTTGAACCTCAGAATAAGAATATTTAGTCAAACAGCATCAGTGAACCACATTGAATCCTCCTCTTTAATCCATTCCAAGTAGATACTATGGTAAGCAGATAGACACATCCGTTATCAAAGATATATCGATGGATTAACCATGCATACAACAATAGGGTCGCGTTAGGTATGATTGATATTTGGAGCAACAAAAGGCAAAAAAGATGATGGGAAGGATGGATGCATTAATGTGTGTGATTGCTGTTCAATTGATGTGGATTCCTCAGCCATTGTGTCTTTTTTTTTTTTTTTTTGCTTTGGAAGTGAATGTGAATGTGATAACTAAACAGTTTTCCTATAGAACTAAGACTGTCAAGAAGGCTTCTCGTGTTGTCATCGAAAAGTACTATCCTCGTCTCACTTTGGACTTCCAAGTCAACAAAAAGATCCTCGATGAAGTCTCCATCATCCAATCTAAGCGTCTCCGTAACAAGATTGCTGGTTTCACCACCCACTTGATGAAGCGTATTTCTCGTGGTCCCGTCCGCGGTATTTCCTTCAAGTTGCAAGAAGAGGAGCGTGAGCGTCGTGATAACTACGTTCCCGAATTCTCTGCTTTGGATACCTCTCTCATTGAGGTTGATCCCGAGACCAAGGAACTCCTCAAGGCTATCAACTTTGAGAACTTGCCTGGTGTCCAAGTCACCAACCCTGTTGCTGCTCAAGCTGATGTCCGTCGTGGTCGTCGTGAGAACCGTGGACCTCGTGCTCCCCGTACTCAAACCGAGTCTGCTTAAATTCTCTCTTTTTTAACACAATAAAAAAGGGTCTTTTTGATTAAAACAATGCATTGCTTCTTGTTTATTCAATGTTCCTCCAATGTATGGTTAGAGGAGAGTATAAATGGTGCTGTGTATGTTTGTGTTGTGTGTGTGTGTGTTTGTGTGTGGTAGTTGGTGAAATAATGCAGGTGAATTTTGTTTAATTGAGTTGCAATCCCTTTGATCTCAAATCGCTTTTCGCTTGTGCGATTTCCTAATTGGATGTTTAGTCAAATACTCCACTAGACATAGGGGTGTAATTTACTTACTCCCATCAATTCATGATAGGCTTCAGGGCAATCGCGGAAAGTGTACATGGCATTGCCAATGTTGCCAAGACAATAGCAGCCAAATGTAATCAAGGCCCACCAAGGAAGCTATGATAGATGTTAGTTCAAAAGCGCGTGTAGACCACATATGAGTCGAGACATACAACAGGAATAATCTTGTCTTGAACAGTTTCTGGCAGAGGAATGAATCCCAAAAAGAGGATGATGTAAGATACAATAGCAATGGCGGCAAAGGTGTATGCTTCAGTGGCTCTGGTCATTCTGTTATAAAATGTTAAAAGAGGAAACAAGGCATTCCAATGAGTATAACCACCATGAGATGAGGGATGTTGAGCCAACACCTACGTGACTGAGTAACTTGCCACCAAATGAACAATCGACACGGGCAATGCTACCCATCCTCCTCTCTTTTTCCGTCTCCTGGGATTCCAGACACACACACACACACACACACACACATACACACACATATGGTAGGCACATCTGCATAGCCAACGATTTCTTGACCTAAACCTCACTCACAGGCAAACGATAAAATAGTAGGCACCATTGCCTTCTTTTCAACCGTCATTGGATTCCTGTATTATTCAACATGGACATTAATCATGGTAAGCATGAAAAGCATCGCCGTGCCATGGATAGCAACTAACATTCAAGAAAGCCATTTGTCGATGAAGGCCATCCCTCGCACAACTACTTCCCAGCCTGGCAATACGCTATTAAAGTACCTTTATTGATCATGATTGTTGGATTGTCAGCGATATTTACATTCTTATCACTGGTGATGATTAAAAGCAAAAAGAGATCACTGTAGTTTTTGCTTGTGCAATTGGATCAAATGGGGTTTAGCCAAGTAGAAGATGGCGCCACCAAGGGCAATGATAATGTAATGGCAGTAGTAAACCTCACGCCATACTTGCAGAATCAAGGGTATATGAAGCAGATCAAAGCAAGGGACCAGCATGTTGAGTAGTCCCATCGATGCAATCCAAGTACACACATCGTACACTCGTTTGATTTTTTTGGGCTTTTGATCTGCTGTCAAGAAGAAGGGCCGAATGGTTCTACGTACTTGTCTTGCTATCAATTGCAACAGCGAGGCTGTCATGAAGAACACTGAAAAGAAATCAATAAAAACAAGGACCACATTTCAGACATACTAGCAATACTTACTATAAAACCCGGGATGAAATCCATGCCACATGCTAGAGACAATGTAGGTTTTCAGGGTGGTGCTTGTTGATCCAGGAGGGTTAAATCGCAAATACACATAGTGTCGAAGCCAGTGGTTGGCACCAATGTTCCAGTTCTCTGATAATTGCTTGTACGATTGAGCCAACTCACAATCCAGCACATTGACATTGTTCAGCTTATTCCATTGAGGCTCTCCGTCAATGACACCATTGAATCCGAACCCTGACAATATCGAAGCTCCCTCTGATAGATACCAGATAAAGTAGTACTTGCATCTTGTCAAAAAGGCAGACAACTGGATAAACATGATCCTAACATGCGGTTAGGCCCTTTGGTATGTCATGCTCGGTTATGTTATGCACTTACTTGTACCAAAACGAATGTGCTTTCCAGGCAGGCGTCAGCGCTTCGAAATAGTTGAACCTGGGAGCCAAGAATACCAGGAACATGACAAAAACCAAGCTTTTCCCGAGCCGCTTCAATGCAGGAAGTCTGCTTGAATACTCCTTTTCAGGAGAACTTACGAACCGCAGATAATCCATGTATTCACAGGTGGGGCCTGCCAAGAAGCCAGCAAAGAAAAAGACCCAGCCATAGTACTCCAGTACAGTAGGATAAGTAACAATGCACATTTTCTGCGTATGGCTGGATAGTTTGTTCTGATTTGCTGGCAGGCCATCCAATACATTGAATCCATAGGAGGATAGTTTTATGGTAATGATCATCAGTGCCCCTGAGTAGTCGAGGTCGGTATCACCTTCAAACCCTTTAAATTGACGACCAATGTGGCTATAGGAAACAAGGGGCGTGTTATTTAGTGTTCATTTCGCCACAGGTCATGACCATCCTCACTTACCAAACAGCCATGCTTGCCATGACCAGTGTGAAGTTGATCCAGGCAATCTTTGGATGATGACGGCAGTACCGCAACAAGAGATAGCTGACAGTAGAGACGGCCAAGATGTGAATGAATCCGTCATACAATTTCAATATGGACAGCATAATAAACGTTGTGTATAGAATGGAAAACGCATGTTTGACATTGGCCGATTTCAAATGTTTAAACAAGATGGCGCATGGATAGGTGGATAAGATGGAGAATGCCAGCTTCAGATGGTCAGGAGAGACATTGCCGCCCAGGTGAGAAGAGAGCTTTGCGAATAAATGATCCATGGTATGGTAATAAAAGAGAAAGAGAAGAGCAACATCATGTAGATCAGAGCATAGGCTTTATAGCAAGTTGTAGTGTCATTAGACTCTTTGCTGGGCTTTCTTTGTGAAACACTCGCACTAAGGATAATATACTCCAACAAAGGGCTTCCATTTTTCTTTCTCTTTTACCTTCTTGTTCTCTGCTGCTTTGTCCAATGTCTAATAAGATTGAAACAAGCCCCTTTGAGGATCCCTCAAATCCGTTCCAGGACCCTTCCATCACATCTGCCTTGAATTCAACACGTGCGGTCCAGGAAGCAGCCGAAGAAGATGTACCTTTAAACGATTTCAACGCCACTAGTTTTCACCATGTATCCGATAACCGAGATCCCTTCAGCTCCTCTCAGACAACTCTACCCACACAGCCAAACGACTACAGCCAAAGGGAAGAGGCACTTCGACAAAAAGAGCGTGAGTTGGCAGACAGAGAACGAGATCTGGAGCAGAGACAACGACAGACATTGCAGCGTAGAGACAACAATTTTCCACCATGCTTTCCCATCTTGTACCTCAACATTGTGGATGAAATCCCCATGCAACATCAGACAACAGTGTTGTGGTTATATAGAGAATGGCTCCTGTTTTTGATTACACTGGTCATGAACTTTTTCGCTTGTCTCTGGGTCTTGTTCTCGCATCCAGCCTCAGTAACCAGTGCGCCAACAAATATGGGTGTGGCTTTAACCGAGCTATTTACACATACATTGGCAAGCTTCTTTTTGTGGTATCGCCCTGTTTACAATGCCTATATGAAGGATAATTCAATGTATTTCTGTAAGTAAAGCCAATGCTGGAGTGTAGGAATGGGGTTTAACGGTACATGCAGTCTTCTTTTTCATCTTTAACGGCTTTCATATCTTGTATACCTTTTACATGGCTGTCGGCATCCCATCTACGTAAGTATAGCTACTGTTGTGATGTGGATGGATTGGATGCTAATTCGTCTTTTTCATTCAGCGGTGGTGCTGGCTTGATTTTGCTAGTAACGCTATTTTCAGAGCATTACATTGGCCCTGCTGTCTTGACCTTGCTCGCTACCGTCTGTTGGCTCTCCATGGGCATTTTGGCAGTGATTTTCTACAAAAAGACCTACGATCACTACAAAGCAGCTGGCCACACATTTAATGAGGCCAAATCCGAGGCCTACTCACACATGGGCCGCTCCACTGTGGTGAGAGAAGCAGCTGTTAGTGCTGCTTGGAATTCTGCTACCAATAGAAGATAGGTTGCTTGCACACAAAAAAAGGGGGTTCGTTTATATCACATGTCATTCATTTTTCACCTACTACCACCACATTACAATAAACATGTGAAATACCATTATTTTTTTCTTTTTCTTTTCTCTACATTTCCCCACATTTCGATGCCTCTGTTATCAAAGCCTGTGGACACTACTAGGACAAACAAGATATTCTCAAGCAGCTTGATTGTACTGGTCTTGGTCGGCTTGTATCAGTCCAAAAAGAGCTGGCAAAAGACAGCCAAGCTAAAGCAGAATGAAAAGCAAAAAGACATCTCCAGCCTGTTTCCCATCATTGATTTCTCGCAAAAGGTGGGTGTCAACAAAGAGTTCAGACGGCAGTTGACGTCGATTGCACACATTTTGTTTCCAAATTGGCACACCAAGGAAATCCTGCTGTTGGTATTGCACACCATCTTTCTGGTATTGAGAACATATTTGAGTGTGGTGGTGGCACGATTGGATGGTCGCATTGTTAGGGATTTGGTAAGCTTATAGTGAGTGAGTGAGTGAGTGAGTGAGTGAGTGAGTGAGTGAATGAGTGTGTGTGTGTGTGTGTGTGTGTGTGTGTGTGTGTGTGTGAGAGAGAGAGAGACTAACATTTGGGGCATAGGTCAATGGCCATGGAAAGCGTTTCTTGACTGGTTTAGGCTACTGGTTTGCCATTGCCATTCCTGCAACTTACACCAACAGTATGATCCGCTATCTGCAATCAAAACTGTCCATTGGATTCAGAACTCGATTGACCAAGTACATTCACGATTTGTATCTGGACAAGGAAAAGACATTTTACAAGGCCATCAACCTGGACAGCCGTATTCAAGGCGCAGATCAGTAAGTATGTTCAATATCAATGGTATTCCACATGTTCTGACAGAGGAGCCTATAGATTTATTACCACTGATGTTGCCAAATTCTGTGAAACCTTATCGTCACTCTACTCTAATCTCGCAAAACCTATTCTAGATACCATCATTTTCAATTACCAGCTCACAAAGTCCATTGGTCTGGTAGGCATGGTTGGACTCACCATCAACTACTTTGTCACAGCCAAACTGCTGCGTGCTGTTACTCCATCTTTTGGTAAACTAGCTGCCATTGAGGCAAAATTAGAGGTAAACACAGTAATCACATGCAAATCATAGCTTGCTCACATTCTCTTATTGTATGATTAGGGTGATTTCCGTGCTGCTCACACTCGTCTGATCACCAATGCTGAAGAAATTGCCTTTTACAACGGTGCCGAGTTGGAGCATTCCATTCTCAACAAGACCTATATGAAGCTCATCAAACACATCAACTCCATCTACAAGATCCGTATCAGCTACAATATGTTTGAGGATTTCCTCATTAAATACGCTTGGGGTGCATTTGGCCTTATCATGTGTGCCATTCCCGTTTTCACACCACATCTGGTCGGTGCTGTGCCTATCGACACATCCAAAGACGATCCCAATGCTCAAGTGGGCGCTAGAACAAAGGGATTCATTACCAACAAACGTTTGATGATGTCCTTGGCTGATGCTGGTGGACGCATGATGTACTCTTACAAGGAACTCGCTGAGCTGGCTGGCTACACATCCCGTGTCTACAATCTGATGTCTGTGCTGCATGCTTTGCACAAGAACAACTACGATGGACCCAAGGAAGAAGTCGCCTACACCTTGACCAACATTCACGGTAAAGTGGTATACGACGATGAAAAGGGTATTTCGTTTGAGAATGTGCCTATTGTCACTCCTGCTCCTGGTCAAGATCGAGTAGGCGAAGTTTTGGTAAACAACTTGAATGTGCAAGTGCGCCCAGGAGAGCATTTGCTGGTAACTGGGCCCAACGGTGTAGGCAAGACGGCTGTTGCTCGTGTCATTGCTTCGCTGTGGCCTGTGTTTGAAGGTACCTTGACAAGACCTACTGATCGCGACATTTTCTATATCCCTCAACGTCCTTACTTGAGCTTGGGCACATTAAGAGACCAAGTTATATATCCCCACACAAAGCAGCAAATGATGGATGCAGGTCGCACCGAGGAAGAGTTGATGAAAATTTTGGAAATCGTGCATTTGGCTTATATTCCTGACAGAGAAGGAGGCTGGGAGACTCAAAAGGAATGGAAGGATGTCTTTTCGGGAGGTGAAAAGCAAAGAGTAAGTGTGTGCAATGCCCAATGTAATATAGTGAGAAAGATTGACAGTTGTATAGATTGGCATGGCTCGTTTATTCTACCATCATCCCAAATTTGCCGTGTTGGATGAATGCACTAGCGCAGTGTCTACCGATGTGGAAGGCCTCATGTATTCGCATGCCAAGGACATGGGCATCACTTTATTGACCATCTCTCACCGCCCTGCTTTGTTCAAATACCATCGCTTCCTCTTGCGTCTTACTGGCAACAACGGTGAATGGGAATGGGAGGCAATCGGTACCAAAGAGCAATTACAGTCTGTTGAGAAGGAGCTTGCTAGCTTGCAATCCAAATTATCTCAAGTAGATGCCCTCAAGTCTAGATTAGCAACCATAGACCAAGAGCTTACCTTGAAAATGTAAATCTTATCAGTCACACCTCGTATATCAATAAATTTTTTTTTTTACTCGCATCTATAAAAACGAACCCAACATCCCATCCCCCATTTCCTGTTTTTCTTTCACCACCTCAAACATGAAACAGTAAGTACTCTTTGTTGCAAGACTATGGGTGATTTTAAAAAGGACGGAAAAGTGTTGATGATAACGAATCAATACCTATAACGCTTTATTTTGGTTGACCGTTTTGGACGACCGAGTGTAATGATAGCTATATTTTATGTCATAGTTACACTGAGCTTTTTCATCCTTTTTGTATCTATCCATCAGTCGTTTTTGATTTTTAGAATGATATACTAATCCTGCCATTAGTTAGGTTCTATGGTGTCTCTACAGTTTTGTATTATATATTATCAATAAAAAAAAAACCCCCCTTTAAAATTTTAAAAATGTCGTGTTCATTGTGCAATGAGTTGAGCGTGTGTGGTGTGGCTTGGTAGTTAGATCGAGGATTATTTGTTCGAATTATGTTTTGTCATGCTTCAAGGATGAGAAAAAAGCTCTCCCTTCTCTTTTTACTTTTACATTGTAAACATACAACATGTCACAGGATCCTTGGGATGATTGGGAAACTGCTGCAGATGCTGGTGTAAATTTTATTGTTATTTTCGTTACGTCTAGATTTGATTCATTGATTTGAAAAAAAAAAAAAAACTATTCTAGTTGAATGATTGCAAAATACCCACCGAAAAGGTCAAGCCAAAAGCGACAACAACTACAACCTTTCAATCAAACCAACAATTATGGGAAAAAGCGTAAGAAAGGGTCTTACAGCGTAACCATGTCATTTGGCTTAGATTCTCTTCTTCAATCATAGTAACCAGTTTGCTTCGCCTGTCATTGTGCATACCAACACATTAGCTGCTCACGCTGATTATAAACCAGAGGTACCATAGCAGCAGGCTTACTCACAAACGTAGCTGGATCTTTAACATGACATGTTGTGATAATAGCTAAAGATTCTGAAGCGGCCTCAAGACGCCAAAAGCAAAAAGGAGGTTATCCTGACAAAACCTGTAAAGAGCCTAGCTGAAAAGGAAAAGGATTATGAAGCAGCAAAGCGATTGATTGATGAGAAATTCCAAAGAAAATAAAGAGGCCAAGAGTTTAGTCGAATTTCATTTGCACTATTGAATAAGGTGCATTTCGCATTTAGATTTGCATTTGGATTTGCATTTGGATGAGCAATTTGCACCAATTTAAGTGATTATATATAAGATGCGCGTCTAAAGCAAAGCAGGTTAATCAGACTAAGCTACAGAGCCTCTCAATCTGCACTTCCCTTGTTAGCTTTTATTGTATTTTCATCAAAAAGGCATTTTGCCAGCCATAAACAATTTAAATTCAGATTGTCATTCTGTCTCGATTCGTTGATTTTTGATTCATTTGCGACTTGATTGATCTATTTTGTAATATTCGACTATATGAACTGTAATAATCATCCCATACTTCCTAGTACATCTTTGGTGTACTTTTCAAGGCACACTCAATGGTGCTAATTATAAGATGTGTTTTGAACAAACTTATCGAGCAATGTTTGAAAATAGGAAATAAGGTTTTTCGTCAAAATGTCGAGATTTCGCATATGAAAGTTTCACAAACAAAAGTCTCGGGGGTTGCTTTGGATCGAAAGGAACATTTTGATCTAATATATACTATAGTAGAAGTCTTCAATTTCAAGGTCAAAAGCGCGATCGTTTGATTATTGATGAAAACCATGAGGTATCCCTCATGCTTTTTTGGTCGATTTTGGTCGATTTTTGACGATCCCAAAAAAGTTGAGCAAAGGTACCAGCAAGTTAGTGCTAGTTGAAAGCAACTGTTTGGTACTACTCTCAAAGTCCAAAACGGCTTTTAACACGAGAAATCGCGCCTCAAACATACCTAGTGTTCGCTGCCTTTTGCATATTTATTAGTAAAAGACAATGCTACTATACTGTTTGTCTATATTTGAATTGTTTCCATTGCCACAAACGTAGAGTATTGCTGGAGAGCCAGAACCATTGTTACAGGCCGTTTATAAAGAATTCTCAAGTGATACTGGACAGTTAAAAAGGAAAACTCTAGCATTTGCTAATAAGATTCGCGTTAGTAGCGTAGAATGCTTACTGCAAACAGTTTCTGGTGACCAACTGATGTGTAAAAGCTAATTTGTTGGTCAGTTATGCAATGTAAATTGTGAGGAGAGCATGTGTAATACAATGTCTTTTCTTTTCGTCTCAAAATCGCTGTGCCTGAACGAGTGTTGTTCTGATTTTGGTTGTGCTGCCTGTGCTACTTATCGGATACCTAATGTGTGTAGTGTGGTTTACGTAGTGCTCTCCACCAAACCAGAGTAAACATGTTGGGATATAAGCAACAAGCATGCTTTCTATGTTTGATGAGGATCAAAATGAAGATGCAATGTCAATCCAAGGGCTGTAAATGGACACACTACGATGCACGTGAATTGAAGTTTACATAGATGTCAACAAAGAAAGCTATTTTCATGGATAAATGGGAAGAGCAAACTTCCGTTTAGCACTGACGTTGAATTTTGTGTGTGTGTGTGTGTGTCATGATGGCAGTAGTAAAAAGAGCATAAATCTTTTTCAGTTTTTTGGAAACCTAATTTTCCTTGTTTCTCTCTTTCACTCTTCTTTCAAACATAATACCATCATGGAGACCAGTGACGAGACAAGAGCATTGGAGCAAATACAGCAAACATCCGATACACCTGTACATACATTTGATGCAAACTTACCTCCGGAACGCAAACGGGCACAAGCCGAAGCGCATATCCCCAAAGACTTTGTACCAGACTTGAGAAGCCTTGGCCGTCATCAGGATGGGTTCGCTACAGAGATTGGGTCCAGTGATGCTGATAAAATCAAGCAAGCCATAATTGAAGCGACTCAGAAATCAGTCAGTCAGAATGTCACTCCTAATCAAACACAATCAAAGCGTCGTCAGCCTCAGCAGCCTGTCGTAAACACCATTGCTGGCTATCGTGTCAGCCATCCATTACCTGATGACTCTCGCATTGGCTGGACAGCCTTTTCAAATGCAACAAATCCCGGTGGCTCATTAGGCATCATGGCAACAGAAAAGAAGAAATCAGATGGCACGGTAGACGCATTGTACAGCACACTCATGAGCCCATTTGACGAGCATTGGCAAGACTATGGTGTCATCTTTGTTATAGGTGTTGGATTTTGGCTGCTTGTCAAAGCCGGAGGTAGCATGGGCTCGTTTATACTTGGTCTACTGTTTGTAGGTAAAGTGTATCATACGTATATTTCTATATCAAACGATGATTGACATGCTCTGTACACACAGCTTCGTATTATAGACTGAGCTTGAGTAGACTGGATACACGTGCCACAGACGATATGAAGCGAGACTTGGCATTCATTGCATTACAAACAGCCGATTACGAAAATGTTGAATGGCTCAACAATTTCGTCCAAAAGTTCTGGCTCATTTTCGAACCTGTTTTGAGCGCCTATGTCATTGAGAACATTGATACCTATCTTGTGGACTACCTGCCTGGATTTTTGGATTCTGTGCGCCTCACTACATTCACCTTGGGCTCAAAGCCGTTTCGAGTAGAAAGTGTAAAGTCATTCACAGACACCGAGCCTGATACAGTGGTAAGCCTCTGTGCATGATTATTTTTTGAAAGGCAGTAATGATGAACAACGCATGGTTTTGACAGTGCATGGACTGGGATGTCTCCTTTGTGCCCAACGATACCAATGGCATGACCAGAGATCAAATCGACAGAAAAGTGAGCCCCAAGGTAGTATTGAACATTCGTCTCGGTAAAGGTTTTGTTGGAACAGCACTCTCTGTGCTGGTGGAAGACATGAGTTTCAAAGGTCGTATGCGTGTGAAGCTGCAGTTTATCAGCAAAATGCCGCATGTCAAGATTGTGGAAGCTTGTTTTATGGAAAAACCCCAATTCGATTATGTGCTGAAACCTTTGGGTGGAGAAACATTTGGATTTGACGTGAATAATGTAAGAACTACTATTTGTAGCCATTTCAAGCCCATCTAACATTTAGAATGATGCCAGATTCCTGGCCTTCAAGGCTTTGTACGTGAACAAGCACATGCCATCTTGGGTCCCATGCTGTATTATCCCAACGTATTTGCATATGACGTTGAAAAGTTCTTCTCTGGCGAGTTGGATATCAGTAAGTGCGCGTTTTTATAGTAGGGCGTGTCATTGACATGTGGAATATCTATTAATAGGTCAAGCAAACGGTGTCCTGGCTGTCACTGTGCACTCATGTTCCAGAATTAATGCTTCAGACACTACCTTGAATCCATTCATTCGATTCTTCTTGAACAAGGCACAGGAGTTGGAGAAGACAGCTGTACTGGAGAACACTCACACACCGCAATGGAATGAGACCAAGTTCTTGCTGCTCAACAACCTGGACTCTATCCTCACCATGGAGTTAAGAACAACAAACAGCACAAAGAAAGCAGGCAAACGTTTGGCCAGATCACACTTTGATCTCAAGGACATAAAGGAGGAGGAAGACATGGAGCTGGATAATTTGTAAGTGTTGCTTTGTTGTGTGTTTATCAAGCCAGCTAACAAGTACACACTGTAGAACACTGCCAATGCAACGCCATGGTAAATTCATCACTGACCTCAAAGTGGATATGCGATATTTCCCTGTTTCCAAGCCGATCCAGAACCCTGATGGCACCTATATCGAGGCTGCTCCCTCCAGTACGTCTAGCACTTGCCTCACGTAGTACATTGTAACTAAAATCAACTCTGTTTTCTAGATTCTGGGGTCCTCCGTATCACAATTCACGAGTGCAAAAACCTGGGATCAAATAAGATCAATCCTTACGCTCTACTCAAGATCAACGGTGTGGACAGGTTTGAAACCCCTACATTCAAACGTACATCCAATCCCAAGTTTGAGAGGCCCTTTGAGATTCTTGTGTTGGATATGACGCAGGTGTACATCCGTGTGAGCATCATTGATCGTATCAATTTTGCCGGAGATGCCTCGTTGGGTTCGTGGAACGCTTATTTGACTGATATTATGCGGGATCAAGAAGACAAGGAGTACTGGTGGACTTTGCGAAAGAAGGGTCAAGAGATCAATGCTCGTTTGCGATTGAGTGTGCAATGGAAGCCTGTGGTAATGACAGGTCTTGCTAAAATGGGTGGTGTCGGCTTGTATTCTGCTCCTGTTGGTGTCATTCGATTCTCCATTTGGTCTGCCAAGAATCTCGTCTCGACCAAGTCTGATCTATACGTTCGCATCAAGAATGGAAAGCAAACCAGAGCAAGAACTGAAATCATTGATAGTACAGATTGTCCTGAATGGGGCGAGTTTCATTATGTTCCTATTCACTCTTTGCAAGAGGATCTTGTATTGGAGGTGATGGGCTGGACTTCTGGATCCAAGGACAAATCGCTAGGCTCCACTGTGTTCCCTTTGAATCAACTCATCAAACAATGCAAGAACGAAAACGAGGCTGTGTGGTACGAGTCCATGGCTGATAAGCTGGATAGACAAGTACCTCTTCATACAGGCAACACGCAAAAGGGCTTTTTAACCTATTCAGCTGAATTCTATCCCACCATGGCGCTTGCAGAAACAGACGATGACGAAGACCAAGCAGCACCTACGCAAGACCTTTCCATCGCTGTTCCAGACAAGCCCATCTCAGAAGCAAAAGCAGTACTGCCTAAAAAAGCAGAATTACCAGCATTTGATCTTCATGGCTTACCCATCCGATATACCCCGGATCAGCTCATCGACTTGTCATGCTATGGAAGTGGTGTGCTCACTGTCAAAATCCATGAGGTCAAGGCACCGCAAGTGTACGATTGTTACTGTCAAGTCATGGTGGATTCACTGACCCCTCAACACAAGACGGACACGCTCAAGGGACGCACTTTAGCATTCAATGTGACCACAGACGCTTTCATCAAGGACTCTGGTTTCTCTCGTGTCGCTATTGAGCTCAAACCGCCTCACAAGACTGAGAAGGATGATGACAGATTGGCCTACTGGTACGAGAGCAGCGAGCGCTTAATTCGTCATATCCAACAACGCGCTCGTGAAAAGCAGTTGGCCAGTAGTGGCAAATTTGACATGAGCGAAATGTTGCTGCATGCAGAGGAGGACGAGGGTGAGTGGTACAATTTGATCGCACCTGTTGGAGGCCCAGCACAAATCAAGCTTAGCTTTGGTTACGCCCCTTTGCTGAACTACACTGTGAACCCTGATGAAAGCATAGAAAACCAAGGTGTCTTGACCGTGACATTACTGAATGCAAGGAAATTGAAGGCTGTAGACAAGTCGGGCACAAGTGATCCCTATGTCAGATTCACAATCAACGGCGACATTGTCTATAAGAGTGCCGTTGTCAAAAAGAATTGCAATCCTGTGTGGAAGAATGAAGTGTTTGAAGTGCCTATTGTAAGTGATACTGCATGGAACGCATAAGATGGATTTTGTAAACTGACATTTCTTAGATTTCTCGAGTTACAGCCAGTTTCAGAATTGAGGTATTTGATTGGAACCAGATTTCTGGCGATGTTCCCTTGGGTTCAGGTGGTATCTCTATTCGCGGTGACACAGTCGAGAGTTTTAGTGCGCGTGATGTTGACATTCCCCTCGATGGACAAGCTGGCGACACTGGCACTGTGCGTGTGCGTCTCAAGTGGGAGCCTCAACTCTTATTGCGCAGAAAGATGCATACAACATTCATGGGAACCACAAGAAGAATGACAACCAAAATGGGAACCACTGCTTTCAACTTTAGTCAGCCGCCCAAGAACACAACCTCAAAAAGCAACAGCATTCAATCCAAGTTGTCTGGTCTCTTGGATTCAACTTCCTCCACCTCATCTACTGCAAAGCCTTTAGTTGATCCTATACACGAGGCCAGAGAAACAGAGCAAGAGCCGCAGCACGAGCAGCAAAAGCCAGTAATCAGCAACAGATCAGTGCAGCCATCCCAGCCAGCAGAGCATAACTTTTTAGTAAAAACAAGTGAAGGCACAGTGCACATTCAAGTTGTGGAAGCTAGAAACTTGAAGGGCGATGGCGACAAGATTAATCCTGTAGCTATCGTGCACCTTGGATCGAAGCAGTTGTTGAAAACCAAAAAGATCAAAAAGACTCCCAATCCATCATGGTAAGTGCATATTTATATTCTAATGTCTTATCCATCCCAATGACATTGCTTTACACAGGAACGAAACCTGTTCACAGAAATTGTCTGGTGAAGAGATTCAGTTGGATATCATGGTGAAAGATTCTCATACATTCCATTCAACTGACATTGGCGGCTTTACCTTCTCATTGTGGGATTTAATTAGACCGCCTATTGTTACATCGTTGGATAAGTGGCTGCCTTTGGAGCCTGAGGGAAGTGGTGAAGTTCATATCAAAATTGATTACGATGTAAAAGCTTGAAAAAAGAAATAAATCAACCTCTGATCATAGTTTGGATCATAAAGTGTTTAGCTTATCATTCATCAGTAGAGAATTTTTTCTTGCGAGGCTAAAGCACTGATATTGCTATGATGTTCAAAGGCCAAAAAAGCGCACTATGCAAAATGCTCATAAATAACGCGTAATTGAAACTGGATTATTGATATTTGCCCTTTTTTCTTCTTTCATTTCTCTTCTCTACCATGAGCAATTCGTATATTCAAGCTTATTTGCTTGACCTACCCTTACCCGTAATCTTGCGCATCAAGAAAGCTCATTGACAACAAATCAAAGGTTCAGCTGGCTATATCAAGCAAAACATTGTGGGGAGTCTTCACCTGTGGTACCGACACCAAGAACATCAAGCATCGCAATTTGCATAAAGTTTATGAAATATCCTCTGTTAAAATCAAATCGAAATTGTCATGCCTCCTGTTCAAGCTAGAACCTGTGTAATCTGTAGAGTTGCTCTACCTGAAAATTTCAATTTGCGAAAATGTGATATATGTCGAGTACACTGTGACTAAAAAAGATTCAAATTTATCTGAATATATTAGAATTTGACCAATTTTTTCTGAAATATCCTAAAAATGTCTTAATCACTCTGAATTTGTCCAAATCCCTTTGGAAATATTCAGATAAATTCATGCAGATGAAAATTAATAAATTAAGCTTAGAGAAATTTGGAGAAATTTAGAAAAATTTAGATATTATTCAGCGATTTTTTTTACCACGAAACGATCTTCATCAGAAAAGCGAGTAGTCATCGCTACGCCATTTTTATTTCTTATTTGTCAACTGCTTCAGATTCTTTCTTGTAAGGGAGTCGTGCTCCATTTTTTATTTAGAGGTCTCTGAATGTCATAATAGGATAGGAAGAAGAAAGAAAGAAGATATATTATTACAGAGCAACAATAGAAAGGAAACAATATTAACTAGTTATTATTATTAGGAATGAATTTTCAGCTTTGCATGCGACCGGGCAAAAGAATGAGCATTAAGATATAGAACAGTGGGATGGCTAGTAATTTGGAAGGATGTACAAACATCAGTTTGAGAGAAAGGTGACCATGATGTTGGCGTATATTTATTTTATGCAAAGTCAAATATAGAATCATCATTGTATACTTTCAAACCAATTCTTTTCATATCAGGCCAAACAAAGAAGAGCTTCCCAGATATGGCAGACTTCAGAACTGCAACTGAAGACAAAATATCATCGACAGCTATTATATCCAGATCCCATGCACCATTGGAAGTATCCGAGTTGGCATTGTCAAGGAAACATTCAGGGATGCCGGACGTTGATACCGTTACGTTCTGATAGACTTGGCAAACGGCTAGAGCATGTGATGCACCAGAGAAGTTGTGCTCAAAGATGAGCAACACCTTTACCAGCAATGGTAGCGAACTGCGGCGAGCACAATTGACCAGGGCATGGTCTGACAGCTTCTTCTTTCTACTTGGTGGATCGAAAGTAGAGTCGATCGTGATGTTGTTGCCAAGTCGTAGTGAGGTAGCGCACTTGATCTGCGGATTGACACGAGCAGTGTTGTAATGTTTGCACAACATAGAAGCAATAGACGGTGACAGCTTGATGTCGCCCATATTCAATGATTTCGAGAAGGTGATGGCAGTATCCGTCGAATTGTCAAATGCAATTGTCCTTCTTTTTTCATAGCTGTTACATGCAATATCCAGCATGATATTTTCCGCTTGTTTTGCAACTTGACTACAGCCATGGATCCTCTTCTTGATCATTTGGATCCTTCTCTCCAAAACACGGCAACTGTACTGAGGCATGGGGCCTATCTTTCGAATCACCATCGTGATATGCTCCAAATAATGTTCGCTGGTTGGAAAGAATTTTGCTGAGATGTGAAGACGAAGAAATTGGTGCCACTTGGTTATTAGTTCCTCCAATTTTTGTATCTCGCTCTCAGATATATCCTGCTGCAAGCATACTGAGCAAATCAGAGATATTGTACGTAGGGCTTCCTTGGCAGCTTCAGAGACAGTAGGATCCAAATGGCATAAATCAACGTGGTCGATAAGAACTGTGGGCACAAAGTACTTCAGGAACACCAACCAATCTACTCCTCGAGCTGTCCCTCCCTTGCTGAAGACATCCATGAAATTGCCTTCGAAGATCAAAGGTGATGTGCTTGCAAGTTGGTTCAAGCAAATGCTAATCTTCTCTATTTGTCGCGGCTTCAAGCGAAGAATCGATTCCTTGTCCGTAAACATTTTCTTGATTCTTGGTCCCATGTTTTGTCCAAACAAATGAAATTCATCCAAGCCCACAAACGTTGGATCAATGAATGATGGCAGGTTTCGAAACAAAGAAGGCCTCTCGATACCAAGTTCTGGTGCACTGGATTTGTATTCTTCAATTGTTAGCAATCGTAGTGGTCGATCTTCATCATTAGCTGCTAGTTGAAAAGAAATAACACCATTTTTGCTGATGCCAATGATCGTACAAAAACGGCAGCCTTGAAGCGACGTATGGGATGCGAGGAAATTGAGTTCGCTGACGCTGGGGATATCACCAAAGGATCCCATGAGGTGGACTTTGAGCGAGATATTTGTTGAGTTGTTTCTCTGCACTTGTAGTCCATCACGAGCCAATTTTTCCAATTCGCTGACAAGGTATTGAAGGTAACTGTCTAATCTCTTGGTGTTTGGGATAATGGCGAAATCAATCAGGAACTCCATTTTGTATCTATAGGCAGAAGGAAGGTTCAAGATTTGTAGCATGACCAAGTTCAACTTTGCACCGCCTTTTTTGTGTGATTGGAATCCATCTACGTACAGGGACAGGCCAATGTCGTATCTATTGTTGAATAGATGCTTGTTGTTCACTAAATTTTGCATTATATCGCCCTTGAACCTTGCTCTGATGGATGAATTCTCGTCATCAAGCACTCTGATAAAGTTTGGATTTTCGAACAACGTGGCAAGTTGTGGACCGATTGGCAGCATCTTGATGGTTCTTCTGGGGCTACCATCAATATCGAATCTCTTTTCAAAGCACACTGGACATTCGTCCCCATCCTCTGGTTGAAAGGCATAGCAATACCTGATGCACACATCGACTGTATAAGGTGCAAAAGAAGTTGCCCTTTTCCTAGCAGAGCTGGCCTTGAATGTTGAGACTATAGGCGTTGCAACTTATCATAGTAGATGTTAGCGCTTTGAAACAACCAACTTTGTTATGGTTACTTACAAGGATACGTTTGGTTGTGTCATTGAACAAGTCTTCGGATGCTTGAGTTTGTCAAGTTTTCTTCCCTGAAGATCTTGTGGATCTCAGTATTTTTAGCATCCAGTGGTGGTAATGCCTCGCAACTGTCAGACATCTGATTGTCACTATAGTTAGCGCCGAGTCCATCAGAGTCTCCAAAGTCATATCCGCCATCGCTACCAGGTTCACCATCGCTGTTTTCTTGCTGACTATTTCTTTCAGTGTAAGATCCAGCCTGAGTATCATGTTCAGTTCTTGCTTTCTTTCTTTGATACTGATTAGTCTCCAGGTTGTGCAAGTCTACAGTTGTTGTGTCATTTGAAGAGTGCCAAAGTTTATGCTGTTTTTCATGTCTATTGCGAATTCTTCGGCAACACTGGGCACAAAAAAATGGCATCGTAAATAATATTAGAAATAAAGGTTAAACACAAATCTGTCTGGATTGTCTTTTATGCTCCTTATATTGCATGCGTTTCAATCATACAGATTGAAACGCATGCAATATTGAACATAGAATACACTTTGATTGGTATTGAATAGCCATGTGAATATCTATAGTGAAATCTAATAGTTCACATTGCATGCGTTTCAATCTGCATGATTGAAACATCAATGTCTGTGATAGCGGGTGCTATTAATTATTGGAAACATTACTAGACCAGTTTTTCTCTGTCTTTCATAGATTGTTACGCATTTATCGCAATTGATACAACCATCTCAAAGCACTGCTCTATTTTACACTTTACACTAATCACTTATTCAAAAATGGATCAAGCACAACAACTATTCTTACAAAGATTGGAGAACATTGAACAGGAGTTGTCTAATCTTAGCAAACAGGTCAAGGAATGTAATGACAACCAGACCGAAGTAAAAGATATGCTGCAGCATATTGTTCAACAATCTACCTCTTCGAGCACGGCCAATGTTGCGAGACTAGATGGAGTGATATGCCGTCCAAGCAAAGCAGATAGCAAACATCTGGAGGAGCTTTCTGTTGAGCTATGCATCAACGTCCTTGAGGAGCATCGATTAGGTGGGGAAAACCTTGATGGCAAGAAGGTCTGGGAGCTTGTCAAAGATGCAGCATACAACCAGGCAAAGAAAGCTGATAGACAGTTCCCAAATATCACTTTTAGCAAGCTGGACAACAGGTTTCAAGCCTTGTTAATCAAGACCGTCATAGACGATGTAGCCAAAAAGGGCGTTGACATCTCTGGGTTCTTCAAAGATTGGTTGCCGCAGTTTGCTGTCTCCAAATCATTGTCTGGCATAATCGATTACAAATACAATGCCAGGCCAAGCAATGACACCGCAACTTACCAAACCCAATTCGATGAAGATGATCTGGTATTTTCTGAGGGATCCCAAGCGCAATCCGAAGAAGATTCTGTCGACGATGACGAAAATTCGATTGTAGACAAGATCAATTTTCATGTTTCTCGAAATACTGGATCACAAAAGTAAATGCTGCATAGAGAAAAGTACTCTTTGATACTAATCGTAATATTATAGAAGAATCAGCACGCAACATATGCCTCTAGTAGAACAAGTAATTAAGTTTTCATAGATATAGCGCAGTAACTCACATTTCTTTTCCATTTTATAATGTGCACTATCATTATTATAGCCAATGCAGCCATCTCCAGTATCAAAAAATGTATCTGCATCAAACAAATCAAAGGCAAAGGAATATGAAAAGCACAGAAGATATTCATCACCAGAAACGCAAGATTTG